GGAATAATCACGAATGTCTCCATAGAGACGTTTCAGAGATTAAACTGAAAAGAACAGATACTACACTTGATCTAAGCCAAAAGGCAAAGAGAGCTAAGGAGAAAAGAAGAAAAGAAAAAAGCGAAGCTTTCAGGCGGGCAGACGAGATTTTTATACCCCTCCCAGCGGGCGGTCAGGGTGCACAGTGTGTGGGTACGGCAGAATTTACCGGCCAATGTGAGACTCTCTGTCATGGTCCGAGCGCCCACACCGCAACTTTGTGATGAAGTACGTACCTCAGGCACATACACACACACACAGTATATAATATATGACATGTAGATGGTTCATACCTTCTTTCTGAGGCATAAATCGTAAAAGCATTCACCTCGGATGTGCAAGAGAATCTTATGGAAGGAAGAATAGAAAAAAAACCCCCAAAGAGAAACAGAGAAAAGAAGAAGGAAAACCAACGGGTGTTATTTGTCCACGGTGGTTATGTATGTGTGTCATGCTCCAAGGCACATCATTCACTTTATTATTACTGTGTTTCCTGCATTGAAAGAAGAACGGCTATGGTTTCCGACGTCACTCCACAGAGAAGACCCTGTACTCGTACATGTAAGTTTGTCGCATGCCCATCATGACGCTCTCCCTTTTAGAACTCGGGTTTCACGACGGAACAGAGAAAAGAAAGGTCAGTTATGTGATATGTTTTGATGTTTTGAATACAAGACGACGTCGTCATATCACCCAATGAAAGTTCAACTACCAAAAAAAAAAACAGGGAAGCGCATAATGAGGCTTGCCATGTATCACGAGATATTCAGAGCAGGACAATGTCTGTACAACATGGCACTAAGTTCATTTTCGCATCGTGAAAGGAAAAGAATAGATCAATATGCACACATGACTCCGTTGCCTACATCATCTTATCGGGAGAAGGGCAAAAGAAGAAGAAGAAGAAGAAGAATAAACTATTTCAAACAAATCATCAGGAGAAAGGAGACGACTCATATCTTTTTTATCTCTTCTTTCTTTTCCTTTATTCGTCAAGTCATATTACAATTGAGATTCTCCAGATACGACAGGAACGCAAACCGCCCAGTCACAATATTCATTTCCCCCCTTCCCCCCCCCCCCCCCAAAAAAAAAAAAAAGAAAGGATTGAAAATGGCCGAACCGATCCCATGTCTTCACTGCGGTCAACTCTACCCTGCCTCTTGGCCTGACAACTGCACCTCCTGCGGTTCTCTTCCCTGGTCAGCATGCAGGCATCCCGCCTGTGGGAAATATCCGCCCATCAAGCATGTTCCTGACCAGTAAGTTTACTCTTGGTGTTCCCCTCCCTCACACGCTCCCCCATTCTAGTGAAATAGGGCAGCCGGAGAGAAGGGGGGAGGGGGGGGGGAGGGGGAAGGAATAGTAACTAACTAATCTATCTTGTGTCTATCCTGTTCAGTACAGGTTCGGCCCAGAAATGAGAAAGGACATCAACTGCTGTTTTTCTCTTTCAGAGGGTGAGAGGGTAGATGATGAGCTTGGGAGTTGCTCGCAAGACTCCATGTTGATGGAAAGAACGGGGAAACAGAAGAGAAAAAAAAGGAGAGCAAGCAGATGATGCATTCCACCTGTTGTTCACGTAGTTCCATGAGGGGGAACTGGTGAGAAGGGTCAAGGACAAGAGAGAAAGAGAAGAATGAACGGCAGACGAGGGTAGAGATCGAGATCCCGGACTATGAATTCAACTCTTGATAGTTTCATGTCCTGTTTATCGTGACAGGATCCTATTGCCCCCTTCCCCTTTCGTTTGCGCGTCCATCCGCATTCATCTTTCTCTCATGTAGATTTCCTTGGTACACGGCAGCAAGGTAGTATAAGAACAGGAAACAAAACTCCATACTTAGCCTGAAGTGCGACAGCAAAAAAAAAGAAGAAAAAAACCAGCAAAAAAAAAAAAACGCCATCCTTTATTATGATGAGAAGAGGAAAAAAAAGTCTCTCCCGTCCGGCTGTTCCGGCTGTTCTGGTTCTTAGCCCTCGACCAGTTCACCCTCCTCACCTTCTTCTTCGTCCGACAACCTGGGACGTTTATCAGCCCTGCTGTGGTCGTCACCCTCTGCTGGTCCTTCAGCCTCCTTTCTCTTGGCAGGGGAGCGCGGAGGCTGTTGAGGCTGCGAGGAAGATGCCGCCGCCGCTGCTGCTGTCAGACCTCCTCCGTCTGGCCTGGGGGGAAGGGGGCTGCGGCTCCTAGTCCTCCTGTCAATGTCCATCGGGGTGGTGGCCGGGGCGGGGGCGTCCGAGTCGGGTTGGCTGATGATGGCCTCGGCGCGGCGCCTGGATATCTCGAGGTCAAAGGCTGGCGAGGGCAACGATGGGTTCTGCTTCCTAAGCGGGTTCTCCGTGTAGAATTGGCGGATCACGTCGATGGCCTTTGCGCAGCGGGCCTCGTTCCCCTTCAAGTACCGCCACCAGGGCTGGCCGTTGACGTCGTCGATGCGTTGTCCCGTGTGGACGCTGGCGAAGAAGATGGCCGTCAGGGCCACGTCGCGCGCCTCGACGAGGAGCGGCAGCGCCGTCAGGCACGCGTCGTTACAGAAGGCCCACGCCGCTTGCCGGAGGTGCTTGTTGTGCACCAGGTCCAGCTGCTCCAGCAGCTCAAACAGGTGCCGATACGGGTTGTCAATCATCAGGTCAAACGTCAGCTGCTCCAGCATGATCTCCTCGTACGTCAGGATGCTGTCCCTCCACCGCCAGTATTCCTTGCTCTGCTCGTCGATTATGAGCTTGGCATTCTTCTGCGCCACCTTGGCCACCGCGATGATGATGTCCTTCGTCTTTCTGCAGTTCTCCTCGACCTTGTTGGCGAGGAAAAGGGCCGTTGCGGCAATATTCTGTTTAGGGAAAAAGAGTCAGTCCCGATTCCTTGTCCCTTGTCGGACGGAGAACCCACATAGTGATGGATACCAGTCTTCTCATGCATACTCCAGCGCATGTAGAATCGGTGGAAGAAGACACCGGCAACCCAAAGCGTTATCTGTGGTAGGTCGAGCATCACGCCAGCCTGGTAGATGAAGTTGACGCCCTTTGCTCGGCGCATCCTCTCCTCCGAGGGCGCCACGCCCTCGAGTATGGTCGGCGTGCTATTCACCTCTTCCGTCGAGAATGACCACTGATTCAGCAGGGCAGGTGGTGTCTGAGCGCCTGAAGGCGCGGGCGACTGTCCACCTCCGGCGGCGGCGGAAGAAGTGGCTGTGACGGGATGGGCGGCGGCACCGTGCGCCCGCGGAGGCGACGTGCGCGCGCTGTGCTGGGGTGGTGTCGGTGCGGCAGGAGGAACATCCTGCTGCGGAAGTAGGTGCGGCTGTCTCTGACTGTTGCTCGGCGAGGGGGACCGAGGTCTCTCCTGGCTCTGGGTCTGGCGGTTGGCGGGAACCGGGGGCTGGTAGCCTTCGCGTGGCGGCCGGTATCGATCGATGCTCGCCATTATCCTGACGTCGTCGTGTCGAGTCAGGTGTGATGGGGGAGGGGAGGAGGGCGACGAGTTAGCTGCTGTCGCGCTTCATCTGTGGGCGCGGTATTCGCTGTGCTGATAGCCCAGCCTGGTTTGCCCTCAAATTGAAGCTCTAATTATGATATTAGCGGTCGTGCGAGGAGCCAACGGAGACAAGAGGATGGCCGAAGTCAAGGTTGGAAAGGTCAGGTCCGATATGGGTTTGACGTTTGACGTCGCCCGACTTGGTCACCTGACCACGCTCCCCGCGTCCCGCCAAGACGGCGCGCCGCTGCTTTAAAATACACGGTCGGCCACAAATGAGCGACCACCGTCTCTCTGAGTGCCTGTAATGATATGCGCAGCATTGTGTTATAGCCCCGAAAGGGTGGAAAAGCTTCTTCTTGAATTCGTAGTGAGGGCTGATGTCTAGTCTTTACTGTACGTGATGACTACATGTATTGACCATTCTGAACGCTCTATGGCGATGATAACCGTGTAGCGTTTGGCTCCGAGAGAGACAAGATGCACATCGCACCCCAAAAGAGGCAGTACCTATTACTCTACTGCTACTGGAGGCTAGTTATGTCTATATGTGCATGTACCGACATTTGAGCTTGAGCCTGGGTATCTTGCCATGTTCTCCCTCCAGATAGATAGATATATATGTATATATATTATGCTTCTTCTTCTTCCTTCCACCCTCCCCCCCCCCCAACAAAAAGAGGACCGATGGCTCTTTAAAATGACTCCCCATCATTGCGACCCCACAGCTTAACGGTCCGATCGTGACCGCCGCTGACAATCCATTTTCCGTCCCTGCTGTAGTCGACGCTGGCGACGGGTCCGGTGTGGCCGCTGAGTGTTTGGACGAGGGTCCAGTCATCTGCGGAGAAGATCTTGACGTTGCGGTCGAATCCGGCCGAGACGAAGAAAGTGCCCGACTTCTTGGGGACCTGGGCGCCCTTGTCGTCTGTGGCGGGGGGCAGGACCCCCTCGAGGGGATCGTCCAGGCCCTTGAACCATCGCATGTCAGAGACGGCGCTGGAGTGGGCGCCGATGCCGCCGGTCCTCTGGACCTTGCGGACGTCCCAGCACTTGATCCAGCCGTCTGCGGATCCTGAGAGGACGCGGTGGCCGTCGGAGCTCCAGTCGAGGGCGTGGATGGGCTTGATATGGCCGTCGAGGTGGCCGTCGAGGATCATGACGGTCCTGCCGGACCGGAGGTCCCATATCCTTCCTATGCTGTCGAGCCCGGCGCTGGCCAGCAGCGACCCGTCCGTGTTGAAGCTGACGGCGTAGACGCCGCGCGAGTGGCCCTCCTGCAGCAGCACCTCGGAGGTCGTCTCCACGTCCCACAGGCGCCACGACGTGTCGTCCGACGCCGACGCCAGGTACCGTCCCGAAGGGTGGAACTCGACGCGGCACACCCTCTGGGTGTGGCCCGAGAGCGTCGACAGCGGCGTGTCCTGGTTGAGCGACCAGAGGTGCACGGAGCCCTCGGCACCGCCAGAGGCCAGGTTGACGGCGTCCGGGGACACCCCCTTCTCTGGAAGCGTCGCCCCCGGGAACCACGAGAGGCCGCTGATCTTGCTCGTGTGCCCGCGGTACGTCCTCTTCTGCTCCAGGCTGGGTATCTCGACCAGCTTGACCTGCCCGCCCCAGTTGCCCACAGCCACGGCCTCGCCATTCGGCGATATCCTCGTCATGCTCACGTGACGCTCACCCACCGTCTGACTGCCCTGCAGCTCGAACCCCTGCAGCCTCTCCTTGATGTTCTTGCGGAACTTGACGTGCGTCCGCAGCGGTATCGACGACTCGGCCTTTTGGAAGGCCGTCCTCCGCTTCGCCCGCGGCAGCGAGTACTCGGCAATGTTCCTACGCGCCCGCAGGAGTTCGGCGCCACCCCGCGAGTAGAATTCCTCCTCGGCCTCGTCGTCCTCGTCATCCTGACGGCCCTCGTTTGCGTCGGCCATCTCCACGTCGCCCCCATTCTCCAGACCGGCCATCTCCGCCTGGATGGTCAGGAGCTCGCGCAGACGGTCACGGCGTTCGGCGGGGCCCTCGCCGAACAGCGTCACGGGCTCGCCCATCTCCCGCAGCCTTGCGCGCACGCGCCCGTCGTCGGTAGGCACCGCCATGCCGGCCGCCAGGCGTTTGCGGTTGAACTGGTTCATGATGGCCGACGCCTTCTCCGACCCGGCCAGGGGCATCTCATAGTCGTGGTCCTCTGGAAGGTCCTCTAGGGCCACGCCTGCCGGCGGTGAGGCCTCCTCCACGTAGGCTTGTCGCGACGGGTGCATCATCTTGGGCGAGCTTCAGGTTGCTGTCTAGGAAGGGAGTATGTTGAGGCTGGACGTGATCGCTCTCGGAGATTCTGAAACATGTACCGGGAAGCAATTATCGACTCGGTTCGATGCGGTGAGGATCCAATCGTGAGCTGGCACGGGATGTCGTATTATCGTAATGGCGGACAATTATTATCGTCTTGGAGGTAGTTGATCGACTTTTTTTTTTTTTTGCCTGTCCCGTTGCTTGTGACGCGCGCCGCAAAGACAGCCCGAGATTTAGCAAGCTGCTTACCCTGCTGCTGTACAGGTTGCGCGGTACACATTCGGTGACGGTGGTTCGTTTGGCCGACAGCAGCCAAGCGCGGGTGTTGGTAGTCTGCTATACATGTACAGATTATGAGTATGTACATATAATCATGTACATTTAACAATACATCGGTACGGAGTACAGGCCTATATTACTTCTATACTTGGGGGGGTCTGAGGCCTAGAGGCCTGTTACGCAGGGGGGGGGGGGGGGGGGGGGGGGGGTCTGAGGCCTGCTGTTGCGCGCCCGTGGTCCCCCCATGCTGAGAGCGTAGAACCTGCACTAGTTGCTGCCCGATATGGAAGCCGCCCGCGGCTACGACATGAAATAACAAGTACGTCAATGCGCATATCGATACGTAATGATATGATAATAAAGCGACGTAGTATTCGTAGTATTAGCTGGTCTGATTGCAGTATCAAACTATCAATATTCATACCTGGATGCTGATTACTATCTTAACCCCGTAAGCCAAGGAGGACGAACGCCCAACCATGTCATGATTACGGGGTTCCGTCGTATATGCTCGTAATATTCTCACCTACCTGCTGTCCATTGCGGAGTAAGCCTCCGTTACGGCGTAGAGGGTAGAAAGGGAGCTGTGATCACGACTTGTAGAAGGGGGTATGTGGTAGGGGCCACGCGACCAAGGAGCCCAGCTGGATCACGTACGTAACATTCACCTGGCATCTGTAAGGCACCGGGACGGGGGGCCAAAAAAAAAAGTACATGTAGAGAAAGATCTCGTTGGAAGATCGGGAGAGATGATTTGCGCCACGCATCTGATGGGTGCAGGGGTTAAGATAAGTAAGTGTGTAGGCCTGTTAAAATCTTGGACGGCTGCCCCAGGACCGCTGTAAGGCTTTAGCATGGGGCTGATCCATCACTGAAGTCGGAAGCAGTATTAGCGCCCGCAGGTGTCATCTGGGGCTAATTGTGCCGTAACTTGGATTGCATTCGCTGTAATACTCGTATCATTTAGCGGCCCTAGGGGTCCAGACTTTTTTTTTTCTTCCCTCTTTCGTCCCACTGTCCACTGGCCGCCTGTCAGCAGATAATAATGGGTGGATGGATTGTGCGTGCACAGACTTTGAATTTTAATAATTTTTTTTTTTTCCATTTCTCCCCAGATTTACGGTCCAGCGCACTTCCCTTCTCTCCTCCTGTTTCTTCTTTTCTGTTTCACCATCTTCCTCCTTAAACCAAGCGGTAAGCCACAACTGCCATCCCTGGGGATCGAAACCACAGGGAAACTAACCCTTCATCACCAGAACAAGTCAGAGAGCCGCTCCCCCAATGCCTATACGAAAGTCCACGACCGTCCGCACATCCTTTTTCCGTTACCAGATGCGTTTTGCTAGCAGCCACTACGATATCCAGCGCCGCTACGAATTTGAGCCTCGCGCTGATCCCGAGCGCCGTCGTGGAGCGCCTTGAAGAGTTGGCTCAGTTCCCGGATCCGAGCACTCTTGATCGTCCGAGACGTCTCGTCCGAGTCTGTCGAGAGCCTGCTGTGCACATCCGTACACACACACACACGTACCGGAGCACGGCCGCCCTCTGTCCCATCTCCGTCCCAGGGAACCACCACTTGCCTGTACCCCAGCGTCGTGCAGCTAGCCGCGATGATGAAGAGCAGCCCTCCAACCGCCCGCAATACCGTGCGCGGCTTCCAGCCCACACCGGCGCCCTCTGGCGATGAGGATTCCGACTACGGTGCCTCCGAGACGCCTTCGCGCCGAAAGACCCACCGGGCCCAGGGCCGTGTCGACGATGTCGTCAGCGCCAACTGTAGCCCGTCCCTGCGAGCTACCTCGTCACCCAAGGTGTCGGGAATTGCCAAGTTGCGTGCCCAGATGGAGCCGCTGAGCCTGGAGGACGGTGTCCGTTCCGCCCCCATGTCCCGTAACAGCAGCTTTCAGAGGCGCCCTGACGTCGATGGCCGCCTCGACGCCGACAGTCGCCTGTCCAGCATGGCCGGCACCGGCAGCGAGGCCGGAAGCGACGGCTCCGTGAACGGTTCCGCCAGCTACGAAGTCTGCCTGGAGCACGACTTTGTGAGCGAGGGCCTGCGCGGCGAGGGGAACGGCGACCTGAACCCGTCGGTCGGCGAGCGCACGGACAACATCAATCGCAAGATGACGTCGGACGATTTCGAGCCGCTCCGCTGCCTCGGCAAGGGAACCTATGGCACCGTGGTCCTGGTCAAGCAGCGGTCCACGGGTCGGCTGTACGCGCAGAAGCAGCTCAAGAAGGCGTCGTTGGTCGTCAAGAAGAAGCTGATTGAGCAGACCAAGACGGAGAGGCAGATCCTCGAGTCGGTCAACCGGCACCCGTTTGTCGTCAACCTGTTCTATGCCTTTCAAGACCACGAGATGCTGTATCTGATCCTCGAGTATGGACAGGGCGGAGAGCTGTTCACGCACCTCAGCACCGAGAAGATGTTTTCCGAGGACGTGGCGGCCTTCTACATGGCCGAGATGATGCTGGCCCTGTCGCACCTGCACAACAACCTGGGTGTCGTGTACCGAGACCTGAAGCCGGAGAACTGCCTGCTCGACGCCGACGGCCACCTGCTGCTGACCGACTTCGGCCTGTCCAAGGTGTCGGCCGAGCCGACGGACGGCTGCAACTCGTTCCTCGGCACCGTCGAGTACATGGCGCCCGAGGTGATCCTGGGCAAGGAGTACGGCCGTGTGGTGGACTGGTGGTCGTTCGGTGCGCTGGGCTATGACCTGATGACGGGAAACCCGCCCTTCCGCGGCAACAACCACGCCAAGATCCAGAGCCACATCGTCAAGCAGAAGCTGGTCCTGCCCTACTTCCTGAGCGCCGACGCAAAGGACCTCCTCACCCGTCTCCTGCGCAAGGAGCCTTCCAAGAGGCTCGGGGCCGTCATGCCCAGGGACCTCCAGATACTCAAGAAGCACCGGTTCTTCCGCAAGATTGACTGGGAGAGGCTGGAGGCCCGCGACGTGGACCCGCCCATCCAACCCATGATCACCGATCCTGAACTGGCCGAGAACTTTGCTCCCGAGTTCACCGAGCTGTCGATGGGTCCATTGATGGCCTCCAAGGACGACGGCGGCCACCCGGATGCCTCTGGTATCGACGCCAATGACGCCAAGGACGACCCATTCGGTGGCTTCAGCTTCGTCGCTCCGTCGAGTCTCCTGAACGAAGCTTGCTTTCCTCAGGCCGTTTGATCTGAGCCTTTTCCTGCTTGGGGGGGGGGGGGGGGGGGTTTGTCATGAGGGGAAAGGGAGAGCGGGTGGGATATTGTCTCTGATTTGCCATGGCTTATTATACAGGTAATAGTANGGGGGGGGGGGGGGGGGGGTTTGTCATGAGGGGAAAGGGAGAGCGGGTGGGATATTGTCTCTGATTTGCCATGGCTTATTATACAGGTAATAGTATTATTACAAGCCCCCCCTCCCCCTTTTCTTCTTTTTTTTCTTCCTTTTTTTTGTTTTATTTTTGTTGCTTCGCCTCAGAGAATTACGCGTTTTTTCTTCGATCTTCCCCTCTTGAGGCTTAGACAAGCCATAAGCACTTGATATGTCTTCTTTCTTCTTTCCTTTTTCTTCTCCCTTTTTCCACGAAAGAAACAGAAAAAGAAGAAGAAGAAGGAAAAGTACAGCTTGGTATTTGAAAGAAATGGTGAGACTATGACAACATGGTTGGAGCGGCGTCCAAGTATCATGACGAAAGACTCCACCCCTTGAAAATCTAGATCCTGCAACGTCATATCCCGACACTCCAGAAAGGCAACGTGAGTCAAGAGAACAACAACAACAAACATCTCAAGACTTTTGGCCGTTGCTGCCCTCCATTATCCATGCCATATATGTGTGTGTGTGCGCGTGTGTGTGAAATGTCACGGGGAGGGAAGAGAACTGATGATGAACCAGGTGGGATGGAGGAGGTGGGATTGAAGAGGAGTTCCCGAGTTACATGCTACACATATGCAGGGCGCCGTCCGAGTTTTCCTGATATGCTGTGTGCCTAGACATACTCCGCGGAATGTGGGATGAGATTCCTCATTTCCGACGACGTGGTCGGTCCGGCGGCCGCCTCGGGAGGCAGTGCCGTGATCATCGCCGTCAGAACTGCCAATAATACCTGCACTGGATATTCAAAAAAAATTGTAATCCAACTTCGAGCCATTATACGTACATACGTGTACATGGTAGTATAGTATGTCGGCTACCGCTCAAGGTACCCCCGGAGGGGGGGGGGGGAGAAGCATGTTCTAAGTCATAACATGGTTATATCATCGTACAACCTGACATGCAGGCCCGTCTGAGCCCCGATATATCGTGTGTTTCGAGACTTTGCGGAAAAGAAAAGCGCACACCAATCCTCCGATCATCTTTCTTGGCAAGCCCCATCCTCCTCATCCTCCTCCTCCTTCGTGGTCGTCCCTGGGCTCTTGCCCACCCCCCCTTCCCCCTTCTTCTTCCTTGTTTTTTTGAGGCCCCCAATCAAATGGCGTGTATTTGTCTAGTCTGTGGATGGAAGCTGTTTTTAACAAATGAAGGAAAAAGAAATAAAGAAAAAAGAAAAAAAAAAGAAAGGTGGTTGAGTGAGGTGGAGATGAGAGGGAAGCGAGCCTCCGCTTCCCCGATAGGACCCTGCACCTGCTTCGGTCCCCGTGTGGGAGGGGTGCGTATGTGTATTAGATCCCAAGAAAGATGGAGAGCAGGTTGTCTCGGGATGCGGTCGACTGACGGGATGGACATGAGGGGGGAAAGTTGTCCAGTATAAAAGGGTGGGCTTTGGTCACGTCTCTTGATTCCATCACCAAGGCCAGGGAGAGACATCTCTTCACTGTTTTTCCATTGTTCGAGACCAGGCAGTTTTGCAAGAAAGAGATCCAGAAGAAGATAGCAATGGTCTCGTCACGTATACGAGCGGGAGCCGCTGTTCTGGTAGCCAGTCTCTGTAAGTTGGGATGTCCCCCCACCCCCTTTCCCCATCCACTTACACACACAACCCCGTATTCTGATACCCAGATAGACATGGGAGACGTGGCTGTCGCGGCGGTGGCATCCTATGAAGAGAGCGGTATCCGGTTCCGCTGGGGCGTCCCCTCGGAGTCCGTCGACTCGGCCGACTCCGGCAGCCTATACTTTAGCATCGATGCGCCCGTTACCAAGTCGTGGGCCAGCTTGGGTATAGGGAGCGGCATGCGTGGTTCGAGCATGTTCCTCGTGTACACGGACGGGAAGGGAAACGTGACGCTCAGCACCCGTTTGGGAACGGGGCACAGGATGCCTCGGTACGCGAGCGACTCCGGCGCTACCCTGGTGGCCGGGTCGGGCGTTCACGACGGCAGGATGGTGGCCAACGTGCGGTGCAGCGGCTCCTGCTCCTCGGGGCTCGACCTCGGCGGCACCGACAGCTGGATCGCCGCGTGGGTGACGGGCGACGCCTTGGATACCGACGATATCGAGGCGCCCATCAGCATCCACGACGGCGTGGGTATATTTGACGTGGACCTGTCCCAGGCCGGCATCGCGTCCGACTCCAACCCGTTTCTCGGCGGAAGTACGGGTGATAGCGGCGATGACGATACCGGTGCGGTCACCAGCGGTGGTGGAGGCCAGGGAGGAGGGGGAGGAGAGAGCCACAAGACGATGGTGTCCGCACACGGCTTCATCATGTCCGTCGCCTTCCTCATCTTGTACCCCCTCGGTGCCATGGTCATGCCCCTTTTCGGAAAGTGGATTGCCCACTCTGCCGTGCAGATGGTCGCCTACCTCGCCATGTGGGCTGGTTTTTCTCTGGGGATAGTCATTTCTCATGGATTGCCGGTGAGTGACGTATATGGTCAAACATCTATCCCGTGACGAGAAACTGGAGAATCGTCTCTGGCTGACCCGTATTCGGATCAGCTCTTTTCCTCACCACACAAGGGCCTGGGCGTCATCCTCGTCGCCCTCTTGGGCCTGCAGCCGGCCTTTGGCTGGCTCCATCACCGACATTTCCTCAAGAATCGGCGTCGCGGACTCGTCAGCCACGTGCACATCTGGTACGGCCGGGCCCTGGTCCTGGTGGGCATGGTGAACGGTGGGTTGGGTCTGCAGATGGCCCACGAGGAGCCGGGCGGTGGTCTCGTCGTCGCCTACTCTGTCGTGGCGGGGGTCATGGCCGCGGCCTATCTGGGCGCCGTCGGCATCGGAATCCTCAAGAGGAGGAGGACCAAGGCCGAGACGGATTCGCTGGGACAGCCGTATGTGCACGTTGCCGAGATGCACGAGGCATAGAGAGAGAGTGGCCGGTCGGGGGTTGACTTGCCTTCTTCTTCCGCCTTGGTCTGGAGTTGTAAAGATATCAAATCATTCTCTACAGGCAGTACATGTACCGACTGCCTGACTCGCTGACTGCGTGAGCCCAAGCCGATCCTGAAGATGATGCCTTTCCCTATCTTCAATGTTTTCTCGATGACTGCTGACTGCTCGGTGACTGTTGATGAGTAAGTGACAGGGTTAAGGCAGGGAGTGGCAGTGAAACCCAATAATTAAAGGAACAACAGGAAGGAGCAGCAAGGACTCAGGAGGCACTTAATACCTACAGGCTAGAGGCTACAGGCTACAGCCCATCCTGCCACCATTACTGCTTGGGTATTAATAGTAACTTGCCGCCACATAAGCAAGCGCCCCTCCTCAGCTCCTGCCCGGAGCGTGTTACATACATGTAGCAAGTCTCTGACTCCCTCCAGGACTGCACCTCTGCGCTTTGCATTTTATTCCATTTGTGGTTATCTTGCTTATTGCAGAAATAAAACAGAGTTTTTTCTCTTCTTCTCTGTTTTTTCTTCTTCTTTTCTTCAAAGGCAACACTAGAAATTCAGAAACTGATATTCCTCTTTGACTCATCTCGCTCCGAGGTTTCATTTTTTTTTTTTTCACTCTTGCAGCGGATAGGATTTAATTCTCTTTTTAGGTTCAAGTTCCTTGTTTGTTGCACATCCGTCCACTGTGCTCCACCTATATTGCCACCGGAGGCGGCGCCCTGGAAGGGGTTTTTTTTTTTGCTTCTATTTTTTTTTCTTTTCTTTTTACTGCTCTCTATTATTACAATATTTCTTTTACTGGGTTATCTCGCTCTTCTCTTCTCCCTTTCCCTCCCTTCTTCTCCCACTATTCTTATATTGTTTATTCATCTCCAGTCCGCCTTCACTTTCTTCACCGTCATCACCATAATTGTCACTATAATCATCACTGTCGTCATCACCGTCATCATCGCCATCATCATCACCAGCATCACCACCACTGCCATCTCCGGTTCCAGAGGCAAACCTGACAATCCTCATCGACACCATTTACCTGTGGGCGAACTTCGTCTAAGCCAACAAAAAGGAGTCCACATACACGCACCATATAAACTCACTCCCACACGACTGTGCTGGTAGCTCTATCAACGCCCCCCCCTAAGCCATGACCGGCTCCGAAAACCCTCAGGCCAATAACCCAGGGGGCTACGATCTACTTCGAAGGGCTACACAGGCCATGATGTCGAGGTACGTTTGTTTCTGATCTTGTCTCTCGTCTTGTCTATCCCGTATTGCTTTCCATCCATCATCCCTCGGTCTTACTTTTTTTTTCCTCCTTTTTTTTTTTTTTTTTTGCGGCTCTGCTCCTGCCCCTCCCACCCCTCACAGCCTTCCCTGTCTTTTCTTTGCCGGGGGCTGGCTCTCAAATCATCATCACCAGCCCATTCATTCATTCATTCATTCATCCTTCCATCCAAACAAGCTCAACCTCCAAATCCAAGGTGGACGAGGGGAACTGCTGCCAAATTGGCCTGTGACGTTCAGTCTTGTCATGACACCGTCTTTGCCATGTTAGATCGAATAACGCTGTTAGACCTGCGGGGTGGCAGCCGCGGGTTTGTCATGGATGAGGAAATGATCACTGCTCTCTCTGCCTGTTCTTCTGCCCTCTCATTCCACAGCCATGGAACGTCATGTCTCGATCGGGTCTAGTGTACCTGGTCGGCTGTATACCTGGGTTCCTTGGGTTTCTGGAGATGGCGAGTCCATCACGAGTTCCCCAAGACCCTGCGGATCCATCATCCATCCCGCTCTTCCCATCGTCGTGCTGTTGCTCGGTCAATCCACGCGTTGCAAGTGCACGCCAGACGAACTGTGCGGGTGTGGAGCGGTGATGTGGTCCCACCAGAAGCCGCTGGCTGACTCTTGGTCTCGGTGTGTATGCATCATAACCAGCGTCATGCTTTGTTGCATGGTCCACCACCAGCGGGAGACATGTGGTCGTCAGCTTGGCTCTGGTCATCAGGGACGCTCTGGTGACGCTCAAACAGCGTTCAGCCGTCAACACAGCTGAGATGGTCCGTCGTTGCAAGTACAGAGTAACGAGCTACACACGGCTCCTCTCTCTCTCTCTCTCTCTCTCTCTCTCTCCCCCCCCTTCCCCCCTCCGTCTAGAGCCGTCTCCACCATTGCGTGAGCTTAGCGGTGGCGGCCAGAGGCGGTCGATAAGGCGAAAAATCATTCACTACATGCCCCGACCGGGTGCTAGTAGGCTACCCTCATTATTTCCCCACTTGGCGGTCTCTCTGGGCTCTCTGGTTTTTCCGGCCTTACTGGACTTCCTATTTTGGTCCGCTCTCGGAGAAGCCTTCATCTGCGCTCCCAACTGGTTGACCCTGTACCCGGGACTCTCCGCACCGTCTTGGACGTCGCTACTGCCCGGCATTCATTGGGAGAGTGTCTGGAAAGACTATCTTGTGCTGTTGCAGACCATTTGGTGCCAGCTACCAGTTCGGTGATTTAACATTATCGGTCCATCGCAACTCTCACTCTCGAGCCTCTTCTACCTCCCACTTATTCACCTGCCCCTCCCTCTTTGGTCCGTTCTTGGCGGTCATGATGAACTAGCGTTCCCACTTCTTTCTCGCCTCTTCTCCTTCCCCGCGCCAATTCCCTGCCTGGCCCCTTCTGTCTTTTTGCCCAGGCATGCCACTTCCACTTCTGCCCACCAGCTTCTGCCCACACCAGGCTCTGCCCACCAACAAACCTCTCTGACTCCGACACGACAGAGAGAGAGAGAGAGAGAGAGAGAAAAGACGTCGATCCTTCTTCACACTACTATTCCAATCTTGCCTTCCCCAAACTAACCTTCCACCACCGCCGCCGCCGACTGGCCTGCCTACTTCTCTCCTCACTTTTCGCTCTTCTCTCCGCTTGCCTCTGTGCTTGCCTCTACCGACAATGCCCGATGTTGACCGAATCAATAGGACTTCCTCCGAGGATGGCGGCGATCAGATTGGCTATGACGCCCCTCAGTCCGGTGCAGCCACCCCGCAACCCGATCTTCGGGACAAACGTCTGCCGGGAATCATGAGCTACTTCAGCCAGGTTCGTCGAGATGCTCCTACTCCCCACGCTGCCGAGACCACCTCTCCTTCATATTTTGCCCTCAAAACTCCTCCCGCCGCCTATGCCGAGCCTTTCAACTGGCCCACCCGAAGGCACATGGCCTCTCGCTCGGCCGATCTGCAAGCCACCGCTGCTCCCCCCACCACCACAATCACAAATGCTATACCCACAATGATGAGGGCGGCGCCGTCCAGTCGACCCTCCAGTCGACCGCCCAGCCGACCGCTTAGTCGAGCGCCCAGTGGCGCGAATCTGAACCTGAACCTGAACCTGAACCTGGCCATGACCTCCGGTCCTGCCGAGGAGGGTTCCTCAGATCATCTCCAGGCAGGCCAGACGTCCTCATCAGGGAGAGACCCCGGCCTCGTCCGCCATTCATATTTCCTCACTCCTCCCACTTCCCTACCCTCATCATCCGTCAGCTCTCCCGTGCAAGAGCGCAGGAATCCCTTCTGGTCCGTCGGTCCTGCCGGCGCAGCCCTGAGGGATACTGACATCATGCCCCCACCTCCTGTTTCTTCTTGCTCGACTCCTGGTCTCGAGAAGTCGTCTCGGGAGGACCCCATCATCACCACCACCCCTCCTGATGCACACGATGGCGGGGACGACGGTAGGCTTGCTGGTTGGAACCCCTGGCAGGGCTCCAAGAGCAAGAGCATGCCCAATAGTACCCGAAACTCCACCTCTGCGTTTCGTCCCCAGACTCCACAACCCGGCAAGACCGAGGCATCTGGTAGATGGTATACGCTTGAAGGACTCAGGGAGCTAACTCGTGGCTTAATCAAGAGCGGCCCCCCTACCCCGACAAGAGCCCTTTCGACCGCCCAGCCCTCCCCCCATGCAGAGAATCATGACCTACTCGGAGCCGGCAAAGGTCAAGGTCGCAGTGGCAGCAGGAGCGTCAGCAACGACGATGGCGCCGAGCCGAGTGGCACCCAGACCCCCCGCGGCGGCGTCATCGGCACCGGTCCAACAGCAGCAACGTCGTCGGCCTCGACAGGTGCCCAGGCCCCCGCACCCAAGGGGAAGCTCACCATCAAGATACCCGAGGCCCGGGGTCTGAGGAAGAGCCGCGACCCCTATCTCATCGTAGTCTTCCAGCGCAGCGAGCTCATATCTGCCAGCCCCCGATCCATGGACGGCGGCGAGACCCTCAGCCCCGCCCCTCCCACGCTCGGCGGCGGCGTCCCCATACAGCGCCAGGGAAGCGACAACGGCCCGCCTCCAATGTCCATACCCATGCGCAGCCGCCAGAGCAGCAACACGAGCGTCACCGACCACAGCAACGTCCGCAGGCCGTCGCGCGTCTCCTTCACGAACCCGAAATGGGATGCCGAAGCTGTCTTGTGAGCTCTCCTCCCCCCCCCCCTCTCCTTCCACCGATCGAGGCAAGCTAACTCCGAACCTTGTAGCGACGTTGTCGATTCAGACATGGCTGTTGGCATCTCCGTCTACGATCACACCGTCAGCGGCGAGGAGTTTCTGGGATACGTCAATTTCCAGGCATCGCAGGAATCCGACGAGGCTGTCAAGGGATGGTTCGCCCTGGAGGGACACGCCGATACCATGGCGGAGAACGCGCCCATGGGTGAGATCTATGTCGAGGCCCACTACCAGGGATCGGAGAAGAAGCACTTTGGACCCAGCGACTTCCAGATTCTCAAGCTCATCGGGAAGGGCACCTTTGGCCAGGTGTATCAGGTGCGGAAGCGCGACACGAAACGCATCTACGCCATGAAGGTGCTGCAGAAGAAGGTGATTGTGCAGAAGAAGGAGGTGGCACACACGGTCGGCGAGCGAAACATCCTGGTGCGGACGGCCATGGCAGAGTCGCCATTCATTGTGGGACTCAAGTTCTCCTTCCAGACGCCGTCTGAGCTGTACCTGGTCATAGACTACATGTCTGGCGGCGAGCTGTTTTGGCACCTGCAGAAGGAGGGCCGCTTCGACGAGAAGAGGGCCAAGTTCTACATTGCCGAGCTCATCCTGGCCATCCAGCACCTGCACAATAACGACATTGTATACCGCGACCTCAAGCCCGAGAATATTCTGCTCGACGCCAACGGCCACATCGCCCTGTGTGACTTTGGCCTGTCGAAGGCTAACCTGACCAACAACGACACCACCAACACATTCTGCGGCACGACCGAGTACCTGGCCCCCGAGGTGCTGCTAGACGAGTCTGGGTACACCAAGATGGTGGACTTCTGGTCCCTGGGCGTGCTGGTTTTCGAGATGTGCTGCGGGTGGAGCCCCTTCTACGCCGAGGACACGCAGCAGATGTACAAGAACATTGCCTTTGGCAAGGTGCGCTTCCCGCGTGACACGCTGTCGCAGGAGGGCCGCAACTTTGTCAAGGGCCTGCTGAACCGCAACCCCAAGCACCGTCTGGGCGCGACCGACGACGCCGAAGAGCTCAAGCAGCACCCCTTCTTCGCTGACATCGACTGGACTCTGCTGTCCAAGAAGCTCATCACGCCTCCCTTCAAGCCCAACCTAAAGTCAGAGACGGACGTGTCGTACTTTGACCCAGAGTTCACGACGGCCCTCGAGCAGAACGGCTCGCTCAACGAGCGCGCTGCCGCCCTGGCCAGGGGATATGCCGCTAGCACGCCCCTATCCCCCTCAGTCCAGGCCAACTTCCAAGGTTTCACCTTTGTCGACGAGAGCGCCCTGGACGACCACATGCGCGACCGCCTCAGGATGAACAATGACGACGAGGACATGGACGATGCGCGGGGTGCGCGGGAATCCGCAACCACCGGAGAATCCGGAGACCATGTCAACAATGACGACGACTGGGACAACCTCGACGATATTGACCCGAGAAAGGCGAACAGGATGAGTGGAATCATGAAGGGTAGTCCTCATGATGATCAGATGGTTGGCGGGTCACATTTCGACCCGTAAAGAATGCCTCTTTTTTTTCTTTCTTTTCTTCTTTCTCGATCTGGTTTAGGCCTTTGTTCCTTTTCACATGGTCTCATCTCATGGCTTTCTCTTTTTTAATCTTTCTGGCCTCTTACTTTTTTTACTCCCCATACCTACTACATGCACTACAAGTATTACAACAACGACGACGACGACGACAAATCGCAGCGGCGTCTTTTGATTAATTCGGAATCTCTGTTCCTTTTTGGGGATTCATCTCCATGGGTTGTATATAAGAGGCAAATTTGTTACGCGCGCTCTCTGCCCCCCCCCCCCCCCCCCCCCCCCCCAGTTTCGAATCTACTATGATATGAAGACGATATGGTAATGCATGGACGTTTTTGACGACGGAGTTTTTATATTCATTCTTGTTCCTTTTCCGTTTACAGGGGTGGCATTTGCATTGGTCACACTGGCCTGACGTTTTTGACCCTTTCTTTTCCTCCCCCCTTATCGAAAAGAAAACAAAGACGGACAGGCCCCAAGGGAGTTTGGTTGGGGTTTTTTTTTTCAAATGTAATTCAACACCGACTTCTTGTCTCAACTGTGGGTGTATATGTGTACATCGAGTGATGCGTTGGACTACGTATACTCTCCCACTCTCGAGGTTGCCGTGTTACATGACGTAAAAAGGTTCAAGAAGGAAAACACAGATACCAAGCAATATGAACAAGTGGACAGAGTAGAAAAAAAATTGGGGAAAATAATAAAAAGTTGTACATAGGAGCAAACCACTCATGTTGGTTACATCCGTCTTTGCCGTGAGCTTGTCTGTCTTGTTTTGTCTGGGACAAGGTAAATAAAAAAAGACAACATCTCTGCTTTTTGAAGAGAGATCTCTCTCCTCCGATCCATCAATTCCCCTTTCTCCCCGCTTGTTCGCTTTGTAAAGAAACCCGACGTATATATATTTTCCAGCCACAGTGTCCCTCCTTATTCCTCATCAGGTTAAGAAGAGAAAAAGGACAGCACTTAGTGAGCCTTACCCTCCTCGACATCCTCCGTCTCGAGCCAGTCGGGGATCTCGGCCTGGGCGCCGTCAACAGAGGCAGAAGCATCTTGACCCTCAATCTCGACGGCCATGCTCTCGTACTCCTTGAGGGAGCCGGCGAGGTCGGCCTCCTCGGGGGAGGTGGGGGTCTGGGGGGCGGAGAAGACCTTGACGTGGGCGTCGGCATCCGAGGCCTTGACGACGGGGGTCTTGTACGACTTGAGCTCCTTCAGATAGAGCTCCTGAACGAAATCGGCTAGGGATCATTTGGTGCGTTAGCAACGTTCAGCCTCTAGCGATGGTGGGTTGTGCCGCTTTTTTTCTTTTTTTTTTCCTTTGAGATCCCGGTGTCTCTCGCCTAATCTGGTCGGATAGCATGGTCGTAGTTCGGGCGAATGGCAGGCCATTTCGGAAGGAGCAACGTTGAATCCATTGAACTCGTATGAATAATCGTGGTGATTGGCGAGAGGAAATATGCGTCGACAAGAAAAAAAACAGAAGTCGACCTGAGAAAGAAGAGAGCGAAGGAATGAGGTCGATCGAAGAGTTTATGCGTTGACGTCGGTTCTGGTCGGTTCTCCGAGGACCAGGGGGGGGGGGGGCGACGGGCGACGGCGGACGAAAGAGCGGCAAGAGCATTGACAGAGAAAAAAAAAGGCACCAGAATCCCATCGTCCAGACTATCGCTTCTTACCTCTCCGAGAGACAGTGGGAGCAATGAAGTTCCTGGCCTGGTTACCGGCACTGCGGCGGGTGACGGCGGCGACGACGGAGCGAGCGCGCTAAATAAATCTTTTGGTCAGTTCCATCATGGACGAAGGACAGAGAGGACGACGAATACCAGCATACCGTAGCTCGGGTCAGCTGGTTGAGCATCTTGGGCGAGAGGAAATAATTCAATTGATTGAATTAGATGAGGAAGAAAGTTGTTTCCCGAGAGGAGGGGCGTCAGTCGGAGCGAAAGGTGGAGGGAGGGTGGCTGGCGTAGGAGAGATTAGCTGAGGCTTTTGTGAAAATCGGGAGAGAGACCTGTTTAGCCGGCTCAAGCAAGGTTGGGGAAGAGCATGTTGGTGCCTCAGGTGTTTTTTTTTTTTTTAGTTCTTCTGTTTTTTTTTTGGCTGCTGGGCGGGTGCACGGAGTTAGTTGGGTGGAACCGGTGGAACTGCTGGGTAGCTCCTTCCCACTTCCTCAATTCCCCGGATCCTTCTTATGGCTTGGAGAGGTGGCACGTGACTTTGAAATAGGAACTTCAAAGAGAAGATACGCACAACATCCCGAACAAGCAAACTGGCCATCGGTTCCACCCAATACGGTAGTAAATCGGTCATAACGCTGTCGGATCTGCTGTTTCGTAGTAGATGTATCTGTGAACTCATCGTGTGTGGATGACTTGCTTGTTCATGTAGGAAAGAGGTTTTCTGATAGGGATTCCTAAGATATGAGGGAAGGTCGTAGCCACCGAAAGGAGGACTCCCTTTCAGAAGTCTTCTCCACAAAGGAAGGAAAGTAAAAGAGGGGGGAGAGACCACTGCACCGTGGTACTATGAATTAACGGTATTATACGAGACTAAACTTTTATCCATATCTATATATATATATATATATATATAATATGAAACATCCTGATATGCTTCGAGAAGAGATCCTACCGCTTTGGCAGCTCTCAGCATATAACCTCCCAGTATTATTGCATAGTAGCAGTAGCATCCGAGTTGCAAAGTACCCTGTATCCCATTACTCCAATGCTGCACATCATCTCTCGTGATGGATGATAGCCGTATGTTGCCTGAATGAAGAAGGCCCGATAATCACTCCTAGGGTACGAAGTACTTGTGGATTCCTCACCGTCCCTCAGACAGTCGGGCTTCACAATCCTCTCCCATGTCCGACTCGTGTCTCCGTGATGGCGCGGTTCATGGCGCAGTGAGGACGCCTGATACCGCGCAGAGATTGGAAGACGGGTGAGCGAACGAACGCGTGGCTATCGTCGACTGGCTGCTGAAAGTGTCGGGCTGGGTATGAACATATTCTAGGATTTGAGGAGAGGTATCGGGAAATAAAGGCAAGGGGACTGGACTGCGGAATACAAATTGGACACGGCGGAAGTGCCTGGACATGTCTCATATATGTACGCAGATATATTCATGGATGGCTGGCCCAACACCATGCGATCATGGAAGGTCATGTAGTTCGTAACGTCTTTGAGTGGCTGTCAATATCAATGCTTAGATACCAATTCGCACGCGTACTTTTCATGCAAGCCACCTGGTAGTATACCGGTACTCTGGCTGGCTGACCGTGGGCCTCATGCGTCATGAAGATGACGGCGATGCAGGGTTGCGTTCACGGAAGGGACATACTCCTGGCCCGATTCCAGCGGTCCAACCTGAGCGCTCTCCTCTTCCTACACCAATACTTGGAATGCCTATTGAATCTTCTTGACGGGGACTCCTTCGTATCCATTGACCTTTCCATAGACCCAGCTGAGCCCGATAGATGATCCCGTGGAGAGGAAGGCGGCAAAGGTAAAGAGGAGAAGACGCTGAGGTGTCGACAGGAGCGCAAAGATGGGATAAGGGTACCTGCACACGGAAACCTGGTCAGTCTCACTCAATATTGACCGCCACTCGGTCACGATGTGTAGAGGACAGCAAGAGTGTTGGAAATGAAGAGGGGAAAGTATGGAAAGAGAACGCAACAAAAAAAAACAAAAAAAAAAAAAAAAAAAAAAAAAGGGGGGGGGGGGGGGGGGGGGATGAAGGAAGAAGAAGAGAGAGGAAGAGGAAGGGACAGGGACGCACCATCCATTGTGGCTAAAGCAATGCTCGACCCAGATCCAGTAGGCCGACGCCAGCGAGCCGCTCAGCGCTACGACGCCATACGCAGGCACGGTCCACGGCGGGCTGAGCAGGACAAAGTCGGCGGCCAGCAGGACGGCGGGCGCGAGGTGGAAGCCCATGTCGACAAGGAGGGGGAGCTGGAAGTCGCCCTCGACCAGCAGGGTGGGGTCGATGAGGTACAGCCCCCAGTACAGGATGGCGACGACGACCTCGACGGGCGCGGCCAGCACGGCGACGACGTTCTTGGCCCGGAAGAGGGCCGGGGACAGGGTCAGGTCGGCCAGGGCGGCCAGGGAGAAGGCCAGCAGGGCGGCCGAGAGCCCCAGGATGGTCAGGAACTGGAAGTGCCACCCGTAGGCGTCGGCGATGGGCACGTCCCACGTCGTCAGGAAGTAGAAGTTGTAGCTGAAGCTGGCTACGCCGGCGAGGTGCAGGGCCAGCGAGACGGTCGGCGACGGCGATGCCAGCCGCTGGAGCGGGTGCTGTCGGCTCATGGTCACGATGCGGTTGAGCTGTTAGAGGGCGGGAGGAGAAGGATTGAACGATGGGGATGACGCAAGCCATCCAGGCCATCGCCATGTGTAGCCTGTATGACAACGGTATCTACTATTACGGCGGATATCCAGTGACAGAGGGACCCGGCGGCATAGCGGGTCGACAGCACCTCCGAGGCCCTCAACGGCACTGTGACATGCTAAAAGTCTGACGCGTAGAGCTCTCGGGCCACTATTACGAGCGGCAATACTGCATATCACTGCTAACCTGTAATCTTTGCTCGTGCACTAATAACCTGCCTGTACGGCGGAAACCCGGTTATTACCATCAGGGGTAATTGGTTCTATTCTTATTTTTATTTTTTTTCAAATGGGGGTTTTCCCTTTACTTCTTCTTTTTTCTCTTCACATTCCTTCCAGCCCAACATTTCTTAAACGTCATCACATCCAGCAACACTCTGCATAATTTTGGCGTGCGTCCCCTGCGCTCTTATCGTCTCGCAACTTGTGGGAGTGCGTGCGTGTAGGCGACGCAAGTACTACCATGTGAGATGCTACGTCAGCGGTGTATGCGTTCTACAACGACAGATCAACGAGAATCTTGACCTGCGTCTCTCTGTCCTTGATGAGAGACTGGAAGCCGCGCTCGACGAGGTCCTCCAGCTTGATCTTTGAGGTAATCATACCCTCGGGAGCAATCGCACCTATACCCAGCAATAGTGGCACGGTCAGCGCTCAACCCTGACTGAACTCGCCTACATCGATGTGTGTGTATTCGTAGGACAGTACTGTCGAGACTGTGCTCACCCGTGCTCAAGCCCTCAATGACAGATGCAAAGTCCCTGTCCCGGTAAGCGAGAACCGACTTGTAGGCCGTCTCCCTGAAGGTCAACCAGTTGGGGTTGAACGAGACGCCCTTTTCCCAGATGGCCACGTTGATGATGGTGCCAAACGTCTTGACGGCGGTGCACGCGCACTCGATGCTATTCCCCGGCTGTCAGCCAGAATCTCTGCTCTGGAGACCCAACCCGTCCTCGAGCAGAGTGCATACCTCTGGGGGACCCCGGCACAGTCGATGGTGACGTCGGCGCCCGTCCCGTTCGTCTTCTGGTTGACGTCGGCCACGACATCGGTATCGGTGGGGTCGACCACCCACTTGGCGCCGAACTGGGCGGCGTAGTTGCGCCTCGCGGCCGCCACCTCCGAGACCATGATGTCGGTGACGCCCTTGGCCCTCAGGCAGAGCACGATGGCGAGGCCGATGGGCCCGCCGCCGATGACGAGGACGAACGAGTCGGGGTCCAGGTCGGGGGCGGCCTCGATGGCATGCCACGCCACAGAGAGGGGCTCGACCAGGGCGCCCAGGTGGAGCGGCACGCTGTCGGGGAGAGGAAACACGCGGTCCGCCCTGACGCAGACGGCGTCGCTGAGCCCTCCCCCCTGCCCGCTCAGGCCGACGAAGCCGACGGTGTGGCAGATGTTGTAGGCTCCCACCTTGCAGGCCGGGCACTCGCCGCACACGATGAGCGGCTGGACCGTGCACTTCTGCCCGACCTTGAGCTTGTCCACTCCGGGCCCGACCTCCTTGATCGTACCGGAGAACTCGTGGCCCAGAGTGACGGGAATGGTCTCGCCCGTCACCGGGTGCGGGTGCGCCGGACAGAATGTAGGTCCGCCCAGGTACTCGTGTAGGTCTGTGCCGCAGATGCCCACAAAGGCCGGGGTGATCTGGTTGATGGTATCCCACTCTTCATCATCAGTAACCAAGGACCCTACCAACGCAATCTTGAGCTAGGGTAGGTATCATATGCCGACACTGACCTTTACCTGTCCTGCCTGGACAGTCGGCTCTTCAATCTGCTCTACTCTCACGTCCCCTACACCGTGGTATCGTGCGGCTCTCATATCGTGCCCTTATCCGGCCGGTGATGACGAGAAAAACGTGCGCGCGTGTGTGCGTGTGCGTGTGCGTGTGTGTGTGTGTAGACAGAGGGGAAAGGCTGTGGCTGACCAAGGGAAGCAGGGACCAAAAGAAGAGAGGACGTATCAGTTCTCAACTGGCTTCATTATATATACATATATATATATATATATATCATAGATATACTAATCGCAAAACGAAACGGTAGGCCGTAAGGTGGAGAATCGGAGGCGTTGAAATCGGAGCCGCTCCTGCACTCCTCTTTTGCTGCGGGCCGCAAGCCGCATCCCCCCGGTGGACACACTGACAAGGCGAGTCAGACCACCTTACCACGCTCTCTCATTGTACAGTACGGCTGTGCTCTACCCACGCAGCTCTCCCCGCGCCGAGCTGAGGTTTCCCTCGACAGGATCAAGGTGGCCATGTAGTCTGGCGGCGAATCACCTGCCATTATGCTTCTTCCAGTGTCTGATGCAACATGGAAAAAGGTTCCCTCCCCTTCCTGTTCAGCAATACTACCAAGGTGCTACGAGTGGTGCGACATCGATACGGGGTGCTCTGAGGCACCGGAGGCTCCTCTTTCCCCTCCTCGTTGTCGGATCCACCTTCGCATTAATTCCGAGAGATGACGTCCCGTTGTCGGTTGTCGTCGGAATCAATATCGGTTGAAGATTTCCGGGTTACGGGGCTGCTGTTGGCCAGACTTACATGTTATGTGCTAACTCCTATTCATGGCCGTTCCAGTATAAGTGATCTGTCCATGTGTATAGAAACAGCTCCTGAGATCCCCAACACAGGTTCCCTGGGGTCTTGCAGAGATCCATACTCGGGAAGTTTTCAAGAAATCGCGCTCCGACCTATCACGCCATCTTAGCCATCTTGCCAGACTTGCCTTGCCTTGCCAAGCTGACATGGAAGAGCCGCACTTGTCCAGTTCGAGTCGCCAGCGGAAGCGACTACCTCCGGGTGGATCTCTATGCAGCGTCCCGCTCCGATGCTCCGCCGGCTTCCGAGTCTGCCCGTGTATAGGTAAGAGCAAAACGTGGGGGGGGGGGGGGTGCCCGGATTGTAGATCAGCACGGCCGACATGGCCACTATGAGGAGTAGAAAGGAAAAAAGAAGAAGAACGGCCACGGTATCCCGTTCCTGTAGAGATGAACATATAGAGAGAGAGGACGGACGACGGTGCTCAAAGACGATGTGGGCGTCGAAAACGGGAGGTAATCTGGATGGGAGAGCTTTGTTTAGGCTCGGTCGATATTGATGAGATATGCCTCCCGGGTAGCGCCGCTCGAGGCAGAATGACAGTGCCGGCGACCACGGTCACGGGAGCGAGAGTTGGCAGCAGTGTCAGCGTTGACTGCCCCTCTCGACAGGTTCCTAGCTGATCCACCGCATGCTACTGGCAATACCCGACAGTCCGGAATACGAGAGAGATCGGGGTGAAGGGTAGAATTGATCGGAAAGAAGAAAGGAACTTGGAAGCCTGGAGGTTACCACATGGCGACCTCACGACATTGGCGCTACCGCTATGCAATGGTCATCTGCGCCACACGAGGCTGGTGCCCCACGTTGGCTGCTGTGGAAACAAATTCTCTGTTTGAAAGTTGGACGAGGCTCACCGCGCCAATCCTCCAGTCGCATCATAGCTGAGACGACGAAGATACAGGGCCGGCCGCGCGCGCTCATCCAGCCAATATTCGCAAACCGCCTGTCCCATCCCTCCCGGCGGACCAGGGGATAAAGCAGCACGATGGCTGACTCGACATCGGAGGAGGCCAAGGCTGCCCAGAAGCGGAACCATGACGACTTCACAGAGCAGGAAGATGGTGAGCAAGGCGTGACCCACGGCGTACCGGCGAGCGTCTACCAGTTCGGACCAGCAGGCCATTTTCAATCTTTTTCTTTTTCTTTCCCTCAAGAATTTTACAATACTTTCTTCAATTATGCCTCAATGATTTAATTTAATTTTCATTTTATTTTCTTACTGACCAAGAGCACACCGTGTGGGTGACATGCAGATTCCTCGTCGGACGACGACATGGGCCCGCAGCTCCCATCAGCGGCGCCCAAGAAGAAGCGACGAGTCCTGCGACACGAGAAGCTATACGTGGCGGCGCTGCCCAAGTCTGCACGGTACTCCAAGTCGCTGATGCACAAAGAGCAGGTCCTCTTCGTGACGTGGACCCCCCTGACGGATTTCCTGATCACGACGTCGGTGGATGGGGTGGTCAAGTTCTGGAAGAAGATATCGCAGGGCATCGAATTCGTCAAGGAGTTCAAGGCGCACAACGGCGAGGTGGTGTCGGTGAGCGTGAGCAGCGACGGGCGCAGCTTCGCGACGGCCGGGGCGGACCAGACGATCAAGGTGTTTGACGTCATGTCGTTTGACCTGCTGTCGATGCTGGCGCTCGACTACGACCCCGGCTGCGTGTGCTGGGTGCACAGGAGGGGCGCGTCGCTGCCGCTGCTGGCCGTCTCGGACGGCGCGAAGCCGCTGATACACGTGTACGACGGGCGCGGCGAGAAGGAGGACCCGATACACACGGTCAAGGGGCTGCACCGCAAGCCGGTGCACCTCATGGCGTTCAACGACCGGTACGACTGCGTCGTGTCGGCCGACCAGGCGGGCATGGTCGAGTACTGGCAGCCGGGGGGCACGTACGACAAGCCCGAGGGGGTGTTCGAGTTCAAGAGCTCGACGAACCTGTTCGACTTCCGCAAGGCCAGGTGCGTGCCGTCGTGCCTGACGGTGTCGCCCGATGGGCGGCAGCTGGCCACGCTGTCGATGCCAGACCGCAAGGTACGCCTGTTCGACTTCGCCACGGCCAAGCTGCACCGCACATACGACGAGTCGCTGCAGGCCGCCGAGGAGATGCAGCAGGTCGGCGGGGCGGGGGCGCACAAGCTGGACCGGGTCGAGTTCGGGCGGCGCATGGCGCAGGAGAAGGAGGTGGAGTCGGCGACGTTGCGGGACAAGTCCAACGTGGTGTTTGACGAGTCGGGCAACTTCCTCATCTACGGCACGATGGTGGGCATCAAGGTACTCAACACGTACACGAACCAGGTGGTCAAGGTGTACGGGCGCGACGAGAACCTGCGCGGCGTCAACCTGGCCGTCTACCAGGGCCAGCCGCAGAAGAAGGGCGTGACGACGGTGGAGATGGGCGCGTCGAGCAACCCGCTGCTCCGGGAGTCGGAGTCGCGCGACCCCATGCTCGTCGCCACCGCCGCCGGCCGCGTCCGCTTCTACATGTTCACCGACGACGAGGACGTGTCCAGGTCGACGCGCGACGTCCAGAATGAGCGGCCCACCATGCTGGGCGGCCGCGACAGGAAGAGCGGCGCTGGGCGCAAGGCCGAGACGGGCAGCGCCGCCGTCATCCACACCACCTACGGGGACGTGCACGTCCGGCTGTTCCCCGACGCGGCGCCCAAGACGGTGGAGAACTTTGTCACCCACTCCCGCAACGGGTACTACAACGGGACCATCTTCCACCGCGTCATCCGCAAGTTCATGATCCAGTGCGGTGACCCCCTCGGCGACGGCACGGGAGGCGAGAGCATCTGGGGTCGTGAATTCGAAGACGAGTTCAGCAGCCTCAAGCACGACAAGCCGTATACCGTCAGCATGGCCAATGCGGGTCCCAACACGAACGGAAGTCAGTTCTTCATCACGACCGAGAAGACGGTATGTCCTCCGCCTCCCTCCCTCCCTGTCACGCTCTATGGGGTGTCATCGCTCTTCCCGCTCCCCTCCCCTTCTTCTCTGGTGTTGTCGAGTAGACAAAAGACTGACGGCCCCTGCAGCCTTGGCTCGACGGCAAGCATACCATCTTTGGCAGAGCCACGCAAGGGTTCGATGTGATCCACAAGATTGAGAATGCCCGGACGCACAAGGAGAAACCAGAGGAGGACATCAAGATTCTCAGCATCGACATCTCATAGTTGCCGGTGGCGGTGAGGCGGCAAAGAGGAAGGGGGTTCCTGCCAGGGAGGAGACTGTAGAGCCTCCACGGCAAGAAGCAGATCATATAAAGGAGGAAAGATATACTAGACAACCACGCAAATGTGCAGGAGCTTGACACTGGAGAAGCTCGAGAGTGTCTGGAGAACGTTGGAGATGGCGCCTACATGCTACGGGGCACGTGACTGCAAATATCAGTAGATGCATGGATAGGCATGTGACCTCTTCTTGGTTGACCTCTTTTTTTTTTTGGTTCTATTACGTGGTAACGGCAGCTGCTTGGGTTAGCAGCCGTACGCCGTACGTGCATGTATGTGTATCTGTCAAGACTCATCGGAGAGTACAGAGTACGATGATACGGTATAATAGTATAATGGTATAACAGTATTGCGAGTATACGGGTATGTGAGTCGTCTTAGTTACAGACGATACTTGCAGCAGCCGTAACTGACCAGGGTTGCCGCGACCCAGGTAGAGAGACCAGATTACATAATATAATCATATGTTATAATACAGTAAAACAAAAAGACTGCAAAAAAAAAAAAACCACATTGACCAATAACGGCAGCCCCGTTTGTTACCAAGTCCGAGACTCGGGTACGTATTATGGACCGCAGTACATTTTCCTTCCCATTCTAGCTGCGACTCATACCATCGGCGCCGATGGATCAGAGTTGATGGCTCATACTGTTCTGCATCAGGCGCCACTATAACTCTCTCTCTCTCTCGCTCTTCGTTGCTGCAAGTCCGTCATTCAGACCAAGACTTCTCTTCCTCTTCCTCTCCACAATCAGCTACCCAATCCCTCAAAACCAAGCATTGACTTCGTCCCCCCCCCCTCTGTGTTATTCTACAAGACTCGTGTAATAATATTATCTCTCTTTTTTCCTCACACCCATTGACACACAAATCGTGATATACACCCACCATGTCGGTAAGAATCAACCCACCGCCTCCTCGGTTTTTTTCTTCTTCTGCTGCCCCCTCGCTAAACAGCTGAAAACACGATGACGTCCGTCTCATAAAAAAAAAGGACAACAGCTGACATTCGATGAACATATTAGTTCTTCATTGAGAACAAGCAGGTTGGCCAGAAGGAGGAGGCCGAGGACTGGAGGAGTAAGTTTCCCGAAATCTCTTGTTGCTTCTTGCTTCTTGCTCCCCCTCCCCCACCATCCAGTGGTGCTACTGCGGCGGATAGCTGGTGCTGACAACGAGATGCGTCGACAGTCAAGGGCTACAACCCTCTCATGCCCCCGGACCTGCTGCAGTTCGAGATCCCCCAGACGCCCGAGTCGCGCGCGACAGTACGCCAGGGCCGCGACGACGTCGAGGCCGTGGTGCACGGCCGGGACCCCAAGAAGCGCCTCCTGGTGGTGATAGGCCCTTGCTCGATCCACGACCCGGAGGCCGCCCTGGCCTACTGCGACCGCCTGCTGGAGCTCAAGAGGAAGCACAGGGATGAGCTGGTCATAGTGATGCGCTCCTACCTCGAGAAGCCGCGGACGACGGTCGGGTGGAAGGGCCTGATCAACGACCCGGACATTGACGGCAGCTTCAAGATGAACAAGGGCCTGAGGATCTCCCGCCAGATGTTCGTCGACCTGACGCACAAGGGCATGCCCATCGCCAGCGAGATGCTCGACACCATCTCCCCGCAGTTCCTGGCCGACCTGCTGTCCGTCGGTGCCGTCGGCGCCCGCACCACCGAGTCCCAGCTGCACCGCGAGCTGGCCAGCGGCCTCAGCTTCCCCGTCGGCTTCAAGAACGGCACCGATGGCAGCCTGGGCGTCGCTGTCGACGCCATCGGCGCCGCCAAGCACCCCCACCACTTCCTCTCCGTCACCAAGCACGGCGGCGTCGCCATCGTCGGCACCGTCGGCAACGACGACTGCTTCGTCATCCTGCGCGGCGGCACAAAGGGCACAAACTACGACGCCAAGTCCGTCGCCGAGGCCAAGGCCGCCCTCGCCAGCAAGGGCGTCCGTCAGGGTCTCATGATTGACTGCTCCCACGGAAATTCCAACAAGGACCACAGGAACCAGCCCAAGGTTGCCGCCGTCATCGCCGAGCAGATGGCCAAGGGCGAAGACGCCATCATGGGCGTCATGATTGAGAGCAACATCAACGAGGGTACGTCCTCTCCTCCCCCCCCCCCGGCTCGTCTCCCTTCTCCAGTCCAAACCTGACCCTGACATGCAATCATAGGCAACCAGAAGGTTCCCGAAGAGGGCAAGGCTGGCCTCAAATACGGCGTCAGCATCACCGACGCCTGCATTTCATGGGAAGATACCACTGTCGTCCTCGACCGATTGGCCGACGCCGTCAAGCAGAGGAGGATTGCTCTCGGGGTGAACTAGGATATCGGGAGAGAAAGAAAGTACCGATGGCATTCTATTTTATTTTTGTTTTTGATTTTTTTAAAAAGCAAGTTTATGGTAATATAGGGAAAGGGAAAAAAACAGTTTCACAGAAAGTTCCATATTGCGGCGGCGTTGGACCATATTCACCGGTTGTTAGATGTTAGCATTGCAAACAAGGAAGAAGGAAGAAAGGAAAAACAGCATGATACCTAAGAATACCGCATATTAAGTCCTGCTTGTGTTTTCGTGCGTTTTTTCTCTCCTTCTTTTATTACCAAACAAATCAAGGTAATATTCTGAAGCTGCGGTAGACTGTACTATTCCGAAGGGGAAGGGGGGGGGGGGGGGGTTTACCTTGGCAGCGGCACGCACTCAAAGACACGACAGTGTATTTTCGTATGAATACTGTATACACATACTGTTCCTGTTCCAGGCGGTGCGCAAACCTCCTTGCAATCCGTGGTTTTCTGGCAAGAGCAAAGGGTCCGTCACAATCGATTGTCTACTCCGCAAACCATCAACAGACCCTCGGCAGAGAGCCTGTCCGACGCGGTATTTATTGTCGCACCAACACTCGCCCCCCTCCCTCTCCCTCTCCCTCTTTCTCTCCGGGGTCTTTCCTGCCACCGTCCCCCCTCCAATCTTCAAAAAAGGGCGAGATTGATAACGTCTCGACGAGATAACACGCGCATTGCGGCCCTGAAAGACATACAGGTACAAACACAAACACACAACACAACACAACACACGCCATGGCTCGGGAATCGACACCCCCAGACTCACCGCTCTCGTCGGTCGCGTCATCGGAGCAGTACGAAGAGGAAGGCGGCGACCTCCACGAGGGCCCCGCGGTGCGACCGTCCAAGAGGCAAAAGGTGGAGGCCGGGTCGACGACGTCGTCGGCCGTGGTGGCCGAGCCGGAGCCCGAGGTCGTGCCCGACGCAGATCCCCTGGACGGCATGTCGGACGTCTCCTCGGACACGTCGGGCGACATACCCAGCTCACCCGCCAACGCCCGGTTGGACGAGGAGGACTTCCAGGAGCAGGTGACGGCATGCGAGTGGGATGAGTGCCCGGCCGGGGACCTGGGCAACATGGACAAGCTGGTCGAGCATATTCACAACTCGCACATCGAGAGCCGGCAGAAGAAGTACACGTGCGAGTGGAAGACGTGCACCCGCAAGGGCCTCCCCCACGCCAGCGGCTACGCTCTCAAGGCTCACATGCGCAGCCATACGAGGGAGAAACCCTTCTACTGCTACCTGCCGGGTAAAGAATGACCCCCACCCCCCTGACTCCTTGATCGAGCACATCTACAAAGTTCAGAAGCTAAAGCGTCTTTTTCTCTTCTTCTCAATCGATACAGAGTGCGATCGATCTTTCACCAGATCCGACGCCCTGGCCAAGCACATGCGCACCGTCCACGAGACCGAGGCCCTGCGCCCGTCGGACCCGATACCCAAGTCGCAGCACAGCGCCCCCGCCACGGGCAAGCAGAGCAAGCTCAAGATAATCATCAAGAAGCAGCCCGGACAGCAGGACGACGCCGCCATGACGGGTACGGACGACCAGCAGCAGCAGCAGCAGCAGCATGCCGACGGCGCCAACGGCAAGGCCAACAGCGACGACCCCAACGCGGAGTACTACACCGTCCTGCCCAAGGAGCTCTTTGACCAGCAGGAGCTCTCGTACCCAGTCGACAAGCTCTACCGCAAGTGCTACTGGGAGTCCAAGTGGTCCAAGGAGATTGGCGACGAGCTCGAGCGCGAGTGCGCCAAGTGGGAGGAGGTCTACTACAAGGAGTGGCTCGAGAAGGAGGCCCTCCTGGCTCAGGTCATCAAGAGCGAGGTCGACTGGCAGGACCGCCGCCAGGCCATACTCTCCGGCATCGCTGACGTCCACATCTCCACCTCCTCCCACTCCGGCGGCGGGCCCGAGGCCAAGGACAAGGATGACGCGACCGCCTCCGAGGCTCCCGAGGCTGCCGTCACTCCGGCTCCGGCTGACGGAGACGCAGCACCGCGGGCGACCGCCGCCATCAACGGTCACCGCAGCGAGGAGGAAAGGAAGATCACCATCAACACCATTGAGAATGGCCTGCGGCCGACGTCCTAGCCGAAGCGGCGGCTAATGTACGATCCTGTAAAGGGGTTCTGGGTGCGATACTGGGCTTTGAAGTGAGTGGGCGCATTCGTGGGTGGTTTCGGAGTTCTTTCCTATCAGTTCTTCTTCTTTCCTTTCATCCTTGGACGAGTTTGGTACATGTATAAATAAAGCGCCTGGGCACTGGGGTTTCCATCTTCCTTCTTCTTGCCTGCTTTTACTACCCCTCCGTATCCCTCCGTATCTTGTCTGAATGCGTAAGAAAAAACGATGATATGCACATTTTTGGGTCTCGTCATCTCTGCCGCCGGATCCCGCAAGAGCTGGAGTGTGATGGCATCCTCCTCACAGGGCCTTCTTCTTGGCCCTGTACGACGTCGAGTTCGAGAACGGGAATCCGCTGGTGCTCTGGTCGAAGCGGTGGTGCTTGCTGATCATAGCCTGGTCACCGGCAAACATGACGCAGTACAGGGCCCCCGCGGCGAAGAAGCCGCTGCCCAAGCTTCCCAGGAGGAATCCCATCTGCCCGGTCCCGTTGTACCTCCAGTAGCAGTAGATGCTAGCGGGGGCGTGGTGCAACGTGGCGACGATGAGGACGGCGTTGGCGTAGGGGGAGATGCCGCTCTTGGGGACTAGAGAAGAACAAGGAAAAAGAAGAAGAAGAAGGAAGAAAAAAGGTCAGCTCTTCACATTTGACCGAAGCGATACGGCCCATTGCACGTACCGTCTACCTCAGAGCCCAGAGGCACGGCTCCCGAGAGCAAGACTACGACGAGGCCCAGGGCCAAGAGGGCGAAGCCGAGCGATCGAGCAAGATATTCCTCCAGAGCTGTGGAAGCGGTCAGCAAACCGATCCCGCTCGCGTTCACGACAGCGGCAGCGCACAGCTAACGTGGGCCTGGTCCTCTCGTAGAAGCGAGGCTATGGACGACGGCCAGATGATGAGCGGCAGCGCCTGGATGCCCATCCAGGCTAGGTTGCCGAAGCTGTATGCGGAAACAGTCTGGGAGACGACGGGTCAGCGATATCTGCTCGTGAAGGCGAAGCTGACAAGATGGGGTCAAAAACATGCATCCATTATCGAATTGTACACGGTGGTGGAGAGCCGTCGTTGTCGCGAGCTGCCGGCTGGTAAATGGGATGGATGTCATCGGAAAAGACTCTTGAGATCCCCTGCTGGGGATCTCCTTCCGTCGACGTCACTTTCTCTAACCGGAGGGACCTATGAGCATCATTATTACCACCGTACGCCGTAAACGGCAATACCAAAGCCGCCGTAATTACAGGGGGTCTTTCCATCCTTTACAGGGTTCGGCCACCAGGCCAAGACTACTATAGAGAGCCCTGTAAATTGTGATGGATACAGGGTAAGAACCGATTACAGATTACAGTAGCAAGGGTCCGGGTCCAGATTTATCTGCGCCACCAGCAGCACCCTGCCAGCGGCCAAAGCCTCCGTGGAGGGGCCGATTTCGCAAAGCATTTGAAATCCTGTGGTTCTTATTGCGCCAAGGTCGTCCTCTTCCTTCATCTAGACTACTTCCTCATCGTGCATTTCCGATTTCTAATAACTACATATACTACGTCTTCCGTCCTCTTTTATCATCGTCATCCCATAATTCTCTTCCACGTTATCTTGCTATATCATCTACTACATGCAAATACCCCCCTCCCCTTCTGCAATCTCATCTTGTGCAACATTCGCTGCCTCTCTCCCCATCGACTCGCATTTTTTCTTCCCTCGCCACCTGCGCCATCTTGATTTGCCACACCACCACTCCTGCTGCGCAGGCTTCTTAAAAGATCAAGGAGCCCGGCTCTGGCTGCGTCGAGCCACAGGCTTCGCTGCGCTCCTGGCGAGAATTCTTCTTCCCTCCCACCCTCCCTCTCCCGCACCATGAGCGCCATCCTCTCAGCCGACGACCTCAACGATTTCATCTCACCCGGTGTCGCCTGCATCAAGCCTGTCGAGACTCTCCCCGCTGCCCCGCCACAGCAAGGATTCAACGAGTCCGAGGTAATCATTGACGGGCAGCAGCCCTCGTCAACGGGCGCAGATGCCAACAAACCCGCCGAGATATCCCTGACCGACTGCCTGGCCTGCTCCGGGTGCGTGACGTCGGCCGAGGCCGTCCTGGTCAGCCTCCAGAGCCATGCAGAGGTGCTGTCGGTGATGGATGCGGCACCGGCACTGACGATCACCGGACCGGACGCCCAGGGGAAGTTTGGGGTCGACGGTCTGGAGAACGAGGACGCCAAACTGTTTGTCGCGAGCGTGAGCCCCCAGGCGAGGGCCAACCTAGCCGCTGCATGCGGTCGCGGGACATCGGAGAAGGATGCCGGAAGGATGCTAGAGAACCTGCTCGGTGGGGCCGAGGGACTCGCCAGCGGTGGCAGGTGGCACAACGCTTTCACATGGGTGGCGGACACGAACACGACGCGCGAAGCTACCCTTGCCCTCGGCGCCGACGAGGTCCTCGGAACCACGGGGGCCCCGCAGCCCGGCACCTCCACCCCCGCCCGGCCGATCCTGGCTGCGTCGTGCCCTGGATGGGTGTGCTACGCCGAGAAGACGCACCCGCACGTGCTACCACACCTGTCCAAGGTCAAGTCACCGCAGGCCCTGATGGGGACGCTTCTCAAGACTACGCTGAGCCGCAAGCTCGGCGTCCACCCCAGCCGCATATGGCACCTGGCCGTCATGCCCTGCTTCGACAAGAAGCTCGAGGCCAGCCGCGAGGAGCTCACCGACGAGGTGTGGGACGGCTCGGGGAAGCCCGGCAGGGGCGTGCGCGACGTCGACTGCGTCATCACCAGCAGGGAGATCCTGATGCTCGCCGAGTCCAGAAACATTGATTTCTTCGCCATCCCCTCGAGACCCTCGAGGCCCGACACACCCTTCCCCGACGCCAAGATGGGCGACTTCCTCTTCGGCCGCCAGGGTGGGACACGCAACCCACCCCGCGTGGCCGGCTCGTCGGGCGGGCTGCTGTACCACGTCCTCCAGGCCAAGGCAGCGCAGCTACCCGGGTCCGAGATCCAGGCCGTGCGGGGCCGGAACACGGACGTGATGGAGTACACAGTCTCGGTGGGCGGCCAGCCCGTCTTCAGGGCGGCGCGGTACTACGGCTTCAGGAACATCCAGAACCTGGTGCGGAAGCTGAAGCCGGCCAGGCCGTCGCGCATGCCCGGCGGCAAGCCGTTTGGCAGCGCCCGCAGACCCGGTGCTGCGGGAGGCAAGTCGGCACCGCTCGACTACAGCTACATTGAGGTGATGGCCTGCCCGGGCGGGTGCACCAACGGCGGCGGCCAGATCAAGGTGGAGGATCCCATCGTGGTCGAGCGCAAGAACTTGCCGGGAAAGCCCGGACCGCAGGAGCAGAAGGACTGGTTGGCAGAAGTGGACGAGGCCTACTTCTCCGGTGAGGAGGACACAGACATGGTCGGCAACGACGGCAACGACGACGACAACAATGAGAATGACGTCATTGGCGGCATCTCGCATTCGTATATACGTGATTGTTTGGCGCATTGGTCACATATTACGAGCATCGGGTTAGATAGACTTGCATTCACTACTTACCGCGAGGTCATAAGCGATGTGGGTAAGGACGGCACGGAAAAGGTGATACAGCTGGCGGGAAAGATTGGCGGGGGCTGGTGATTACATACCCAAGACTTTCAAGATATCCAAGACACCCAAAAAGAAGAGGGGGAAAAAAGGGATAAAAAAGGAAAAGGGAGATATATATACTATAGGAGCATCTGTCGAAATCATCTCAATTCATCAATTCGGTCCGCGACGTGCGAAGCCAAAGCCTCCCCTACCGCTACCATCCGGACCCCTAGGCGCTCTGATGGCCGGCTGCTGCTGCTGCTGCTGCTGCTGCTGGGGCGATTGCGACGGTCGTAACCTCACGCCACCACCGTCGCCCCTCCCATGGCGATAGTCCGGTTTGGGTGAGTAATTGGGCTCGTAGATCAATTCCCTGCCATTGATGTTTGCTCCGCTGCCGTTTGCGTAGTTGCCGTTTTTCCTCTTGAATTCGTTGTTGTTGCTGCTGCTGTTGCTGTTGCTGCCATTCCCACCAACCCTCCCACCCCGACCACGACCACCACCGCCACCCCTAGCACCACCTCCTCGAGAGGTAGAGGCTCCACCACCTCCACCACCTCCACCACCACCATGATTGGAGGAAGAGGAAGATGAAGAAAAGGGGGAATGAGGATTGGGTGCTGCTGCTGCTGCTGCTGCTGCTGCTGCTGCTGCGGTGGTGGTGGTGGGCGTGACTTGGCCGGAGGCAGGTGTTGTCGACGCCGACAATGCGCCCGACGAGGAATGCGGCCTGGCCGTAGGAATTGACTCGCCAAAGATCTTGGCCCGGGCCTCCTGGTACCGACGCTGCTTCTCCTCCAAGTGAAGTTTCTGACGGGCGCGGATCTCCTCGGGTGTGGGCAGGGATTCCTGCTTCCTGGACTGCCCGTCGTAGTCGTCGTCGTCGTCGCCGTCGTCGCCGTCGCCGCCGATGGCCGCGATACCCGGATCACGCCTGGCAATGGTGGGAGGGGGTTTGCGGCTCAGGACCTTGACTTGCGGTTTAAAGGTTGACGTTAGGGGGACGGTGTTGTTGGCTTCGAGGAAGTGAAAGGTTTCACGGGATGAGTCCCTAAAATTGGACGCGGGCACGGTTCAGTTCAGTTGTAGATTGAGTTGGACAGGGAGGGAATATATAGAGAGAGAAGGAGAAGGAGAGAGAACTCACGCGGATTCCCATATCTTGCGATTCGTCTCGGTATGTCTGGCTAGTCGCTCCTCCCTGGTCCGAGGCGCAGGGTCTGCCATGGTAGACCTGCTGGCGTTGCCTGGCGTGGCGGAGACACTCTCAGCCTTGTCGGCTTGGGATTCCCAGTCCTCGTCTTCCCATGCGTCTGGGACGACGGGGGAGGTCTTCTTCCCCATTATGAGTGTGCCTTTTTTTCTGCGCGCGTGCGGGTTGCACCTCCTGTCCCTCTCGAATGGCTGTTTGGGTGCCGGGGGGGTGGAGGGGAAGTCGGGAGGTTTCTGCACCTGGAGTGGATATGAGAAGTTTCTGTTAGACAGAAAGAAGAAGAAAATAATTTGGCCTCTTTTATCCTATTCTCTTGAATCCCGCCCCCCTCTCAGCCGGGCCCCATTACGTAGAGATATTGATGAGAGGTCGTTCCGTTTGGCATGGAAGGGCGGTCGGGGAGATTTGAGGTGGTGAGTGGGAGTAGATGGTTGGTGGTGGTTGCGGCGGTTGGTTGAGGGTAGAGAGAGAGAGAGAGAAAAGATTCTCTGGGACCGGGAGTGGGACGCACGGGACGAGTGGGCAGTTTTTGCTATGTGACTGACTGTAATCTGTACAGATTACAAGTACGAGTATACGGGGGTAATAAATACTATTATTACCTATTACTCCGTAATACATATATTATCACTACTCACCTTAGCTACCAGCATTTTAATACCTGATGGCCGAGGGGCACCAGACATCTTGAGCAGATGACGTTCACTTACCCCGCCACCCATCCCTGGTTTTTGCTGCTGGAACATTTCTTCTCATCTGGTTGTGATACTTCTTACGACTTCGAGATAATATATATATACAAACACTCCCATCTCTTTCTCGACTTTCAATTGAGAACCCGCAAAAGTACATTAGGTATTCGACCTTTCCACCCGACTTCGAACCTCGCCCGACATTCCACACATACATCTACAGATACAGAGCAATAATACCGATCCGATTCGAGACAGAGCGCCCTCCATGCCAGCCGTACAGAGCGGTTGGATGCACGGCGACGAAGCAACCGGGAGCGCGACCAGATCCGAGCCCAACCCCAAGGCCAGCGCAGGTATTAAGCGTACCATGGACGACGTCGAGTTGACCAGGACCACCCTCCTCACCGACAAGGATTTTGATCCGAGTATGATCTCTCTGCTGCCCCCCCCCCTCCCCCTCCCCCTCTATCCACTCTCTCTCACGCACACTCTCTCTTTCTCCTATGCCTCCCTCCTCCTCTCTTGACATCACGTCTCTGACCCTCTGACCCAAAACACTCTGCTTGCAGGAAAGTACCCTGACCCTCTGAAACCTCGGAGGAACAACAACGTGACACAGAACGTGGGGGCGGCGGCGGCGACGACGACGACGACGACGACGACGACGACGACGACGACAATCGAGATGGAGAAGGGGTGGTTAGACAAGATTCGCAAGGCCAGACGAGATGTAATACACAAGTACTAAGAGACATCTGGGGGTGCCGATGCCTCTCTTCATTTCGCTTCCTGCTGCCATCTAGCTGGCATGGACGGCGTTCTCTGCTCTGGTGGGGGATCTCCCGGCGTTCGACAGATAGACATCGAACAGTACTCCGTACATGTCGTAATGAAGCAGGGATACGGTTTCTTTCCATCAGTACTTAGCACGTCACCCTCACTCATCAGACAACAGTTTCGGGAGAAGAATAAGACTATCAGTGACGGTTTTTATTTTATTTTAAATATCTACTCGGTTGATGTTCTTCTTCTCTTCTTTTTTTTTTCTTTTGACATCATCTCCCCTTCGAACTTGGCTGAAGCTCTACAGGCCACGCCTCCTACTAAGTCCAGAATGGCAGGAACGAATGAGGGCGAGGGCTCGAATGCGCCTGTGGATCATTAATGCGTCGAAATTCAGACACACGGAACTCGAGACTTTGACGTTTCGCCCTCAACAGCACGCACGACTCACAACATTGCCTCTGACACCTGCCTTCTCCTCCTCCTCCTCACTCGGCACCTTTCCCTTTTGCTTATTCTGCATAACTTGAACGCACAAGCTGACGTCTCACGGCCCGCACCTTGCCCCTTGCCCTTGGCCATGGATATTGACGACATTCTTCGCGAGGTCGACCCCTCCTCAGGTGGCATCCCTCGCGAGACGAGCGACTTGCAGGCTCTGACGCGCCTCTGGGTGGCTGAGCGGTCGGCTCCCGAGCTTTTAGAGTACGTGGAATTCGAGAGCCCATTACAGAAACAAAGCCCCCTCCCCCCACCCCGCGCGTCGCCTTCTTTCTTCCCCTTCTTGTCTATGGCTCTGACTCTGAACTGAATCTTCTTCCCCTACACAGCTGGCCGACGGGAGGTCTGTTCGAGCGAGTCAATGCCAGGATCAAGGCCCAGATTGAGAAAGTCGAGGATATGACGGGTGACATGGATCCCAAGACAAATTTTGCTCTCATCGTCATCCAGACGGAGCTTGAGCGCTTCAAGTTTCTCGTCCGCAGCTACCTACGAGCGAGGATTGCCAAGGTAATGATAAATAGGATAGATGTCGCCATGCGTGTGTATCTTGGGCGTGGCCTATGGCTGACATACACATCTCTCTCTCTCTCCCTCTCCTCTCTCTTGCAGATCGACAAGCACGCTCTCCACTACCTGTCCAGCGACGAGCTGCGGTCTAGGCTATCGTCCGTCGAGGTAGCATACGCGACGAGGCACCAGGCCCTGCTACATAACCACTACCTGTCGTCCTTCCTGGCTTCCTTCCCGCAGCAGCTGCAGAACCTCAACGACACGGCCGGCGGCGTCAGCATGATTGACTCTCCGGATCTGAACACCACCGTCTTCATCCGCATGCTCAGGGACCGTGATGTTCACGGACAGGGGACTGACTCTGACAACACCCTTTCGGCTGAGAGTGGAGACATCTTGATCATAAGGTGGTCGAGCGCCAAGCCCCTGGTCGACCTTGGAGATGCTGAGCTTGTATGATGTACTCCGTACGCCGTCAAAACTTGGCCATCCTCACATCCCTCCCTCCAGACCGCCGTGGATCTGAGGCAGGGACAAGGAAGGGGCTGTGGTCCCCAACGAGTGTCAGAGAGACATGGGTCCCTCATCGCCAGGCCCCCATCCTGCCGTGCCCTCATAACGCACCATGCATGGGTCCTTCCGATGACGAGCGGAGTCGCTGCAAGCATGTCTATATTAGCGGCTGCTGTGAGAACGATCATGCACGCGTGGATGCATGATCGGCAAGGGGAGCAGACGGAGACATCTGATGATGATCGTGGTATTATGGTCAGTTCAAGGCTGTCGTTAACGCCTCAGCAGATGTCACTGATCTATGATATGCCCTCGTGTGGAGAGATGTACAGTCTCTTGATATTGCACGCGCAAGAGAAAAGCAACATCTACAATGTTGTGGAAGATTGCCATGAAACACCATCCCGTCCGTGCGTTGCCATCTACTCCGTCAATGCCAGATCAACCGCCTACTGAAAATGCGACCCATGGGCTAATATCCGAGCATCGCCAGTGCATAGGGCTGGAAAAAGATTTAAAAAAAAAGACATAAAAAAAAGATGAAACGGCAGGATCAAAATCTCAATATCATAAATGCAGAAACCAGCTCGCTCAACTCGACATTTTACAAGTATGGGCTCACGTTTCATCGTCATATACTCCGGCACGGGTTGACTCCGTCCACTCAGCGGGAATCCAGTGCCCATCGGGAATGCCCGAATGAGCCGGTGAAAGCCATGGCTGTTGCTGGGAGTGTATATCTTCGGCCTGTAGCTGAACGGGCGACGGCTGGCGCGTCGTGGATACGGCTCCCCGCAATAGAATTGCTCTTCTTTCTTTTGAGCTGGTTCTGCAGGATCTCCCTCGAATGGAGGCCGTTGCCGTCTCCCGACGGCCCACGGGGGCGAGGGGAGCTGCCAGCCGGGGAGGTTCTTGGTCGTTGGTCGAAGACTGCGCTCGCATTGACGAAGCTCTGGGTGGGTGCTGCTTCTGCCGAGGTACAGGCACGGCGCGGGACGAAACCTTGCAGCGCGCCATTCCTCTGAGCCGATCCGCCGAGAAGGAGAATCCGGGAATCGCCGTATGCTTGCCTCTGGGGCTCTCGCAGAGGCCCTGCGAGGGCCGAGCGGGGATGGATGCTGTCGCTGGGGGCCCTGGTGGTCTCAGTGCTCTGGAAAGTGAAGCTAGACCCCTCAGAGGCGAGACGAGGGTCTTTCCCGCCGCGCAGATGCTCGCTAGAAGGTGCCCGGCTCCACTGGTCGGGGAGAAGCACGACCTCAGCTCTCAGCGACGGCTCCGCGTGGCGAATCACCGTCCCGATGCTCGCGCTCTCAACGTGGTCTTGGCTCTGATGAAAGTCCTCGGGATCGGCGCCGTCGACGTCGACGCCGATGCCATCGTAGTTCCGCGGCAGACGTAGGGCCGAATCTGGCGTCGCCACTCCCTCATGGTGATGGATGCTACCGGTATCTGCCAGGCTGGGAGTCGAGATGCAAGAGGAAGAGTCACCCTTGGAGAGTATTCTGTGCAGATAATTGTTGCCCCGGTCAAGGCCGTCGTCATTGGCGGCCCACTGGCACGTCCGGTTTGCCGCCGCCTCCTCCCCGAGAGATCGTCGGCGAAGGTCGGTCAAGGGTGTTTTTTTTGCGAGACGCCGGCCGGGATCACCCGCCTCGCCTGTCGGGCTATCGATCGGCTCTATGCTGACGTCACTGGGGGTGACGACGTTGATATCCGGGAGCGGCAGCGGCGTCCTCAAGGAGATGGTGTCTTTGAGCACCATGGTGAGGTCGTCCCGGATACGCTGTCCCAGACGGCAGCGGAGCGCTTGGACCTTGCGGTCGACCGAGTCGGAGAGAGTCGGGTCGCTCGGTCCCGAGTCTTCCCCGCTGCAGATAGTCCTGTCCAGGATGAGGTGTCCCCGCTTGTGGATCGTCACGACAGCAGCGATACCATGGCCGCTGAGAACGTCGGTCGTGCCGGTCACGACACGCTCGAGGATACGCTCGACCGTCTTGCGGGAGTGGAGGTTGGAGGGGCCCAGGGTGACTGTAAGGGGCCGGCGAAGCTTCCAGTCCTCGGTGCGCATCTCGTGCACCTTCAAGACCAGCTCGTCGGAACTGTTGATGGCGGCGTCGCAACGGTGACGGGCCGTCTCGAGCTCCTGCTGCAGGATGCGAACGAGGGCGTCGGCATGGCTGTGGTTAATCAGCAGGCGGAAAGTCCGGTGCCGCGTTGACAGGTGCGAAAAGTCGGGGCCGTAGTTGTTGCGCACGGCGGCCTCGAGGTCAAAGGCTCCCTGCTGGACGTGGCGGCAGCCATGGGTTCCCTCGAGAGCGTCGCACTTCTCGTGCATGTCGGCAAAGTCGTCCTCCCTCGCCCTGACGGCCTCGTACATGATCTCGCCGACCTCGGACATGAGGTCCTCCGCACGGTCCAGCGTCAGGGGCGTGCCCTGCCTGCTGTCGACCCTGACAGACCAGTCGTGGCCCGGGCAGCCCGGGCCCTGGGTGTGGAGGCTGAGGTGGATGGAGTAGCCCGGGGTGTCGACGTAGCTGGGGATGCAGTGGGCGTCCTGCTGGGCACCGATCCTCGGGGCCGTCTTCTTGTGGCCGAGAGGATCCTGCTGAACAAAGCAGGGCAGGGCCCAGTGGAAGGCGGCGTCATGGCTCTGGAGGAAGAGTCCGACGATGCGGTCGGTCTCGAGGACGACCTCGTGAGCGGCCTGGAGCGTCATGGTCTTCTCCTGGAACGAGGTGAAGTGCATCTCCCTCCAGGGCGCGCCTCTGCGGTCGATGCGGAACATGAGGCGGTACCTGGCGAGCTTGGTGTGCGGGGCGGTATAGCGGAGCGGCTCGGTGGCCTTGGAGTCGGACCTGGTGATGAGCTCCCTGGCGCAGTGGTGGATGCGGCCGACCAGGCGGCTACACAGGTCGTCGGTGACGTCAAAGCCCGGGCTCGTCTCATACTCCTGGTAGAAGTTTCTGTCGACGGGGGATTCGGCCCTGACGGTGACCAGGACGCGGAGCTGGGCCGCTGCTGCCGAGGATGGCGGGGCCGCGGCGTCGGTGACGTTGCCGGCTCTGCACGGGACCGGGCGTGGATTCCTCCTGCTCATGGCCTTCTTCAGAGGGCGACATATTCTGCGGAAGATGGATGATGGAGAGGCCTGACGGCTGCTCTTCTCGAGCATCTCGAAGAAGTGAATCTGCTCCTTGACCGTCGCCTTCTCACAGTGCGACCTTCTTCGAGACTGCATGGCTTCTCGAAGCGTCGGGCCGACGACTGGGACGGCCAGGCCACGACGAAATTAACGGTTTTTCTGTTATCCTCTCTCCCCCCTCTCTCTCCCCCTCTCTCTCGTGTTTTCTTCTTCTTCTTTTCGGAGTTGTGGGGGGCGGTTTCTTGTCTTTCTGTCGGTGACGCACAGCGATCTTTTATTCTCTGCAAGCGATGCGATGTACGGGGCAGTCTGCGTAGTAGAGGGAGGAGGGGAAAAGTTGAAGGGATAGACAATATCAAGGAAAGGATGGTGAATAGGATAAGAGAAGAGAGATAGGGATTCACACACACTTTCTATCCCAACATTCATCTTTGATGAAGCAAAGCGAAAGAAGAGAAAGAAAGAAAAGAACAAGCATTTCACACCCGCGAGACTACTACGGCTTTGTTGTTTGTTGTCAACGGCAACGAGGGGGAGGCATTCATACCGAACCACAGTGGCGTCCCCGTGAGTTTCCTGAAGTTGACTTGGGAACTGGAATGCATCGCCCGAGACAAGTTGAAGAAATAAGGGGGGGGGGGGGGGGGGCGGATACGTACGGGTAGTACGGTATGGCGACAATGACGATTCTGTACGGGAGGGGAGGGAGGGGTAGAAGAGAGGGCCTGGGATTGCGACGGAGGGGTGGGGGGATGAGACAATGTTAGATTAAATGCATCTGGTATGGCATGGAGCAATCACAAGGTCTTGATGGCGGTATCACGACTGCAAGGCATTTTCTCGTGCACGAGTCGCGGGTTGATATTCTGTCTCCACACCTGGTGGTTTCTTTGAAGGGCAGTTGTGGGAGAGGGAACAGGGAAGAAGAGAGAAGGATGAGGAAGAAGTTGTTGCTTACTGTGAGCATATGCATGTGTGTATGTGTGAGAGAGTGAGGGAGTGTGTGTTTATGTGTGTGTGTGTGTGTGTGTGTGATTGTGTATGTGTATGTGTGTGTTACAGGATATCAACAGATTGTAGAGATCAACCATCACCTTACGAGGGGGTATAGGGTATATGCAGGATATATCACAGCTTTGCCACAATATCAGAGCAAACTAGTCTCTGTTCTTCTTTTGCTCCTCACGGCCTTCCGTCATTCCGACACGGACACGGTGTGATGAGCTAGTATCATGGATGATGGGGCAAGGAGGAAGGATTGCCGATAGTGTATCAAACATGAGTCTGGTAGTAATAGTATCATCATCATCATTGTTATTGTTATTATTACTTACTACCTACCTACTTACTCCCTGGGCTGTCTCACCCTTTGTCATGATCCCTCATCCTCCTCCCCTCCCCCTTTCCTCCTTGTATTCGTCGTTAGCCGAGTCTGCCTTTCTTACAGGTCAAGTTTAAAATAATTAGAAGAAAAACTAAAAAAGGAGAAAAAATGAGGAAAAAATTGTAAAGAGTTGATGGTGAACAGTGAGCAGGGGTTGAGTTGGATGGAATGTCTAGTCAACACCTCACCTCCCGATGTATCAACAAAAGGACAACAACAACAACAACAACAACAAAAGAAAAAGAAAAGGAAAAATCCATCCCCATGTTATGTCCTCCTCCTTCAGATCATCAGCCACACACTGCTGCCTGCGTTGGGCGTAAACCGATTATTGCGACGACTAGGACTAGGTTTGTCAAGAAGCATCCATCCGGATGGATGGCTCTGCATGTTGGCCCGTTCTGGTTTCCGCGACCCCCCCCCCCCTTCCCCCTCATTTGAGGCTATGCTTGTTGTAGCAAATGCGACTTGTTCGACACCTGTTGGTCCCCCGATGGAAGACCTGGCTGGGTTGACGATTTTTTATTTTATCTTTTATACATTTTGGTCCCTTGTTCAATGCAAGATATGCATCGTTTCTGGATCCCGGAACGGGACCCATCATGTGCGATGCAGCCTTTTCCCTCCCTCTTCTCTCCCCGACCGACCGGATCTGGTTGTTGGTCCTGAACGCCTCATGGCGATGCAACATCCCAGGTTGGCAAGGCAGTTTTTTTCCTTCTCTTTTATTCTTCCCTCTCTACAATCCGAGTCCACCATTGGGCACAAATCACTTATCTCTGTATGAACCCGTGAGTCAGAAGAAAGGGTGGGTATATATATATATATATATATATTGGATGCACCAAAGGATTGGGTAGTTTAGAATATCGCCGAACAAACAATTCAGATCAGAAAGTCAAGTGGAAAAAGAAGAAGAAAAAGTGAAAGAGAAAGGAAGAGAAAGCAGAAGCGACCGCCTACCTGTGCTGTCTTCCTTCCGATACCTTGCCCCGACCATGTCAAAGAAGAAGAGCTCGACAAAGACCAACGGCAACAAGAAGCCCTCCATCAAGGACAGGTGGGAGTCGTACTTTGGCAAGGGCACCCTGGACGATTTCCAGCGTCTATGTCGGGATCTCAGCTTGCCGGACGATCTGCCCAGCAAGACTCGGTGTCGCAAGGTAAGAGTGAACAGTCGCATATATATACCATCAAACAATGTTACCTGTTTTTTTTGTCTCTTCTTTCTTCTTCTTCTCCTTTCCTCTCGGACTGATTGACTTGACATTGATATACAGGTCCTGAGTACAGTCCACGTCAATATTCACCAGTTCCTCGATGCCATGGACAGCGGTACCGACGTCAGATTCTTCCGCAGCGCAGCCGAGCTGTCCAGGTACACGATGGCTGACCGTAGGAGGATATACCCGCGAAGCTCGGTGCCTAACGGGAGCCCGTTGAGGGAGCTGCTCAGATTGATTATTCGATGATATCTCATGTTGGGAGAAGGCGGACGAATAGCTGTGTACGGGGGCGGGACATTATCATGTGATGAAAGGGAAGTAAAACGTTTAGAAAATACAAAGAATATTTAGTGTCCGTTTCCATTTTCCTTCACTGTTCTTCTTATCCTTTCTATAAACATATGAGAGAGAGAGAGAGATTGGGTGTTGTGTGTGTGTGTGTGCGAGTGCGTACAAGAAAAAGAGAAGAAGAGGAAAAAGGTGAGACCTGCGTCTAACTGCGTATCTGCCACATGCGAATCTTTCCGGAATCACTACCGACGGCGAGGAGGTCGCTCTGCCGGCTGAAAGCCACGGACGTCACCCTGCCCAGAGGAGTCTGCTCGGTAGGCCAGTTCCTGTAGACGGTGCAGGAGGGCAGGTGGACCAGGCGCAGGGCGTCCTTTGAGTGCTGGGAGGCAAAGGCCATGAGCTGGCCGTCGGGCGAGAAGGACAGGGTGGTGATGGGGGTGACGATCTGCTCAAAGGTGCGGGTGGGCTTGGGCCTCTCCCTGATGGCGACGTCGGCGACGTCGACGGGACCATCGCCGCCGCCGTCCTCGTCGGATCGCCCGCGGGGGAGGAGGACGTCCTGGCGGTCGTAGATGTTGGTGATGCCCGAGCTGGAGCCGACGGCCACCCAGCGGTCGTCCCCGAGCGCGGACGGGCCCTGGTGGCCACCCAGGCCGAGGGCGATGGCGCCGACGCAGCCCTCGTCGAGCCAGATGCCGAGGAAGCGGCGGGACTCGACGCTGTACTCGCCGACCTGGCCGTCCCTTCCGAGGATGGTGAGCCCGTCGCCCGTGCTCCACCAGCGGAAGTCGGCGATGCCGTTGTGGCTGGCCATGCGGGCCGAGGCGACCCACTGCATGGTCGCGGTGCTGAGGATGCTGACGGACCCGCCGCCCTTGCGTGGCGTGGCCGCGATGGCCATGTGACGGCCGCAAGGGCTGAGCCGGAACCGCTCCATCGACTTGTGCTCGGCCTTGGTGCTCAGGCCCTGGATCTGCGACGTCTTCTGCACGCTGCCCGACGGCAGGTCCCAGTGGTGGAAGTACCGCCGGCGGCCGGCGAAGAAGATCTTGTCGCCCTCCGGGTACAGGAACTCGGACCGGCGCACGTCGACGTGCTTGACCTGCACCGACGTCAGCTGCGGGTTGGCCGTCGGGTGAGCCTCGGGCGCGATGTGGTGCAGGTACAGCACCGACGCCGGGCTCGACGACAGCAGCACCGGGTACTTCGGGTGGAACGACAGGCTGTCCACCGGCGCCCTGTGTCGGTCCGGGATCTCGCGCGTCCGCTGGATGTCGATGATCTCCGGTCGCAGACGGCGGTACTTCTGCTGCTGCCCCTGCCCTCGGCCGGAGAGCTTGTTGACGTCGCGCAGGAACGCCTGCAGAGGCTGCGCCTCCACGTCGCTGCCGTCGTCGCTGTCGCTTGACGAGTTCCTTTTGTCGTCGTCGTCGTCGTCGTCGTCGCCATCCGACAACGCGCCCGACTTGCGTCTGCGCTTCGAGGAACGCACCCCGCCGCTGCTGCCGCCCTTGGCCCATGCCGGGCTGGGGTTCAGCCGCACGTACTGCTGCCGCAGACGCCTGCTGTACTCTGTCCCGCTGACCACGTCTTCGGCCTCGGTCACCCGCAGCTTGCGCAGCCGCGTCGCCCCCGCCAGCGATATCGCCAGCCTCTCGTCGTCGCTGTCCTCCCACGCCGGCTGGTCCTCCCCGCCTGCTCCGGCCGTCGTCGTCGCCTTGCCTCCTTCCGTCTTCTTGCCGCCGACCCCGGCGGTGCCCGCGTCGAAGATGAACAGGTCCTTGTCCTGCACATCCTCCAGCTCGCCGGCGTCGTCGCCCACCTGTCCGTCCACTTCTTCGGTTCCGTCCATCAGCCAGTCGTTGCCCTTGAAGAGGCTCTGGCGGAACCCGGTACTGTTGCCCAACACCATGCGCTCCAGCTCTTCTTCTTCGGAATCCTTTGAGGACAGGCCCGCCTTGGCGGCGCCCTTCTCGTCCTGCCGCTCATTGCTGTAATCGAGACCGGAGAAGTCGCTCTCCGATGCTGATTCGTCGTCGGACATTCTGTCATCTTTGGGGGGCGCCATGGTGATATCTCAACAGGCGTGGTTGTACATATATGTGTGGTTTGTGACCTTGGTTCGCTGACTTTTTTTTTTCTTTTTTTTTTTAAAAAAAAAAAAAAAAAGCCTAGGCCCTCAGCCTCGCATGGACTGCCCCGCCAAAATGGGGCATTATCAGCATTCACCCAATCAGATCAAGCCAGTCCGTATACATGTATACAAGGCTGGCAATGACTTCAGTTCACACGATCACACGAAAAGGACTGTATATGATTGTTTGTTGCGGAGAGAAAGATAGTAATCAGACATGCTGATATGGTTACATGGTATCTACAGAATAGCCTTGGTGATCCGTCCCTGGAGACTGGCCACCTCGGGACTGACCGACTCCGCGCTCCGCAGCGACATGACGGCACCCTGCTGAGCGACATTCACCAGCCTCTCCACGCTGCCGCCCTGCGCCAGACCGGATATCATGACACCCAGAAAGGTATCCCCAGCTCCGTTCACGGATACGACGTCCTTCACCTCCTCCACGGCGGGGTACAGCCTCATGTATACTCCCCCGATGGTGGGGTGGTCGACGGCCCTGGCCAGGATGAACTGCTGGCTGTCGGCGGCGGAGAGGCGTGCGTCGTCCTTGGCCAGCAGTGTGGTGAGGAGAGCACCGTTGGAGCCGAGCTTGGTGATGATGGTGGGGATGTAGGGGAGCAGCTGGATCGACTGCACGGGGATGCCGGCGTCGGTCAGCTCGGCCGTCGTCATGTAGACGAAGCGCTCGCGGGCGCCACGCATGCCAAACGAGTCGATGACGCCGAACCATTCGGGCGTGTCGAGATACCCGTTAGCCCTGGCGGCCGTGTACATCTGCGCGAGCTCGTGCGTGTTAGGCGAGGCGAGATCGACGGCGGCGTTGGGGAAGACGCCCGGTGATGCCTCGCCGCGCCCCAGAGGCCCAAACAGCCGGGCCGACTTCTCGGCCGAGACGGGCTCAAAGGCCACCTTGCTGCCCTGCCCTTTGCCGGCCGCCGCCAGCGCCTTGATGTCCTCCTGTCCCCAGTTGCCGTCCACCACCAGCCACTTGGGCTTCACCTCGGCGACGGCCTTGAGCCAGTCGTCCTGGAAAGAGTGGTGCGAGAAGATGTCCATGTCGGCCATGGCCATGACGAGGTTCTTCTCTCCGTCATTGACGGCCACATACTGGGCTGTGCGGTTGGCCGGGCCGTGTTCGGCACCCAGCTGACGGACGTACGCCGTGTCGAGGCCCTCGGCCTCGATTGCTGAGAGTACAGTAGACCCAGCTCTGTCGTCGTAGTCTGTTAACGATAGTCCTGTTCCGGGTGAAGACCGGATGGTCGACTCACACGTCATCGCCGATCAGGCTGCAAAACTTGACCTTTCCGGAGCCGCTAGCCCGATGGGCAGCCAGGGCAACATTGTAGCCGACTCCGCCGATGGACTGGCTGATCGTAGCAGGGTTGGACGTGCTAGGCTGGGGAGAGACGCGTGTCTTGTCTGCGCTGGCGTAGTCACAGCTCAGGTCGACGGCTACCGAGCCGGCAACCATGATGTCGGCGGTGGTTCTGTGGCTGACGGCTTGGGTCGTCTCAGTCCCGGCCTGGACTGGGGCGATTGTTGGTGGGGGAGAAGGTGTGGGGGGGGAGATGCTGATGTACGAGTTTCTATCTAGAAATTGAGTTACATGAACATCTAACCAATCTCTCTCTCACCGCCTGCACACCCCAGACTTACACGTCGTGCTGCAGTAGACGAGACAGCTCTACAGAGACATTGGTGGCCCTGATGAGATTTTGCCTGACGAGTGCCATGTTGGCGACGACAGCTTTGTCGCCGGTGAGTTCCTTGAGGCGACCGAGGATGTAGGGCGTGTTGTCCTTGCCCGAGGCGCCGTTCTCGTCGGCCTCCCTGACGGCCTGCTCTATAGCGCTCTGGATTTCCGGGAGCGGAATTCCATATTCCTCGGGGATGGGGTTGGCGAAGAGCATGCCCGACTCGATGCCCAGCCTCTCCTGGCTGAGGATCATGGCGGCCGCCTCCCTCTCGTTGTAGACGACGCTGGGGCTCGGGCTGCCGCTGTTCCTGGCCCAGAATCCGGGGAAGTCAACCTTCCCGGCGCGACCGTCGGCAAATGTCGACACCAGACACCCCTGGGTCTCGAGGAACTCGAGCGTCCGCGGGATATCGAGGAAGCCCTTGCAGCCGGAGCTGATGACGGCGACACGCGTGCGGCCCAGCTCCGTCAAGTCGGCGGAGACGTCCATGGTGTTCTCGCCATTACGGTGCACGCCGCCAAGCCCACCGGTTCCGAAGACGCGGATGCCAGCCAGTCGGGCCAGAAGCATGGTGCCCGAGATGGTCGTCCCACCGTGCAGCTTACGACCTGCGATACCCTGCGATCCCGTGCATCAGTCGAGTTTGTCGGTTTCGAGAATCAGACATCGGTATCCCTTACCATGCCGACGAGATACGACATGTCCCGCCTCGATACCTTGGCAGCACTCTGGCTGTCAATCATGCGTACGACATCATCCGACGAGACGCCCACGGTAGGCACGCCGTCAACGATGGCGATGATGGCAGGGATGCCCCCGTGGCTGCGGACCAGCTGCTCGTGCTCCGCGGCAAGGTGCCTGCCCATGGCGCCGTGCGTGTAGATGGTCGACTCGAGGGCCACGACGGGCTTGTCGGCGGCTACGGCGTCGGCGACCTCTTCCGACACCTTGAGCAGGCTACGCAGGCCAGACGCCGAGGCTGAGCTCATGAGGCGTCGATTGGCGGCCGCGCAGGTCCGACTTGTACGGGGGAGGATGGCATGCAGGGCTATGCGGGTGGCCCGCGCCTTGAACAGGCGTGGGCAGCTCATTCTTGATCGTTTGTATCTTGCTGGTGCTCTAGGCGAAGGAGGTAGGCGGTTGAGAGATAAGCAGATGGATGAAATCACGGGGTTGCATCTTGGACGGGACTTATCCGTTTTTAATTTGCTTACCCTTGAGCTCTTGACGACCAGGAATCAGCAGCAATCTTGTGTACGGGTTATCTGGCCATCTACCTAATGGAAAGAAATACTTGGTCTAGTCTTTGATAAGAGATACGTGCTCTTGCAAGTCTTCCATCAACTGCTTCCCTCACTTCCTTGTACGCGTATTCTCCCAGCGAGGAATGATCACTCCCAACTCATGTAGATGATCACATGCATACACTTATACTTGCATATGACCAAACCCCGGCTTCCGAAGGAGAAAGCAACGGCATTCCCTAGGGACGATGATAACGACATCTCCGTGGCGGAAACAGCCATCGAGATCGCCAATCTTGCCCAGAGGTTTCGGACGGGCGCTATGGTGTATACTACTATACAGCCGAGCAGCACACCAGGTTTCGCCGGTGCTACGTCAGACAGAGCCTCAGGGGGGAAATGGGCGGCAAAAGCGCTTCCAGTGTGACAACGCAAAGACGGGAGGAACTGCTCTGATTCCCGTGATTGGCTTACAGGTTATGCAAGGACGAGGAGCGCGTGCCGATATGTCTGTATGACCGGAAGCGGCATATCCAGCAGGCGGGGGTTGCGTAGGCCTCTATCCAACAGGCATAGACAAACGTAGAAGTTGGACAGACATGTGGAAAAAAAGGAAAGATCCCCCCCCCTTCCCTCCTAAAAGGATGGAAAGTAAGATGATCGGAGCCATGAGATACATAGAGGCATCATCACCACGACGAGTGGTGGGGCTGAAGAGGGAGAACAGGAAAAGATAAAAGAAGAAGAAGACGAAGAAGACGAAGAAGAAGCAAAGGAGCCACATCATGCCCATGCACAGCAGCCTCATCCCCCGCGAGGGCTTCACCTTCGATATAATCGCCCGGGTGGTGCGTGCTACGGCCTTGAACCCAGCCGTACTGCTGCCCATCATCACGCTCGCCCTCTTCACCAGGAAGGGTCAGGAGCTGTCGATACTGCATCCGGCGGTGGGAAAGTTGCTGCGCAGCCTGCTGTACGCGGGTTTGTGGCGCGTGCTGAGCGAGTGGCTGTCGGACGGGATGCTCAATGGCTGGGTGGGCGACAGCTACGACTGGACCGAGGAGGTTGTGCTGATTACGGGAGGAGCGGGCGGCATAGGCGGCGAGATGGTCAAGCTGTTCGAGGAGAAGGGAATAACCGTCGTGGTCCTCGACGTTCAGCCCCTGACTTTTACCACGTGTGAGTCGAGATGAAACACGGCCGACACTTTATACAACATGACCGAGGGGGGGAGGGGGACACAAGGACTGACCCGTCATAGCCTCCAACGTTCACTACTATCAGTGTGACCTCCGCGCGGCGCACAACGTCGAGGCCGTGGCGGCCAGGATCCGCGCCGAGGTGGGCTCGCCCACCGTGGTGATCAACAACGCCGGCGTTTCGCGCGGCAGGTCGGTCCTGGACTCGACGGCCGACGACGTGCGCTTCACGTTCGACGTCAACGCGCTGGCGCCCTTCTGGGCGGCCCAGACCTTCGTCCCCGACATGGTGGCCCGAGACCACGGCATGTTCGTCACCGTCTCGTCGCTGAGCGCCCACATGCCCATGCCCAATATGGTCGACTACGCCGCCTCCAAGGCCGGCTCCGTGAGCCTGCATGAGGGCCTGACGGCTGAGCTGCGCGCTGTCCACGGCGCCCACCGCGTGCGCACCGTCCTCGTCCAGACCGGCCATGTCGCCACCCCGCTCTTCCGTGGCTTCCGGCAGGACTTCGGCTTCCTCATGCCCAAGCTCTGCCCCGAGACTGTTGCCGAGGCCGTCGTCCACAAGGTTCTCTCCGGCACGAGCGGGTCCGTCACGCTCCCCGCTTTCGGTAGCTTGGCCACCAGCCTTCGATCCTGCCCCGACTGGTTCCAGTACTATCTCCGCCCCAGGTTCGGGAGAAGGTCTCGCTGGGATGGCCGTCAGGTCATCGAGGATATCTCACCTCCCTATGAGACTAACAAGGCTAGTAGAAGTAGCCTGGGAGAGAGTGATGTCGGCGAGAGCACCGTCTTGGTGTCTTCCCAGGACCACAAAGAGTAATCCCCCCCTCCCTCCCCTCTTTCCTCCTCTCTTTCTTCTCTGCCTTTTTGTTCTTCTCTTTCTGTTGTTCATACTTTTTTCTTTCTTCTCCCCACCCCCCTCCCCTCTCCTCCTGCGTTCTATACCCAGAAATTTCCGTTTTACTTGGCTTTCGGTGATGGCAATGTGCTAGCAGTAGATGTGTGTGTACTAGTGAAACAATCTTTATTGTGGTATAGTGCAGCCAAGTGTTACGTTACAGTTCGAGAAAGCTTCTTGTTCTCTGCTACGTAATATCTACGCTACCTATTCACATGTAGAGCTATCAAGCTTTTGTAGTTGTGGTAGGCTCTGCTGGAGAATTAGAAACGAATATGATGTGTAGGTGCTATAAGCTTAACAAGCTAGCTCAGTTTTCAGCAAAATCCGCTACAGGCGCCAATAGTTGAATGGTTACAATATCTGCCTTCCATTCATACGGATAAGCAGAGGGTCCGCGTTCGATTCGCGGTTGGCGCAATTGTTCTTCACTTTTTTTTTCTGTACTTTAACTATATCTATCCTTCCTTCTTGCCCTTTTTGCTCTGTCTTGTGTCGTTTCCCTGTTCAATGAGAAGAAAGCTATTAAAGAAAACCCGAAATAAAATGCTTTGCAACGCACTCTGATTAATCACATAGTTGTGCATTCTTACAAGTACTATGTATCGCATTTATAAGTTTGTTACTTATGTACGCATATCCTAGATCATTCTACACAAATCCACTTGATAAGCAACTGCATTTGAACATTGCAGAATGAGAACTGACTGTCCCTATTCCTATATATATTCTTAGAGACGAGCGGATGCATACATCCTAAGAAGCAAAAGGGAAAAAGAAAGAAAAAAAGAAAGAAAAATTAACTCCTATTCCTTCAAATCATCTCTCTCTCTCTCTTTATATCCTCTTCCCTAGGAAAGAGTAGGCATATGTACCGAAGCCTTCTTGGCGACAGCGTCCGCACTGGGCCAGAAGGCCGTGACCGTCTTGAGCTGGGTGTAGAAGTTGATGCCGGGCTTCCCGTAAAAGGTGCTGGCACCCCCGCCGGCGATGCTCTTCTTGTTTCCGGTGAAGGAGAACATGGGCAGGGGGACGGGGATGGGGACGTTGATGCCGACCTGGCCGGCCTCGATGCGGCGCCGGAAGGTCTCGGCGGTGGCACCGGAGCGGGTGAAGATGGCGGTGCCGTTGCCGTACTCGTTGCGGTTGATGAGGTCGATGGCGTCGTCGATGGAGTCGACGCTGAGGCAGACAAGGACGGGGCCGAAGATCTCCTCCTTGTAGCATGTCATGTCGGGGGTGACGTCGGTGATGATGGTGGGGCTGACCCAGTTGCCGTCCGGGTACTCGGCCGGGCCCTTGCCGCGGCCGTCGAGGATGATGGTGGCGCCCTCCTTCTCGGCGGTGGAGATGAGATGCTCGATGCGGTCCTTGCTCTGGCGGGAGATGACGGGGCCCAGGTCGGCGCCCTGGTCGAAGCCGCCGGCCACCTTGAGGGCGGCGGCGCGCTCGGCCAGCTCAGGGAGCCAGTCCCTCGTCTCGCCGACCGTGACGAGCGTCGACAGGGCCATGCAGCGCTGTCCGGCGGCGCCGAAGGCGGCGCCCACCACGCTGTTGAGGAAGTGGTTCTTGTTGGCGTCGGGGAGGACGGCGGCGTGGTTCTTGGCGCCCAGGTTGGCCTGGACGCGCTTGCCGTTGGCGGAGCCGCGCGAGAAGATGTACTCGCCGGCCTTGTTGCCGCCGACGAAGCTGATGGCCTTGATGGTCGGGTCGTCGAGGATGAAGTCGACGGCGCGGTGGGAGCCGTGGATGATGTTGACGACGCCGTCCGGGAAGCCGGCCCTCTGCACCAGCTCGGCCAGGATCATGGCCGCGCCCGGGTCGCGCTCCGACGGCTTGAGCACCAGCGTGTTGCCCGTCACCGTCGCGATGGGGATGCACCACAGCGGGATCATGGCCGGGAAGTTGAAGGGGCAGATGGCCGCCGTCACCCCCAGCGGCTCGCGGTACGTGCGCGTCTCCATGTCCCGCGACACCTCGAGCACCTCGCCTTTGAGCAGCTCGGGCGCCCCCACCGCCGCCTCGGCCACCTGCAGCCCGCGCAGCACGTCGCCCTTGGCGTCGGCGAGCGTCTTGCCCTGCTCCAGCGTGATGCTGGCCGCCAGACGGTCCATGTTGTCCTTGATCAGCTGCACGAACCGGAACATGATCTGCTGCCGGTGCAGCACCGTCGTGTTGCGCCACGGCTCGAAGGCCGCCTCCGCGCTCGCCACCGCCGCCTTGAGCTCCGCGTCCGTCATCTGCGGCACCCGCGTCACCAGGTTGTTGGTGGCCGGATCCGGGAGGTCGATGTACTCTGTCGTCTCCGATTCGTAGAATGCATTGTTGAGGAAGTAGGGCGTCTTGCCCACCGACGCGATCTTGTCATGCGTCGTCGGGTAGCCCTCCGACGGCGGGGCAGCCGCCACCGTGGGCTTCGGTCGCTGCGCCGTTGCGTGCAGTGTCCTCCTCGTCGAAGGGACGACGGCCGACAGCCCCGTCGCCGCCATGCTCCCTCCTGCCACCCTCGACACGCGGGGGACAGCAGCGGTGGCCCTGGCAGCCGAGGCTACGACGTTGCTGCGGGCGACGGCTCGACGCATGGTGCTGATCGATATGTGTGTCTGCGAGTATATGCTATAGGATTGACCAGGGATCAATCAATTGAACTGGCCCTTGTTCTCTTTTTTCTTTTAGCTCTTCCAATCTTTCTCTCCTGACACACACGCACAAACACACACACACACACACATCAAGGTGAGAGGGGAAGGGAAGGAGAAGAAAGGACGGTGACGAAAGCCGATACACAGAAGATATAGGCACGGGTCTTGGTAGCACTCATAGCTAGAGCCTTAGCACTGATAATGAAAGACAAGCACGGCACGCCCCCCAACGTCAATCGGCCTGGCAATAGCCGGGATGGATGGCCCTCCATAAGTGGAGAAGTGGAGTAGGGGAGGGGGGAGGGGAGGAGGATGAGAGGGAGGGGGGAGGTGTTCCCGCGTCCCACCGAAATCGGCGAGCGCTAGTCGGACTTGAGCGACGTCTCTTATCTACGCGATTGCTGCTTATGTGTCCTGAACGATGCCGCCATGGTAGTCAGATCCAATTCCTTGAGCCGATGCCCGACGCTTACCGCTTCACCGGAAAACCACAGGCGGATCAGTACAAGCCATCTACGCCGTCACAGAGAGTAGTAAGTAGAGTGCATTCACTCTGCCACTATCATACCAATCCATGACGATTGCATCACATCAGTAAGAATCATATCTAGGTTTCATTCAATGTTTCTTTATTTTGATTATTTTCTTTTCGACTGCTGATTCCCCCCCACCACCACCTCCCACCAAGCGGCCTGATGATAATTCTGCAAAAACGCCCGAAAACAAAAAAAAAAAAAGGCATAGTACACTGCAAAACAAAACAAAAATTCGATATTGAGGAATCAGTACAGGACACGTGCTGTCTCCTTCCCCATCTCTCTCTCTCTGTTTTCCCTTCCTCTACGAAGAAGTTCATTCCTCTGAATGGGGAGTTTTTGTCAAGACACCCGGGTCTCATTCCTCCATGCTCCTCCTTCCGCATATTGACCAGCCGTCAGATGCAGTCAAAAGTTTACGACTGGCTGCGGGTGGTGCGCTTGCTGACCTCGCCCTGATCCTTGTCGGCGCCGGTAGCGGTGCCCTCCGTGGCCTTGTCCTTGGCCTTTTCGGACTTGGTCTCGGCGGCGGGCTTGGCGGCGGGGGTGGACGAACCGCCGCCGAAGAGGATGGCGAGCAAGGCGAAGAAGGAGAGGATGGTGGCGCCGATGGCACCGGCAACCTCGGGGACAAACTTGACGGCCTCGATGGGGTCACGCTGGGCAATGGTGAGGAAGAGATCGACCTTCTCGCGGACGTAGAGGACGGGGTCGTCGAGGAAGCTGAGGTCGCCGGGAGACTTGGCCTTGTCGTCCTTCTTGGGCTTGTCGGCCTCGAGGGCAGCCTTCTCGATGGGGTGCTTCACGTCAAAGGTCTCGGCGGCGAGCTTCTTGGCGTCCTCGATAGAGTGGCCGATGTAGATGTTGTCGAAGAGAATGTCACTCTGCATGGTCCAGATCTCGAAACCGATGGCACCCATGGGCTCAAAGTTGGCCGGGGTCTTGTCCTCAAAGAAGTCGGGGTTCTTGATCTTGCGGGGAGCCCAGGTTCCCTTGTAATCGGGGTTGTCGACGAGGGGGGCCGTCCACTTGCCCTTGTACTCGGGGTTCTTCTTGAGGGGCTTGGTCCAGGGTCCGCAGCCGGAGGCCTCGGCACACTTGGGGTTGGGGACCGTGGGAGCGAGCCAGTCACCATCCTCCTCGTCGTCCCAGTCGGCGGGCTTCTCAGCCTCGGGGTCCGGGATGGTCTCGGGCTCGTCGTCGAGCCAGTCCTCGGGCTTGGTGGCGTCCTCGTCGACGATCTCGAAAGGAGCGTCCTCGTCCCAGTCCTCGGGCTTGGTGGCCTCGGGGTCGGGGATGCGGGCCTTGTCAACCCAGGTGTCGGGCTTGAAGTCCTCGGGGTCGTCGATCTCGGCCGGAGGGTTGACGGCAGGGCTGAAGTCTTCGAGGAGAGAGCCGGTCTTGACCTCCTCGCCGTTCTGGTGGATGGCGTAGGTGTTGTTGGGGTGGACGATGAGCGTGTAGAGCTCGGTCGTCTTGACGATCTTGGCCGTGGGGGGCGACTTCAGGTGCTTCTCCTCGTACTCGCCAGTCTTGGGGTTCTTGTGGTTGAAGATGAAGTGAACCTTGTTGGTGTGACCGCACTTGTCGGGGCCGAACATGATGACGTAGGGCGTAGCGTTGGAGAACTCGTCCTGGTGGAGAGCCTTGTTGTCGCGGAGGAGCTTCATGTAGGCGCCGCCACACTCGAGACCCTTCTGGAGCTTGACCTCGTACTGGACCACCAGCGTCTTGCCCTCGTTGTCAATCTTGTTGGGGAACTTGGCCGAGATGGCGTGGTGGGCGGCCGGGTTCTTGACGACAAGCCCCTTGTCACCCTCGATGCCCTTGTAGACGGTGGGCTCCTCGACGGCCCATTCGCCGATGTAAGCCCACTCCTCGTCGTCCTTGGACGTGTCCTTCTTGGCGGTGGAGGGCTTCCATCGCGCCTCCCAGTCGTCGGTGAACTGCTCAAGGAAGTCGGCCTTGAGGGTAGTAGGCTGTGTGGGGGGGAGATGAATGTCAGCAGTCCGGCCTACAGATGCAGCGCCGGAGAGGCTCCGAGCGGGGGACGGACGGCGATGTAGCGTCAAAGGGGATGCTGGCGTCTGGTGGCTACTCACGGTAAAGGCAGGGACCTCTGGGACCACTGATGACTCGGTCACGGGCTCCTCGGCGTGGGCAGCACCGGCTAGCATGGCAGCCGAGACGGCGGCAGCAACAGAGTTGAACTTCATGATGAAGGTTGATATGTTCTTCTTGGGTGCGTTGGGAAAATTTCCGGTCGGCGACGAACCAAGGGCAAGGTTGGAAGAAGGGAGGGAGGAAGAAGCCGAGGGCGGGAGAGATGAAGAGAGAAGAGGACGGATGGGGGGTATCTGAATCGTATAAGGGTGCCAATTGGCCAAGCCCAGCACACGAGGAAAGGACAATTCCAAGGTGAAGAAATTTGGGAGGGCAAGGCGAGGGCGATGCGAGTTGATGGGAAAACAGGTGTGATTTAACTCGGGGCTGGAAGATGTGGACGGAAAGCCGTCGAGTGGCCTTTTAGGATTGAGGACACGTTTGACGTTGGGAGCTTGACCACGCTGGGAGGCTACGTAATAGCATGTAACCATTACAGCCTACGGCCCTACCTACATACCTACAGGCTACAGGCTACAGACTACAGGCTACAGGCTACAGGCTACAGGCCACGACGGCCGAGATGCGGGGTCCACCCACAGTCGAGGCCAGAGAGCCGTGGGAAGGGCCACGGGCGCTGAGGTACAGTAGAACAGCGTCTGCCATCAACTATCTGAGCCTCTGAGGTCGTCGTGGGTGGATCCCGTAGAGGGAGGGGGACCCTGACGAATGGTCCCAGCGGTTATTACTCCATAAATGCACTAGCATTAGTAGTAGGAAATATTGCCTGTATCAGGATAAATATGTAATAATACATGTATAAATTTGTCGATGATGCTCTCGACCGGTAGTTTTATCCCTTTTGTAATGTCTTGAATATATCAGTAGAATGTCCCCCCAAACCCAAATTGTCAATTCTGGCCAGAAGCTGGAAGAGGGAGAGTAGGTCAGCACATCTGATGCCTTTGTATGACCTGCCACCGTGTCGTGCCAGTCTCCCACTCAGGCACCGGTCTCGACTCTTGACAGGGAACTCAGTGGGCCGTTCCTTGGGCTATTAGGAACATATGAGACGATATGTCCCCATGCCGATGGTCGCGATGAGGCATTAGCACTCCGTACCGTCCGTCTCGTCGTTGCTCGTAGTGGCCAGGGTGGAGCGGGTGGAATTGCATGGAAGGATCCACGAGATTCTATCTACGATAGATAGGTAATAGGGCATGATGCACTGTGGTTTCCCGAAACAAGGTGCAACGTCACCGGAGGAGTACCATCAATATTGCATATTACATAATATTCCCATCATTCATCAATGGGAAGGAGCTCCGAGCAAAGGGACCTAAGTGTCTACGGCTCCTTCTCTGGTCATATCAATTTTTTAATATCGCTCCATCGCTCCATCGCTCCAATAATCACGCGGCAGACAGTCTCTGTCTATGCCTCTGCCTGCTTGTACCCCGTAATTGTACTTGGACCCCCTTGTCTCTCGTCACATATCCATTCTGCTTCTCAAAACTGACCACCACCAGTCCAGCAGGACGTGCTAGACGTCCTGCATCACGATCCACCCCTTGGCTGCTGAGTCAATGTACACACATACTTACCGAGCGGTAACCTGCCATTCAACTCAACCATATTTACCAGCAAAGCACCCTTGCTAGGCTGGTCCTCGAACGTATTCATCCGCACGATAATCATGACATCAACCACCGTTATCGGCTTGGTGAAACAACGAGGTCGAGACCCATAAAATAAAGACCGATGGATGGCATTGACAACCCCGGATTCTCTATCCGGGCTGTCCCATCTACGTGCTCGTCTCGTGTATCTAAGCCTTGGGCGGCTCTCTGACACCTGCAAGATGATGATCTCGGTGGACTTCCGTCGACGTGTACGAGAATCGACGGTCACTCGTGGTGGAGGCGGAGCAGCTGACGGATTCGCACGGGGTAGACAGGAATGCTCTAGGAAAGCTGTATATTAAGTGTTTTTTTTTCTACCAAGACATTCCTCCTTATCCGTCGTCCATCGTATTCACACACAAGATTTTTTAAAAATTAGATTATGGGTAGCAACAACATGGGCCGCCCCCTCTCCCCGGCCCCCAATTACTCTCTGCTAGAGAAGACACACTAAGAGGACGAGAGAAGGAGAGGTACGGCGCAGAAATGTCCCAACTTTACAGGAAGAGGGCAGCAGCGACGGCACCGAGTACGGCACCAGACGAGATGTAGAGGCCGGGGGCGGCGCTGTCACCATCGTCGCCAGAATCCGAACCGGTCGCCTCGGAGTCGCTGCTGGAGCCGGTGCTGGAAGGGCTGTCGGAGCTAGACTTGGCGGTGGAGGAGCCGGTGGCCTCGGACGAGGCAGTCGTGACGGCCGAGGTGGCGGAGTCGCTGCTGGAGCCGCCGCTGCTACCGGTGGGCTCGGGGGTGCCGCTCTTGGAGTCGTAGTAGTTGTCCTTGATGCATTCGGCGACGCACTGGTTGTAGAGCTTGGTCTCGGCGGCCGAGCCGTTGCCCTGGTCACAATCGCCGATGCAGAGGTTGGTGGCATTCACCTGCGAGGCGTTCGGGTTGGGGACGGGGTTGCAGCGGGCCAGGCAGGCGACGTCGGTGGCATCGCACGACTCGATGCAGGCCTGGATGGAGGACTGGACAGGGTCGGCCGAGGTGGTGCTGGTGGCCTTGTCGGAAGACTGGGCGGCGGCGACGACGGCCAGGGCGCCGGCGAAGAGGATGGAGGTGAAGCGCATCTTGAGGTTTCCCGGGGAGAGAACGTGGGGGGGAGGTTTATTAACAATATCAGACGCGGATCTGCAGCGTACAGTCAGTATCATCCGCCGATACGATGTCTGTCCATGCGGGTGAAGGGTGAGACAGGCAGGAGGGTAGCTATCGAGACTCCAAACCTGAAGAAGAAAAGAGAGGATGGCTCTGACTTACACGACGCTGCTGGGAAAAAGAAATATAGAAAAAAGAAGGATGGAAAGAATAGGATAAGAGGCGTAGGGGAAAGAGAGACGAGTAGAGAGAGGAGCGAGGTTCCGAGGGAAGAGTTCGAGGGGGCACGGATGGGTACTTATTCACAAGGCAAGACGGTCACAACGCCACTCTTTTTTCCCTTTTTTATTTCCTTCTTCCTCTTTCGGTTTTTTTTGTTTTTCTTTTTTTTTTCTCCTCTTATTATTTCATTTATTGATTGCTATCCCTATATCATGTCCCAGGCTACCATTCTCTCCTGTCTCTCTCTCTCTCTCTCTCTCTCCACCCGGGGGGGGTGTATAAGGGGGGGGGGGCGAGAGCAGATAGCTCGTGTCGGCGGCTTGGAGGAGCTCGTAATACAGAATAATACGCGCTAAAAGCTTTGGTTTCTTGGCTTTTTTTTTTTTTCTTCACAATAATAAACACATACTCGTACACACACACCGTACACACACACCGCACACACACGCAAACAAACAAATGGAGATCGGGGCTTGGCAGGATTCTACGATGTCTGGGGAAGTCCCGAGGGAGATGAGGGGACAGGGGACGTATCTCATTGGTGGCCATTTTCCCTTTTCTTTTTCTTTCTTTTTTTTTCTTGGGATCCAGTTTGTTGAACCCGACAGGACAATCCCTGTTGTCTGGGCACCGTGGTAATTTTAAAATGAGGTGACCTCTTTGTCTGTACTCCGTACTCTGTATTGATACATACTATAGAGAGCGGGTAATATCGTCAGTAGTCGTGATGGCGATGGTACCTGTCTGTACATGTAATCTGTAGATGGGGCAGAAGCTATTCATAGCTTCTCATCGACTCACGGAGAAGAGGATCCCTACTCTTCAGCACTCGCACTGTCAGTCACCTTTGGCCTGAGTTCAGCAAGGCACGAGTCAGAGAGAGGAACGGACGTACGCATAGGCTGGGCCGGATGTTTCTATCGTAATCCCCGTACTCCGCGCTCCATACTCCGTACTCCATACTCGGTACAGATACAGAGCAATATTCGTATGACGTTGTACGGGAGAAACGATAATGCAATACAGGTGTTTTTTTTTTTTCGCCTGACATTGTTTGCTGTCTTATGAGCCAGGGTCACCCCTCGCTTTGGGTTGGGTTGGCCGGGAGAGGGAGAGCAGGTGTTTCAGGGGGGGGGTGGTGGTGGTGGTGTGGGAAAGTCGTGGAGGGAGGAAAAGAAAGGGGATGATGGGTGTGGAGAGGATAGACGGAGAGAGTCAAGGTGTTCGTCGGAGAGAGCAGTCGGGAAAGACGAGCATGGGAATTGCCATCGGCGGAACATATGAATTCATCGATATAAGCAATCATATCATTAAATGAAAACAAGAGCAGAAAGAAGAAGAACACGAGTATGCTTATGTAATATTACTCTGTACAGACTACGAGTAATGTGCGGTTAGTCTGTACGGTGGGCAGCGCATAGTTGGCACGACTATACGGATACTCGTATTCCTTTCTTTTTATCCTCACTCCCATCATGATGGAGAGTTATATAATACTCCGTAATCATTCTACAGAGTAATACACAGAAAGCCATACTGCCAAGGTACGAGTCGATACATGTATCGCTCCATACCAGACGTCGTATGATGGAGAGGAGTACGGGACGCATCAGGTAGGAACGGGGGTCTATCGTCTACGGTCTACTACGTATCGTCAACCTCGGGCATTCAGAAACCAAGTCATCAGCTCCGATACTCAGGCACAGAGATGGTACGGCTTTCTGCTGATAGAGGTGCAGAATGCCTTCTCTCTTCTTTTCCCCTCGATATTTCTCTACAGTGTCACCGATATCATCACCCGTCTCCTCTCTGCTGTTACCACGGGAAAAAAAGAAGAAAAAAGTAAAGAGGGGGGAAGCCGTCCCTTCTCCATGAACATTAATTTAAAATAAAAAAAAGGGGGAACAGTAAAACATTCAGGTCATATCATGCATCAAGTCGCCAGTCGCTATCGACCGATGCGCAAAGCCACCTGATGCAACGCCAACAGAGTCGGAGAGACGAGAGAGTGTGGACTACTCCGTAGAGAGGATAGAATACGAGGTTCCTGGGTTTCTCTACCCGCTCCACACCCCCCCCCCCCCCCCCCCCCACCTCTCGTCTTGCTCGTATCTCAAACGGGAATGGGGATACAGGTTGCCGATTGTCTATTGTATCTCGTTGATCTGTATTGTGAAGATACTCCCTAGAACCGGGTGGTGGCAGGTCACCGTACGGGTGCTCCGTGGACCGATGTTGGCAGCGCATGGATCGCTATCATCCGTAGATCGGGAGGGAGGTTGAGAAGCGTCCGTCGTCGCAAGGTGAGTCCCAGGAGCTGCCCTTCATCTACCGAGCGATGATGCCTGCAGAACACGATAGAACGGATAGTCTGGAGGGAGTGGTAGCATGCCTATTTTTATGTGCAATCTCGATCGCCTTCGATCCTTGGCTGGACCGCAACTTCAATACTCCCTATACGAGTACGTATCGATGGCTCCAGCTCCACACAACTGTATCGCGTAGACAAGACTTCAATGCAGGGTACCCTGTACCGTCTGAGCTGTGCTTTCTGCTGGCGACGACACACGATGACCCGTAGATGCGAATACAGCGGTCCCTGCTCTGCTTACTGGTATTACGTCCTGGGTATACGGATATCTGTCCCTGGTGCTCTCCTTCCTTGCAAGGAAAGAAATCTCTCTTTGAAGTTATCTAATCTGTACAGATGTGAGTGGTGCAGCAGCAGCCTCCATCTGCTTAGTCATATATACAAGATTGGGTGCGACAGTCCCGGTCTCGAGACGGGTATTTTTATTTATTCATCTAGATATTTTTATTCAATTTCCAATACTTTTTCTTTTCTCGCAATAACGGAAATCAGAAGATAATTTCACAATGTAGATTCATCGGGAAGAAAATAGACAAGGAAAGGCAAGAACTATCTCTCCTCTATTGCTGTTGAGACGATTAATCTACAAAGAAAGAAAAGAAGAAGAAAAAAACCCCCCATCTGCCAATAGCATACCATGTGACGCACCCACGATGGCGTCAACCCTCTCTCTCCCTCTCTGCCCCTCCCCCACTTGATGGCGCAAAAAATCAAGAACAGAAGAAAAAAAAACCCCCAATTCCTACGAGAAGTCAACTTCATCTTTAACTTTAGGCTATATATCTATTATATTTCCCATGATATAACACACACACGCGACACCAGACACTATTTTTTGTTTAAAAAAAAATATGTCTCAGCAAGACCCCGACAGCCTCGTCAGGTCCGACAACCCCGACCACCCTGCAAACCTGATCCCGTCACTCTGCGCCAAGTTCTGGACACTAGGATGGGTCACCGGCACAGGAGGAGGATGCTCCATCCGGGACGAGTATGTCTTCCCTCCTCTCTAGCTCTCCTCACGGACGGACGAAGCAGAAAAACATGATTCATGAGAAGAGAGAATATGGATATAGGAAGAGAGAGAGTGTGTGTGTGAGAGAGGATGAGAGAGTGAGAGAGAGAAAAAGAGAGAGAAGGAGAGGATTCTTGCTGACCGAAAGACCGACCTAAAAGTGACCTGGTATACATCGCCCCGTCGGGCGTGCAGAAGGAGCTCATGAAGCCGTCAGACATCTACGTCCTCTCCTTGGCCGCCCAGACGGACCCCCACCTCCGCCAGCGCAGCTACCTCCGCTCCCCGCCGGCCTACAAGCCGTCGCAGTGCACGCCGCTGTTCCTCGCCGCCTTCACGCGCCGCCGGGCCGGCTGCTGCATACACACCCACTCCCACTGGGCCGTCCTGGTCACCCTCCTGCTCGAGAGGTCGGGCTCCAGCCTCTTCGAGATCAACAACCTCGAGCAGATCAAGGGTTTCGGCAGGGGACCGGCCCGGCCCGGCAACCTGGGCTACCACGATACCCTGCGCATCCCCGTCATCGAGAACACCCCCCACGAGGAGGACCTGACCGAGTTCCTCGAGGACGCCATGGAGAGCTACCCGGACACCTACGCCGTCCTCGTCCGTCGCCACGGCGTCTACGTATGGGGCGACAATGTCCACAAGGCCAAGACGCAGTGTGAGAGGTAAGAAGGGTGGTTCATGTGTGAATTCGTTCTTTGTCTTTTGCTGTGTGAAATCTTTTTTTTTTTCCCTTTCTTCTTGGTTGTTTTTGTCATCATTATTATCATGCATCTTCCTACGTCGTCTTCTTCTTTTTTACAATTTACTATAAAACGCAGCTGACATATCATTGTCCCCCTTCCCAACAGTCTCGACTACCTCTTCCAACTTGCCGTCGAGATGACCAAGCTTGGTCTCCCTTGGATCAGCGAGGTGACTCCTGTTGGTCCCCAGCGGTAAATCAATATCAATACAATATATATCATGTCGAAAGAAAAAAAAGACACAAAAAAAAAGAAAAGTTCACGTATTTCCAGTCAACCCGTTTTTTTTTAAATCTCAACGCAGCGTTGTATTTATTTAGAGGAGAAAGGTGGGTTTTAGTAATCGAATGGAAAAAAAAAAAGTCATTGAACTGCGCTACAACTCATCCCTCTGTCTTATATCATCATCGTCAACCTCCTGCTGCTGCTGCTGCGGCGGCGGCGAAGACGGCATGTGCTCCTCTACCACCTCCGCCACATGTTCCATGAGCCCGTCACCATCATCCTCTAGCTGCTCCCCAACCTTTGCGGTAGGAAGCTCCGGGAGACCGAGGCCGTCGACATCGGTGTATGTAACCTCTGCCATCCCCGTCATAGTCTGCTCCGAATGGCTGCCGGCGCCGCTGCCGCTGCCGCTGCGGCCCACGACGGCGCTCCCAGTCTTGACCCCGACGCCAAAGACCACCCGTAGCGGCAGCCAGACGAGCCACCAGAGCGGTCCGTACAGCAGGCGCCGAAAGACGAGCCATGCCCCGACGACGACGAGCATGTACAGCGCCGTGGTGAGGTACCACGTGTCGCTCTTCTGGGACCGGAGCAGCGTGCCCAGCAGGTCGCGCGAGCTGGTGAGCATCGTCTCGAGCGAGCTGTACGATTCGTGGAGCTGGTGGAAGGCCGCCGTCGACTCCTGCATCGTCCGGTTGGCGTACTCGCTGCGCTCCAGCTCCGCCTGCAGGGACGCGTGCATCTGACGCAGCGAGTCCGTCACCCGGCTGCTCGCCCCGACCGTCTGCCTGTCCTTCTCCGAGAGACCGCTCATCTGCTGCTGACCCTGGTCGTATCTCGCCTTTCGGTTGGGGAATAGCCGTTGTCGTAGCTGGGCTTGCGTCTGCGTCTGCCTGTCGCTGTTTACCGTGCCGTCGTCGACATCGTGGTTCCCGCCATCTTCACCCGTCGTAGGCGTCTGTACTCCCGATGCGGGGAGAGAGTACGACTGCACCACGAGCTCTCGCTCTAGTCGTTGAGCATGCACAAGCCTCTTCTTGGCTTCCAGACGAGCTTTTCGGAACTGCCTACGGCATCTGGACAGCTTTGCATTAGCTCACACTTCCAACTTGTCTTCTCCCCCCACCCCACCACACACACACACACACACCTCTCTCTCCTTTTCTGTCTCTCTCTCTCTCTCCAAAGAAAAAAAAAGGGTCGAAACAGGGGAATGATCATCTCACCTCTCCAACTCTTGCTGCTGCCGCTCAACGCTCTCCTTCAACCTGGCCTTATCCTCGTGACGTAGATCCTCCACCTCCTCCCCCAGAAGCTCCGTCTCCTCGTCCCCGTCCCTTAGGAGCACGCCAATCTCGGCGCTGAGCTCCCCATCTTCGTTGCTGGCGTCGAGCGGCACCGATCCGGGCTGGAAGTCGAGGTGGTCCAGTCGGTCGATGAGATCCCTGAGCTGGGATGTCGTCTCCTGCAGGGCCGTAAGGCGTTCTTGAAGTCCTTCAAAGGTCATTTCTTCTCCTCCTCCTTCTTCTTGTTTGCCTGTCGCCTCTCCTTCTCTTCTTCTCTTCTCCTTCGTGCAATCTTCCTTCTTCCTTGTAACTTTCAGACAATATATCTGTATCTGTGTGTTTTCATTCCTTCTTTCCTTCCTTCCTTTTTTCCAAGAGAAAAGAAGAAGAGGAAAAGAAGAAGAAACCTGGGGAAGGATTGTCGTGCAAATCTGAAGAGTTTATTGCATACGACGTTGCTGTCATGTAACGAAAGAAGTATCCATACGTCAAGGCCGCCGACCCACCCCAACTGAAACCCACTCATGATTGGTCAACCATAGCAGACTCAAATCACACCCCATTCCCAATTCCCCATCCATCCGTTCTTTCCTTTTGCGATGGAAAAATAAAACACAAAAACGAAAAAAAAGAGGCGACAGAGGACGATTCGCTTTGCTGATTTTTATCCCTCACACCTTCATTCCGACACCTCTCCTCCCCGGGAAGAAGGAAGACCGAACTCGCCCACCATGATCACCAAATTCATGACCGAGGTGACCGCCAAGTTCAACCCCTTCTCCGCCTGCGCGAAGCCAGCTCGCCTCTTTCTCACTCAGCTTCCCCCGACTGCGCGGTCGATGGGCGTCAAGATCAACTCGACTGTTCTTCCCCGGACGGCAAAGGAACCTAGCTCTCTCTATGTGAAATTCAGTACGTTTTCTTTTTTTCCCCATCTTTCACACACACACACACACTCTCTCTCTCTCTCTCTCATCCTCACTCTCACACCCTTCTTCTCTTCTTCTTTTCTCTCGAATAATCCCCCCTTCTTGATTGCCTTTCTCGTACTATGCGCCGCCGCTGCTTGACCCCTGACTGACAATCACCCCCCAGAGGACGGCAAGGAGATGAACTTTCAGTGCGACAAGATCACCATCACCGGCCTCGTCAACGAATGCGACCGGCACTCTCGATCACTGCAGAAGAAGGAGGACCTCGAGGACTAGAGACTCCCTGTCTCTCTCTTCCTTCTTTCGAGTCCCTGATACGGGAACCGAAAAATAATTATGGCATTCATGGGCGTTATTTTTATCTTATTTTAGGTTGTGCTACGAGAAATCCGGGCTGGAAAATTCGCAGAGCAAGGGTCATGCAGACTGGCGGAATCCACTCATTGTAAAGAAATGTGTACAATATGTATGATATAGAATCGAGGAGAGGAACCAAGTGTATATTTTTTCCGGGCCGACCAGCTACTACTACTCGAGGTAGTTACTGAACCCGTCGTCATATCAAGCATAACCCCACCGTCCTCGTCGCCGTAACCATCTTATTTTATTCTGTAACACCTCTATTGCTTCCTTCGTTATCAGATATGGAGGTGTGCTTAAGCAGAGGCACCGGAGATGAAGAACCACTTGTCGATGGAGCTGTCAATCTTCTCAGGAGCGAGGTCCTCGTGAGGCGGAAGCTGGGGCAGCTGGTCAGAGCCGATGCGGTTGGGAGAGTGGGCGACAGTGGTGTTGGCGCTGTAGAGTGAGGAGGAAGAAAAATATGGTTAGTGCTGTGAGTCGTGCCATGTACGTGGTGGGTCCCGTGATAGAACTTACAGAGAGATACCACCAGGGGCAGTCTTGCCGGTGATGAGGCGCTCCCAGGCCTCGGCGCACTCGCGGACGACGTCCATGGCGTAGCTAGAAGGATAAGATCAGCATAGGTAAGCACAGCTGGAGACGAAAAGAAAAAAAAAAAGGGGGGGGGGTTCGTCAGCCGGGGCTGCGGGGCATCGGGGAAGGAGGTTCGGGTCGGACGAAGGGTCACGGAAGGGACATACCTGGGGGAAGGCNAGGGGGGGGGGTTCGTCAGCCGGGGCTGCGGGGCATCGGGGAAGGAGGTTCGGGTCGGACGAAGGGTCACGGAAGGGACATACCTGGGGGAAGGCACCGTAGTTCCACAGGTAACCCTTGTGGGGGAAGCAGTTGCGGACGAAGCGGAGCTTACCCTTCTTGATGTCCTGCTTGATGGGGTTGAGGAGCTCCTCCTTGGAGATCTGTTGTTTGTGACGGCTGTGCGTCAGTCTTGCTGCTGCCGATACTGCGCCCGTGTGGCGGGGTTGATCGAGGGGCGAGCGGTGGACATGGTCGAGGGAGAGGAGGGGGGAGAGGGGATGAGAGCGTGCTGGCCGACAAGAGAGAAGGTAGATCCGGCCACCACAGCATGAGACCTTTCCCCTTCTCCTGACCGTGAAGGGAAGGGAAGGGGAGGGGGAGGGGGAGGGGGGGGGGGGATACGGGGAGAAGTGCTTACCTCGAGCTTGCCATTGGTCCATCGGGGGATCTCGACGATCATGTTCAGGATGGTCTGCTCCTGGTTGGCGTAGAGGGGGATGTCGTGGAAGGGGGAGACGGGGACGCCATCCTTCTCGATGTAGACGCGGTGCTCCAGGGTGTTGGGAGCGGCAACCTTGCGGAGAGAGTACTCGGAAGACATGGTCGCGGTCGTAGATGGGGTAGAAGATGGAGTGTGGTCTGTGGCAGGGGCAGAGGGGGTCGTCGAAAAGTGACGAGCTATGAGGGCAGTGCGTTGAGAGGGGATTTTGGCTGAGGGAGAATAATTCGGCCGTAGAGGAGGGGAGGATGGAGGGGGCGGGGTCATGCCTACTCCTCTGCTGGGACTGCTGCCCTGGGCAGAGGCGGCGGCGACCGTCGTCGTTGTGAAGGCTCTTGCAGGGCCGCCGTCAGGGCCTGCTGTGGTGGGCGGCGCCATTCCAGGTGGCCTAAAACTAATGCGTCCACCGCTGGGGCTACTACCGCCACTGGCGCTGGGGCGGTGGCTTCTTCCCTGGAGAGGTGCTGCTGCTGCTGCTGCTGCTGCTGCTGCTGCTGCTGTCTCTCCTCGATACCGCACTGCCGTCGTCAGCGTGGCAATGCGATTGGCCCAAGGTGCAGCAGACACCGACAACTGGACTGACGTAGCCGGTCGACGGAGAAGCATTGGGTGGTGGCAGAGGGTTGGGGAAAAAAAACGGGCACCACGCACGAAATGGGGGGAGGGAGAAGGGGTGAATGGAGGAGAGAAGGAGGATGCAAATATTGATAACTGCGTACGATAGTAGGTGGTGATGAGAGAAATAGTATCCTCAGCACAGCAAGGATGCAATGGCGTGTGCGCGGCGCGTGTATCCGATAATACTACTTATTTCTTCCTCGGCTCCGAGGGCGCCGGCTTCTCTCTCTCATGGCTCGTAATTCGAATGTCGCGGTCGAGGATCCCGCTTTCTGATTCCTCGAACTCGTCGGACTGAATCGCACATGGTAGGAGAAAAGTGGCACCAGACATCCATGTGACTAATCCTACTAATTATCTCTTGATACCTGATCTGTACAATCCAACATATCCTCCAATCACGAGGAAGTATCGGTGTCGGTGTCTGCAAGGAGAAGTCTGCGCGGGACGAGGGTTGTAGCTGCGCGCCGATTGATATTAACTCTGCTTCTGGCGAGAGCCTCATCATCCCGCAGAACCGAGACGCCAATATCGTACAAGTACTCACATGTCCACGACACCGTCATTGAACTTCAGCACTGCAAGAGAAGAACGAAAAAAATAAAAATAAAACCAAGCCATTTCCGAAGAGCATCGAGAATAAAAAATCCATGCAATGTTACAGATTCGTGGCCAAAAAGATGGCGAGGCCACCCGACCGTCTGCTTAAGCTCCAAACTCTGCTGCCTTGACACCGCCGTCACCCTGCGACGCATCCTTGCTGGAGCCGACCTCGCTCCCCGGCTGTTCCTCCTTGGCCTTTCCCCTCAGCTCCGGGGACGGCTGGGCCTCCTTACTGGTCTCGCCGCGCCTGTAGAGGTCCGTGCTGGGTGTCCACTCGCGCAGGTCATCCTCGATGTCGTTGAGAACCTGGCGGGCTTGGGGTCCTTGGTCGTACAGGACGCGGTCGTCGCCCGGCATGACGGGCGAGTCGTCGAGCAGGTCGAGAAGACGGCGCCCGTGCTTAGCCAGGATGATCTGCTTCTCCGCTCTCTCAATGACGGCGGCAAATTCTGCGCCGTAAGCTTCCTTGAACTTCTGGCGGGTCTTTTTTTTTTTTTTTTTTCGTTTTGTTTTGTTAGGTTGCTGTGTCAGTGTGTCGTGATCCACACATTGCCAGCTTCTTCTCGTCCTCGTTTCCGTCTCTCTGCAGAACTCACAATGTTGGTCAGCTGCGCCTCGGCGACGAGATTCTCCGCCTCGGCACGTATGAGCTCCTGCTCCAGCACCGTGAGCCTGGCGCTCTGCGGTTCCTTGACCTTGAGCTTATGTATCTCGTCGGCGATCTTGGCCTTGGCGTTGCGGCTGGGCTGGACACTCTTCTCCGTGTTGCGGATAGACTTGAGCAGGGCGCGCGAGTCGTCGAGCGCGTGGGCGTAATTGTCCTCCTGCTCGCCTAGCTCGCCGAGGATGACGCCCACCTTATCCGAGAGGTCGCTGACGCCGTCGTCGCCCGTCTGCTCCCCCCACTCGGACAGTTGCGTCGCAATCGACACGCGCTCCCGTCCGGCCGTCTCGTGCGCGCTCACCAGGTTGTTCTCCGATTTGATGAGCTTGAATAGCCTGCGCGACAGCTCGGGCTGTACCGTGCCCCGAAGAGAGCTGAACGACAGTCCGGGTCTGCCCGTCGTCGATGACGGGCCCCGGCCCGAGGACGATCTGCCCCCCGAGCGAAAGGAGAGGCTTCGGTTCCTAGAGGCATCATCCGTATTGATCAGAGAGATGGACAGCAACACACACACACACACACACACGTGCTAGATGGAACACGAGGCCACCCTTACATGATGATGACGATAGTCAGCCCCTGCAGACAGGGATTCCTCCAGTTCTCTCTTCTTTCCGTGATCTCAACAATAGTCCAGAACAGGATGGGATGTAGCGTGCAGTTGATGCCAGGAACAAGACGATGTGTGGGGGAAGGGCCAGAAGGAGTGAGCGCTTCGTTTCCCTTAAGAACGTGCGTCGAGCCTTGGCAGAGCCGGCCAGGTGACCCAGCCCAGCAGTGGCAGTCATAGCAGTCTCCATGTTGGGGATCAAGGCTGCACCATGGTCAGGAAAGGGCGAGAGCGCTTCACAGCAACTTCCGCTCCGAATGCTGCTGTGCGAGCCAACGGAAGCTGCGGAAACGTGCCAATGATGTCACCACTATCACGGGAGTGATACCAGATAGTCAGCATTGGTGTTGGCAGATCTTTAGTGCCCCCCCTCCTTCCCAGCTCCTTCCCAGCTTCGCAAGAAACGGGGAGTACTAGTACTAGCAGTAGTATGACCGGTTTAATCTTGATGGTTTAGCAGAGGCAGTAGTAGCAGTTATATCATGTGGTTAAATCAAATAAAATAAAATAAAACACAAATAGTAGTGCTGTTGCATTCCAAAGACGAGCCCCCCCCTCTCTCCTCTCTCCTCTCTCCTCTCTCCTCTCTCCTCTCTCCTCTCTCCGCCACTATAACCTGTTTGACGCCGTCTTCCTCGGAAGTATCCGTATGTCGATTGGTCTAGCTGCATTGTATAGTGCTCTCTCTCTCTGTCTCTCTCTCTCTCTATTTTATTTTTAATTTTTCTTTTTGCATCAGAAAAGATGTCAATATCTGTGAGATGTGTGGCTCGTCCGCGGGCTGTGATGATGCTCCCTCGTTCGCGTGACACTCGAGTAGCTCACGCGGGGGGAGGCGCCGTGATGACGGTGCCCATGGTGACGATGACCGCTGTGATGGTGATGATGGTGGGGGTAGTGGACCCTTCTGGCGGGAATAACCTCTTCGTGGTAGTAGTAATCGGTATGGGGATCATCTCGGAAGCACATGCTCGATGTCTTTCTCTTTTCTTTTCTCTCTTCTTCTTCTTCTTCTTCTTCTTTTGAGCATGTGAAGAAGTAGCACTTCTCTTGAGTGGATGGTGATCGGTAGTATCAGTAGCAAAAGAGGAGAGAGTCGATGATAGGAGTGCTGATGGTGAGGTAGTATGTAACAGGTGGGAGGAGAACAATGGAGCACTGCACGTCCCACAGCGCTTATATACATGAGAAACACCGCGTACATCTAAGGCATCTCTGACGTAGATCCCATCAACGCTACTTCGTGTATGAAAAGCCCATCTCTTAGTGCTGTTTGTCGGGGTCGGGGAACAGGGGTCCCGTGTAAACTGCGGTTCGCCCCCCTCCCCCCACCTCGTCACGTACATCACATCCCAGCTTCGGGTTCAGTCTCAACAACAAATCTCAGCGTAAGTGTGTGTGACGCTGCCCCCCCGGGGGGCGGGGGGCTTTTCTTTTTTTTTTAATCTCTTATTTTAATTTCTAATTTCTAATTATTTTTTTTAGGACGCCAGAGGCGACAAGTTCCAGCGCCTCCGAGCAGGGACAGACTACTAAAACGTTCATATGGCAGAGGTTGATACCTCCCCATTTGATACAGACCTAACCTATTCGTATCTTCTCCGAAGCCATTCCCGATCATCTACGCTGTCACATACTGTCACTATCGAGTTCCCCCATGATGATCCTACCGCAATCGAGAGTGAAGAGGCTCTGCGCATTGCTATTGTCTTGCTGGATTGCATGCTGGATTGCGAGGCCGAGGAGCGGCTTTTTCTTCGCCGGTGGGGAAGCTTCTGCTTCTCCGTCCGACCCTGCAAGCCGCCTCCGTTTGTTGGGCGAGATTGCGCTGAGGGTAGTATCTCGCCTTTTGGCTGGTAGAAACTTGGCGCGGTCAAAGTCGACCACATTGATCTGTCCGTCGGGGCCCTGCAGCACATTCGGCCTTCGAACATCCCCGTGAACTACCCCTAAGCTGTGCATCTCACCGAGAATATTCGTGACCGTGTCGATGATCCGCCTCCTAGACTCTTCCCTGCCTGTCGTGATCTCGGTGCCTCCGTAGGACAGCAAGAGGAAGTGCACGAGTTCTACGTCGAAATCGTAGAAGTAGACCTGGTCTAGCGGCTGGAGATCGACGGAGCCTAGCCACGCAGGTATACCGCGGCCCTGCAGAGGCTGCAGCTTCCGGTAGATGGCCGTCTCATGCTCTAGCTCCCGTAGGCGCTCCCCGGTAAAACCCTTGGCGACGAAGGTGTAGCCGAACTGTAGCAGCGTCATCTGGAATAGGGCACCGCAGGCACCTTCTATGCCAAGCACCGCCACCCCCTTCTCCAGACTCCGGGAAAGCTGCTGCCGCAATAGGTCCATGAACTGAGAATATGAGATAGCGTGTCCGTCTTCGCCCTGCGCCCCGTCGCGGTGCAAGGCCACATTGGGGCACTCGGTGTCTAGCGGCTGGCCACCCACAAGGGATAGGAGACATGACGCTGTGCAGTACTCCCTCCGTCTCTCCTGCTCATCGCCACCGCCGGCAGATTTTGGGCGTGACGACCCCTGGTCGGCAGTGCTGCCTTCCTGGGAAGCAGCGCCTGGCCTACCGGCGCCACCACCGCCGCCGCCGCCCCCGACATCTCCGCTCCCGCCAAAGCCTGCCCCTCCTCCAGGCCCATCGCGTCTGCTGCTGCTCCGGAGCACCCGGTCTGAGTGGCTAGGCGGGGATTCCCGCCGCGGCTTCCGCCTGAACTTTTTGACCGGGGTCGGCAGCCAGTCAGAGCTGCCCAGTGAACGGCGGTGCTTCCTACTTCTGGACGTCGTGGCGTCAGCCGCGGCCTCCTCCTCCTCGGCAGCCTCGTCCAGTGTGAGCCCGAAATCGACAATCCATTTCCCACACCTCTTCGCCGCATCCGACCGTTTATCGACCCCATGCTGTCCTGATTGAAGTGCGAGCATAGTAAATGCGAGGACTTGGCAGATAGAATTGCTATAAGTGGCGTCTTCGTTTTCTATAACCTCACGTAGTGGCCGTGCTAGATGATAGTGGAGTACTGTTGGATCAGTCCAGTCAATCTTGAGAAAGACGATTGCGTCGCCGTTGGTTAAGTAACCGTATTCTAGCCCGGCGCCGAGCATGTAATGATATGTCTGCGTTATGGCCGCTGCGGTGAGACGTTCCGCGTAGTGCTTGAATTTTTCGGCCTTTGCGGTCGGTATCGTTTCTTTATTAACAACCTCATCGACAATGTTCATCCGTCGTAGACCCTGCTCGAGGTGTTGGGTGTGGAGTTTATGAGGTGCTTTATATTCGATAATATATGCAATGTCGCGCTGGGTGGAATTTCGAAACACGCAGATCTGATCCGTTCGTAGCTTTGCGTCTCTCTTTACGGTATCTCTCGTATCAGTCGGGCCGCGGAGGTTGCTTACTGTTGTCTGGAAGTCTACTCCTTTAGGGATAGTAAGACTATTGTCTTGATGACGAAAATCGTAGAGCCTGGATAGGATGATTCGTATAGGAACCTCCATGGTGTTGTGCTGGACGGTGACAAGGGAAGCTTCATCCTTTACCCGAAGTTCACTTATACGCTTGCCCATGCGCTCGAGGAAATCCACACTCTCGAATAGCTGTTCATGGCGCGGGATGATGCGATCGATTCGCTCGATCATGTCGGCTTGTATCGACAAGAAGTCGGCCCAAGGCTTAAGAAGGAGCGGGCAGTTCTTCCGGGTAGGGCTAGTAGAAGGAGCCCTGGTTGTAAGGTAGCCATCAGTGACGAGATGGACCTTAGACAAGATATGCTCCTGGCAGGCTGTAAGATATTCCTCCAGGGTTGTGTCGCGTCGGAAATTCTGTAGCTGCTCATTCTCGCGTCGGGCCTGCTCCTCGTTGCGTCGGGCCTGCTCCTCGTTGCGTCGGGCCTGCTCCTCGTTGCGTCGGGCCTGCTCACATGCTTGCTCAAGCCGCTCAAGCTTTCGTTGAAGATCTTCTTCTGTGGACATTGTGTGGCAGTATAGAAACTGGGCGCAGAGATGTTTGCAAATATAAGGGGATGAAGAAACAGCTTTGCCTCAAGATATCGATACTCGGCCCACCTCCTATCTCGGGTGCATAACCGTCTCCTCTAGGCAACAACGATGACTAATATAGCTACATGTGAGCATCGAACTTGTTGGACTAAACCGCTGCGCCACTGAGCAAAACTCTAGGCCTGATTGCTCAGATGGCTGTAACAGCCGGCTATACGTCTCTCATACAGTCTGACAGAAGTGAGGCCCGATGGATTGGCGCGAGCTTCAGAGAGCCCATGTCTGGCATCGTCTACTAATCGATTGGAGATAGCATCCACCGCGGTCTATTCTGTACATTTATATCATTCGATCTCATATAAAAAAAAAATTACACTAGCATTCTAGACCTGCAGTGCGCCTAATAAAAGTCACCTTTCAATCATCTTACCCCGAAGAACTCATCCATAACGGTCTGTTTTGTATAGTAGAAATATTACCTATGACGAACAAGCGACTAGTTCCGACCGCTACTTCTGCTTACCCCCGTAAGATGGGTGCACATACGTAGTAGATAGTCTAGACGCTTCAGCCCATGCTTCCCATTCCGACCGGCAACAGAGGGAACGAGGAGCAGGAAAAGGAAGACGCACACGAAAGATGCCTTGCTTGCAGCCTCCAGGGCGGCGCGGAGGGGTCACGCATCCTCTCTTGTGATGCATGCCCGCGTGACTCCTACGAGTATCATGTGCCTAGCTGCCATTCCGGCGCAAGCAAACGCCACCTGGAGAAGCCGAGATGAAGAGTACGGCAAGACTGTTCATGTACGAGACGAGGTCTCGTCTAGAATCTAAACACTCTATTCCAGAAAACCGTTGGGGGAAAAAAATCGATGCTCTTTCTTATTTTATGCTACAGTCGTACATACCATCCAGCGAGCTAAATCCTCTCCCATCATGGCTCTCGGCATTCCATACCCCCGGAACTAGAAACACGAAAAATAAAACATCCGACGCTGCTTTGAAACTACCTTCTCTGCTCGTACTCTTTTTATTTATTGGAAATGCTAAGCTCGAGCTTGCCGACGGCCCAGGCAACGACAAACACGGAGAGCATGCTGCCAAAGACGATGAGGGGCTTGCGTAGGGTGACGGTGGGCGAGACATCGTAGGAGATGACGAGGTCACGGTCGCGGAACTCGTCGACCAGGTTGCGGGCCTTGACGTGGACGGCCGTGCGGCCAATGGTGTCGAGGTAGGTCTTGTGCACGTCTACGCTGTAGCCGACGAGGGAGGAGGACGGGATATCGGCCAAGAGCCTGACGTTCCTATTGAGACAAAGCTGGGTCAGTTTTCCTCAGTCTACTGGCAGTACACGAGGGGGTGGTGTCGACTTACTCGGCACCCTCAGGGAGGAGGACGCGGATGTCAATGACTTCGTACTCGATGCCCTCGGCCTGCTTGGGGCCCTCGATAAAGGGGACCTTGAGGACGAAGCCGCCAGTGGCTGTGTTGCGCACGTAGTTGGCGGCATCCGAGTTCCAGCCCACGGTGAAGGGGTACTTCCAGCCGCCAAAGATGGGGTAGCGGGGCTTGAGCTCGAGCAGGGCTTCGCGCCTGTTCGAGCGGAAGCGCGAGGTCGAGACGTTGCCGATGGTGTCGGTGAAGTAGGCGTCGACGCTGCCGGCCTGGAGGGGGAAGCGCAGCTCCTTGAGAGCCCAGGTGGGCGGGTTGACGAACTGAGACTGGGCCCACTTGACGCGGTTGAAGTTGTTGGTCAAGTTGGCGCCCAGGTGGTGCAGCACGTAGCGCTCCTCAAAGGCGACGTTGCCGCCCCAGTGGCTGACCTCGATATCGCGCTCCAGGTTGGCGATGTGCGTCACGGGCTTCGTAAAATCGAAGCGTACCTGGGCGGGGGACACGGCACCGGCGGGCTGCTCGCCAAAGGGGCCGTAGACGAGCTTGGACCCTTGCTTCTCGGGGAACTCACCAATCTCGGTGTAGTTGGGGATGGCCACGGTGCCGGCCTTGACTTCCGTCTTCTGCTTGGCGGTCGGGTACGCGGACGGGGCGTAGACGGAGAAGTCGTGAGCGAGAAACTGGCGTTCATCCTGAGCGATAGAAGCAGGAAGGGGATGGTAGGCCTTCAGATAGTAGAAGGAGATGCCCAGAGTCTGCTGACCACCGGCCTTGAGGGGAGTCGGCAGGCGGATACGGTAGTACTGGACGTCACTGTTGGATGACGAAGTAGGTCAGCAGCAGCTCAACAGCAACACGCAAAATCGGAGGCGAGCTGGCCATATAAAACGTACGCAAGAGGGTCGTACTCGACAGCCTCGACGACAAACGGACCAGCGTCTGCGTCCTTGCGGTCCCTGACCTCGAAACCTCCGACACGGCTGAACTGGTCGGCAGTGAAGGGGACGTAGTACTCGTCCTGGGGCTCCTCGGCCGAGTTCTGGACAAGCACATTGATCTGCTCTTTGGCGTAGTTCTTCTCGAGAGAGATGATGTGGACCAGGTTGACGTTTGTGAAGACCTGGGGAGGCTCAAAGTCGGCGGGCAGGACGGCCTTACCGCCGCTGGAAGAGGTGACGACGCTCGCCAGGGCGCTCGACACGGCGCCCAGCAGGGCCGTTGCTACCAGAGTCGGCTTCATCATGATGGCAATGGGCAGTCGGAAAGCGCGCTCATTAAATGAGAATGCGCTCCCTGTTCCTGCGGTGTGAAGTTTAGCTCACGATTGGGGGGAACAATGATGTGAGCGGGCTGTCTCCAAGGTTGTCGTCGTCGTCGTCGTCGTCGGATACCCTGAGACGGCGTACGTAACTCACAATAGCTTCGGCCAGCCAAGCAGCACAATGGATACGTTGCTCATTTGGGCTTGCTGGTAGCAGTTGCCATCTGCTGACCAATCATGGACGAGTACCCCAGGTAGGAAGGGGAAGCTGGTTGATCCGCTCCGAGCCTCATCTTCTTCCTCTGTCACTTGTACTTTCTTTGGCAGCTGCGTTTAGGGTTGCAACTGCCGAGAGCTTGGTACTCAAAGTGGGGGGATCAGGGTACTGAGTTAGTATCTACACTCTAAGCAACGTATGTAACTCCATGTGTATCATCGGGGTCGTACATGTATACTGATACCCTGCATAGCAATGTTTGTTATGTTTTTGCAAATGGAGCAGGGTGGTTAGGCAACAACATTGGCACTGCTGCCAGTACACGCGAAAATATCATCAGAATTATCGTACGAACACACCATGTATTGATCTGTACATTTGGTCGAGCCATACGAGTATACTCACTTTTCGCATGTTCTCGCACAAGGTGGGGCGAACCTAGGAAGGGCCGACTAGGAAGGGCCGTCAGAGAAAAGACCTCTCACCTGTATGGAGGAGGAGTGCTTCAGTCCTAGACTTGTATTACACAGAGTACGAGTACGGAGTACATCTGTTTGTCTGTATTATTATTAACACTGCAGAGCAATAGTACCAATGATGCTAAAATAAATTAGTCGCACAACTGCAGTTTTTTTTTGCCTTTTCCCAGCAACGACGGCTTGAGCGGATGAAGGCCATCGTGTGGGCATATTTGACCACTGCCATTGGGTGGTGGCGGGGTTAGAGGCCAATGGACTTCTGTACTCCGTCCTGGTCCTTCTGGCCTCTGCTGACCTCGTTAAGAGTATGAACACCGCTCCTTTCGCTTTCGGCGGGCTTTTCCCTTCGAAGCTCCTCTCCAGCTTTGACTTAAAACTTGCCCCCTTTACACCTTTGAAGACGCACACTATTCCAACTTCATCCCGTCTCGAAAATCCGATAATCGCTCCAGGGTCTCCATCCTCTCCTTGAGAAATCATCTCGCTCCATCCTTGTACCCCAGCCTGCGCATCCCTTAGGTGACTTCTCCGTCGAGTACCTTTTCGAGCTACCCCGCCAAGCCCCGCCATCAGCCTTCATCATGGTTCATCTCGGGCCTCGTACGCCTCCCACGAGGAAGGGTATGTGATAACTGTGCTCGAATTCACCTGATTTCACCTCCCACGTTCTTTTACTGTCATATCCCACTTCAATTTCCCGCTTGATGGCACTCGCAGAGCTACGGGGAGGAGGAGGGGTCCTTGTCTGCCCCTCCATGGGACCCTTCATGTGTCCCATGTGTGAGGCAAATACCCACCTCCCTATCATTCCTCCCCTCGAGGCCTCAGCATCTCACGACAATGGTTGAATTCTTGACTTGTCTGTGCTTCTCGTGCTCTTTGGCTGTCACCATCATGCACATGATGTGATGCTATCTAGAAAGCTCCTACCCGTGACAGTCGCTGGGATTGGCCACCCATACGTCATCGATGGATCTTCCCCAGAAAACGCCCCGCGCCCTCGATTCACCTGATTTTATAGCCCATCTCGAAGGACCGATATGTGTGTGCTCTATGGCTGACGTCAGAGGCAACAGGCTCCAAGGCGGATATCCCCAAGGGCCTCCTGGAGCAGATTAGGCATCTGGAGGACCTATTCACCATCGATACCCAGAAGCTCAAGGTCATCACGGACCACTTTATCTCTGAGCTTGCCAAGGGTATGTACTCCCCAAGAATGAACAAACATGAATATCGGCTGACGAACAAGCCAAGGTCTGAGTGTTGAGGGTGGAAGTATCGTACGTTGTAACTTCCAGCCATTCTGTTCGCATACCCATGCGCGCAAAGCTAACAAGAGATCATTAGCCCATGAACCCTACCTGGGTCATGTCCTTCCCCGATGGATATGAGACGGGCACATTCCTTGCTCTCGACATGGGCGGCACCAACCTGCGCGTCTGCCAGATCACCCTCACGGACCAAAAGTCCGAGTTCGACATCATCCAGTCCAAGTACCGCATGCCCGAGGAGCTCAAGACGGGCTTGAGCGACGAGCTGTGGGGGTACATTGCCGACTGTCTCTACCAGTTTCTCGAGACTCACCACGGCGACTGCAACAAGATTGATACTATCCCCCTGGGCTTCACTTTCTCCTACCCCGCCACCCAGAACTACATCGACGAGGGCATCCTCCAGCGCTGGACCAAGGGCTTCGACATTGCCAACGTTGAGGGCCACAATGTCGTTCCCATGTTTGAGGCTGCTCTGAAGAAGAGGGTGCGTAGAAAGATTCCGCCTGCCTGCTACGTGAACAAACCCGACCGCTAGCTGTCGTTTAAGATTTCTAACTTTCACTATCAAGGGCGTTCCTATTCGCCTAACTGCTCTGATTAATGACACCACGGGCACCATGATCGCCTCGGCCTACACCGACCCCAAGGTCAAGCTCGGCTGCATCTTCGGCACGGGCTGCAACGCCGCCTACATGGAGGACATTGGCTCCATCCCCAAGCTGGCCCACCTGAACCTGCCCGCTGACACTCCCATGGCCATCAACTGCGAGTGGGGTGCCTTTGACAACGAGCACAAGGTGCTGCCGCGCACAGACTACGACATCGCCATTGACCGCGACTCGCCCCGACCTGGCCAGCAGGCCTTTGAGAAGATGATTTCCGGTCTCTACCTCGGCGAGATCTTCCGTCTCGTTCTACTGGACCTTCACGACAACCACCACATCTTTGAGGGCCAGGACGTGTCAGCACTCCGCAAGGCTTACAGCCTCGACGCATCCTTCCTCTCCGCCATTGAGGAGTAAGTTTCTTTCTGTTGCCCCCCATCTACCCACCATCCCACTCTTTGCTCCCTTTTGTGCATCCTCCAATATACCTTGGAGAAACAGTGATAGCTGACACAGAGCAGAGACCCCTTTGAGAATCTCCAGGAGACGTACGACATCTTCTCGGGCCGCCTCAGCATTGTATGCACGTGCCACGAGCTCGAGCTGATCCGCCGCCTGGCCGAGCTTATCGGAACACGTGCCGCCCGCCTCTCGGCGTGCGGTGTCGCCGCTGTCTGCAAGAAGAAGGACTACAAGGAGTGTCACGTCGGCGCCGATGGATCCGTCTTCAACAAGTACCCTCACTTCAAGGCCCGCGGGGCCCAGGCCCTGCGCGAGATCCTTGACTGGCCCGAGAAGAAGAACGCTAAGGCGGAGGACCCCGTAGAGATCCTGGCGGCCGAGGATGGTAGCGGTGTCGGTGCGGCCCTGATTGCGGCCCTGACGCTCAAGCGTGTCAAGGAGGGCAACCTCGCTGGTATCCTCCACCCGGAGAACTTCAAATAGGGGCGGTGCGCCGTATAGCGAGAAGCGAGGTCAGACTAAATAGTGCAGGATTGCAACGAGACGAGTCTGAAAACTCGGAACATGCACACAGATCACGAGTTCTGTATCGACTGCCCCTTGATGTGCTGAGATGCTTTGTATGCTTTTTTATATATGTCTTCATGTGTATGCTTGTCCTTTTGTTAACCCATGAAGGTGCACACGGGCAACCTGTACTCTATAATGAGGTGTGTTAGCAGTGCTAGTGAATGTCTGTGGAGGAAAGAGGGAGAGGGGGGAGAGAGAAGAGAGACTTACTGTCGAGAGTCCAATACCTCCTACGGACACCCTCCCAGTCTCCCTTGCCATCCTGCGACAGGGTGGACATGTCAACGTCGATCTCGTCCCATTCGACGTCGAGCCCGGCCTCGGTGGCATGCATCTCGACAACCTTGGTGTACACGTCATAGCAGATGGGCCTGTCGGCGCCGAGCCCGTTGAAGAAGCTGAAGCGGCCCTCCATGTCGAGCAAGCCGGGGATCATCTCTGTGAAGAAGTTGCGCAGCTGCGCGTAGTCCTCGCCAAAGGTGTCGAAGTAGATGGCATCGTAGACCTCGCCGCTCTTGAGGAGCCGGGGGACCACATCCTGCCACCGGCCAGCGTGGACCTTGAAGGCCCCCTCCCCGGGGCCGGAGGCCTCCCAGGCCGGGCCGAACGCGCAGTCCGGGCTGGAGGATATGTGCCCCAGCACCGAGGGGTGGGCCTCGATTATGTGGTGGCGTGAGGGGGCGTGCTCGGCGAACATGCCGTCGATGATGCCCATGCCGAAGCCGATGTTGAGGATGCGCCTGCCTCGGCCGGCATCGGGGGGCAGCAGGGCGGCGACGGACCGCCGCATAATGTCCGTCTCCCACGCCATCATGACGCCGTTGAGGTCCTCGTCTACTAGCTTGCCCTCGTCGTAGGTCAGGTTGGACTGCAGGTACTGGTCACTTGTGACGGGCTTCTCGTCGATGGAGGGGGGGACAAAGGTGACGGCAGCATCGCCACCGCCCATGTCAACGTCGTCGTCGTCGTCATTGCTCGTCTCCTTCTCTTCCTCCTCCTCCTCCTCCTCCTCCTCCTTCTCAGCATCCTCGGCACCATCCTCGGTGTCGTCCCCACCCTCGGATGCCAGCTCTTCGTACTCTCCCATGAGGGCAAACAGCATCTCGGCGCGGACGCCGGCGTCGACGCACATACCGTACAGGGTCTTGCGACCCAGACGTCTGGCCACGCACCCCGGCGTCTCGTTGTTGTCGTCGACGTCGTTCCATATGGCGCCCGAGTAGAAGAGCTCCTGGACGACGTCTCGGGCTTCCTCCACGCAGCCATCTTCCCGCTCGTCATCATCCTCTCGTCCGCTCCCCTCGTCGTCGTCCTCAGTGGCGGGGGCGGCAGGTCCGCAGGCGCGGATGGCGGCGTGGAGGGGCGTCTCGCCCGTCTTGGGGTCCTGGGCCCGGGGGGCGTCACTGCGGACTTTCAGGATGGCCTTCAGTCCACCTAGGTCGTGGGCCCAGGCGTGGTAGAGGACGTCGCGGACATTGTCTGGTGAGTCGGGTGGGATGCGGGTGGGCATAGAGTCGTCGATGAGGGGGGCCATGATGGCGGGGGAGGTGGGGGTTTTTTCTTCTTCTTTCCCTTCCTTTCTTTTTAAAATTGGTCTCCTTCCTTACGCCCCCTTCTCTTCTGCTTGTTTCAACTCCTCTTCTACTACAAGTCATATTCGCATGAATCGGCGGGGAGGGCCCAAAGCTGCCAAGGTGAGCGTTGTTGGCGATGGTGGGGTTGATTTTTTCTTTCTTTTTTCTTCTCCCCCCCCCCCCCCCCCCTCCCCCGCTAAGGTGGTGGTGTCCCCATATCAGCACTATCTAGATGTTGAACCCCACCATCAATCAAGCTAGAATGTGCGCAGGGAGTCGCTCTGCTAGTGGACTGTAAATACCCCCCAGTGAGATGATTTGACTAGTCACTTGTGTGATATTGCTAGATACTCAGACGGATAACGAACTGTTTTGGGAGTCGGGAGGACGAACCAGGTACTGATACCTGTACTGCCATGATGGAGTACATGTGAGATGGTGTCGGCTGATGACGACGTTTACCGGCGTTGCCGTGGCCGCTGCAGCCTAACAAGTCCCTGGACTCTAGATGGTTACCGGAGTACTCGTACGAGTCGGAGGGGTATTCGGCGGTGCAGCAGTGATAGTAGACGCAGTGTTCCGTACAGGTACGGGGTAGTGATGCTCAGAGCCACTGTATTCGAGACCCTATTTCAGGCTAGCATACCACTTGTAGCCTGCTGCACCACGGGCGGTCTACGGACCGGAAGCCGCAGCTATTTTTATTACTGCTCAAGCCTCCAGGTCAGTGGGACTTCGGTCTTGCATACGCACAAACCCTCCCCTGCACGTTTCTGATTCTAGCGCTGCGACTCGCCAATCCAAGGGCCCAGAGGTTCGAGCTGCAGCGCCCAAAAGGTCGAGAGCCCACTATATTGCCTACACCCGCTTTCGTCACTGTCAGACGCCCCCAGAGAGAGAGAGAGAGATCAGATTACCTTTTTTTTTTTTTTGGGTTGCGAGACAATTCATCTCTTTTTCTTTTTCCTTCCTTTTGTTGCTCTTGATTTCCCATCCTTCGTACTGATACCACGAGAGAGTGCCAAGTACAAGCCCTCTCTTCTTTTCTCTCCCCTGAACCCCCCCCCCCCCCCCCCCCCCCTTCCTTCTGTGGTGAGTTCTGTTTTTTCCCCTTCCTCTGTTCCACCTTCGCTGTCCCTCTCCTCTTCCCTCCGCGGTCTCCCAGTTTGCTGTTGCATGGAGGATTCAGTCCAGGCCATTGCCATCATACGCAGATAGTCACAGAGAGAGATAGAGAGAGGAGAGGAAGGGACTGCCCGCTGAGCCCCGACTCAATTTCTCATGCTGATCGAACAGGATCTTGGATCCCGACAGAGGAATTGGATCAACTCCCCGCGACATCCGTCGTATCGGGCTAAACCCGGCGTCGTCGTCATGAAGTTTGGAGAGCAGCTGCGGTCCAGCGTCATCCGCGAGTACCAGTGGTCCTACATCGACTACGATGTCTTGAAACACGACCTCAAGAACGCCACGGGCCCGGCCCTGACCGACAACCCGGGCCGCAACGAGTGGACCGAGACCGACGAGACGCGCTTCGTCACCAAGCTCGAGGCCGAGCTCGACAAGGTCCACGCCAAGCAAAAGATCAAGGCTCTCGAGATCTCCCGCCGCATCGCCATCAGCGAGCGTGAGGTCCGCGAGGTCGTCAACCGCCTCAACGAGCGCGGGCTGAACGAGGTCGGCCCTAGCGAGGAGGAGTTCATGCTCCTCGAGGAGGACCTGAGCGACATCATCGCCGAGGTTCACGATCTGGCCAAGTATGTCCAGCTCAACTATACTGGATTCTACAAGATTATCAAGAAGCACGACGTACGCCGACCGAACCCCCCCCCTCCCTCTCCTCTCCTCTTTCCCTCTCTCTCCATTCTCGCGCTGACTTTTCGATTTCGTCTCCCGCCAGAAACGCACCGGATGGTACCTCCGACCCGTTTTCGAGGCCCGGCTCAAGGCCAAGCCGTTCTACAAGGAAAACTACGACGCGTCCGTGGTTCAGCTATCCAAGCTGTACGACCTGGTCCGCACGCGAGGCAATCCTGCAAAGGGCGACAGCGCGGCCGGCGGCTCCCAGGCCAACTTTATCCGCCAGACGACCAAGTACTGGGTGCACCCGGATAACGTGACAGAGCTCAAGCTCATCATCCTCAAGCACCTGCCAGTGCTCGTCTTCAACGCCAACAAGGAGTTCGAGGCCAAGGACTCGGCCATCACGTCCATCTACTATGACAACACGGATAACTGGGACCTGTACGAGGGCCGGCTGAAGAAGACGGAGGGCGCTGAGGCCATCCGCCTCCGCTGGTACGGCGGCATGGAGACCGAGACCATCTTCGTGGAGCGCAAGACGCACCGGGAGGACTGGACCGGCGAGAAGTCGGTCAAGGCGCGCTTCAGCATGAAGGAGAAGAATGTCAACTCGTACCTGAGGGGCGAGCTGCTCCCGCCGGCCATCTTCGAGAAGGCGCGCAAGGAGGGCAAGAAGTCGGAAAAGGCCATTGCCGAGGACGAGAGGCTCGCGCGCGAGATCCAGTACTCGGTGCTCAAGAAGGGCTACCAGCCGGTCTGCCGGTCCTTCTACCACCGCACAGCCTTCCAGCTCCCGGCCGACGCGCGCGTGCGCATCTCGCTCGACACGGAGCTGACCATGGTGCGCGAGGACAACCTGGACGGCCGCAGCCGCAGCGGCGACAACTGGCGTCGCACCGACATCGGCATCGACTACCCCTTCTCGCAGCTGCCAGCCGAGGACGTGGTACGCTTCCCCTACGCCGTCCTCGAGGTCAAGCTGCAGACGCAGGCGCATCAGGAGCCGCCCGAGTGGGTGCGCCAGCTCATCTCGTCGCACCTGGTCGAGGCCGTGCCCAAGTTCTCCAAGTTCATCCACGGCACGGCCACGCTGTTCCCCGACCGCATCGACCTCCTCCCCTACTGGATGCCCCAGATGGATATCGACATCCGCAAGCCCGTCAGCCACGACTTTGGCATCCACCGCTCCGCCACCTCGGGCAACAACTCCACTTCGGACGACTACGACGACGACGATGATGACTCGGACGACGAGGACCTCGTGGTCGCCAGCCGCCAGCAGGCCGGCCCGGCCCGGCTCTCCGCCGCCACCGCCGCCACCGCCTCCTCCTCCTCCTCCTCCAAGCAGCAGCAGCCCACCCACAACGGCCGCCACCACGGCAACAACGCCGACGTCGAGGACCAGACGACGACCGACCTCCCCGGCGTGGACGAGTCGTACCCCATCTACGACTCGGACGAAGAGTTCGACGAGAACTACGAGCTCGAGCACGCCCGCCGCATCGGCGGCTGGTCCTACTACAAGACCCTCATCTACTCCAGGTCGCGCGCCGTAGGCCAAGCCTCCCTCGCCGTCCTCCGGGCCATCGCTCCCGTGCCCCGCAGCACCCAGGTTGACCGTTCGGCCCGCCAGACAATGTTCTTTGGGAACCAGGAGGTCCACACCAAGAAGTTTCGCGCCCCGGCCGGCAAGAAGATTTACGTGCCGGTCCGTGTCGAGCCCAAGGTCTACTTTGCCGCCGAACGTACATTTCTCGGATGGGTATGTTTTACACCTGAATTGCCCTCTTATATATTCATACCTTTCCTGCCTTTCTGTTCTTCTATGTGAATCTGTTGAGGAGAAGGAGAAGAATAAAGAAGAGAAGAAGAAAAACTGACCCTGACCATTTCAGCTCGAATACTCCATCTATATTGGCACCATCGCCGCCACCCTCCTCAACTTCGGACAGTACCCCTCCCGTACAGCCTTCTTCGTCTCCGGAGTCTTCACCTTCCTCGCCATCCTCAGCCTCGCCTACTCCGTCGTCATATACCTGTACCGCAGCCAGGCCATCCGCAACCGCAAGGCTGCCAGGTACTACGATAAGTGGGGGCCCAGCGTCCTCTGCGTGTCCCTGCTGATTGCCGTCGCTATCGATTTTGCTTTCGAGGGTCGCGAGAGGCAGATTTGGTAGTTCCCCCCCCCCCCCCCCCCCCCACAGTGTTTTCAAAAAAAATCTTCTTTTTGCCCAGTTTTGGCCCAGTTTCTTTCCTTCAACTTCATTGCTTGATTTTCATATCCCATGTTTTGTTCTTTTTTTTTTCTTTCTTTTTGTATTAGCATACAAGATTTTGTATTTTTTGTTTTTCTATTCATACATGTATGTATGCATGTTCATGTATCGTGACTTCACTTCAAAAGAAAAAAAAAAGAAAGAGAAAAAAAGAGTATATAATTGGAAATGCATGGGTAGTCTTATGTGCGGAAACAATGAGAATCGAGAGAATGGTGGACTTTGAAGGATATCGCAAAGGTATTAACAGCAATATACTTGGGTCGTATATTTATCAAACATTCAAATCATACAAAGTCATAAAAAGAAATGCCAGTCCTAAATAATGGATTAAGATGAAAAACTATACGAGTACTCCGTCGTCCCAACGTCTCTCATGTCCCCTTGCGTACACCAATCTAAGCAATGGCTGTGACCCTTCTGATGGTTCTCCTCGCGCCGTCGCCGGCAATCATGATGGCATTCTCCGCCTCGAGAGCGCGCATGGCCTCGTTGAAGTCGGCCTGCTCGACGGGGACGCTGGCCCCCTCTCCTAGACGCCTGGCGACGTCTGACCAGCGGACCGTGTTTCCGCTGGCCGTCATGTCGTCTAGCAAGCTGCGCAGGGCGTCCTTGATCTCGGCCTGGCGCTTGCGGTCCGCGGCGCTGGTGCCCTCGGTCAGGAGGCTCATGTCGATGCGGCCCTGGGCGTCGGTGGCGGCCGTCTTGAGTGCGCTCTGGATCAGGCGGCTGGCCTCGCGCACGTCGTCGCGCGTCACCGTCTCCGACAGCCGCATCTTGGCGTGCGCCTCCGACAGACGGATCATGCTCTCCAGCTGACGCGTCGTCGCCGTGATGCGCGTCTCCGCCGCGCGCACGTCCTGGCCTAGCGCGCGCATTGCCACGTAGTTGTCTACCAGCTCTTGCGCTGCCTCCTGCGAGATGACGGGGTGGATATTGGTCTTGGCGTACGAGATGTACAGCGTCAGGAAGTCGACGGGCAGGATGTCGTCGTTCGTCTTCGCCGAGTCGGGCTTGTCCTCCAGGTACAGCGACAGCAGGTGCTTGGCAAGCCTCTTGTCCGTCTTCTCGTCCACCCGGTCGAGGATCAGGTAGATGAGATCGAAACGCGACAGCAGCGTCGGGGGCAGGTCGATGTTCTGCGGCACCGACAGATCCGGGTTGTATCGACTGCCGATGGGGTTGGCCGACGCCAGGATGCTGGTCCTGGCGTTGAGCGTTGTGATGATGCCCGCCTTGGCTACCGACACTGTCTGCTGCTCCATGACCTCGTGCAGGACGGACCGCGTCGAGTCTGACATCTTGTCAAACTCGTCGATGCAGCACACGCCACCGTCAGACAGCACCAGCGCACCAGACTCGAGCACCAGCTGCCGCGTCTCGGGGTCGCGTGTGACGTACGCCGTGAGGCCGACGGCGGAGGAGCCCTTGCCGCTGGTGTAGACGCCGCGGGGGGCAATCTTGTGGATGTAGGACAGAAGCTGTGACTTGGACGTCGACGGGTCACCGCACAGGAGCACGTTGATGTCACCTCTGTATCTGGGGCTGCCGCCCTTCTCAAACGTCTTGTTGGCACCACCAAAGAGTTGCAGCAGGATCCCCTTCTTGACGTCGTCCATTTCGTAGATTGAAGGGGCCAGGGACCGGGACAGAAGATCGTAAATGTCCTCTCGCGCGGCCGTTTCACGGATCTTCGCCTCGTCTTCAGGCTTGATGGTGCGCATCTGCTCGAGGCCAGGCTCATCAGCCTGCTCCTCGCCATCGACGGCCAGCGTCGTGGGGTCGGCATCCATGCGCTTGTTGTCGACCTTCCTGCAGTGCACCATGTCGACATACGTCTTGTGGACGCTCTTGAGAGCACGCTGGTGCGGGTTAACCCGCACAGGGTTGACACGGAAGATACCCGTGATCTCGACACGGTCACCAGCCTTACAGAAATCGACCAGCTCGCTGTGGGCCACGACGGAGACTGAGTGGGGCGTCTGGCCGGGGGGCACGGCGTCTGGTGTCTCCTGAAGCTTGATGACCTGCTTGTCGGCAAACATGCAGCGGTTGTGGATGATCTGCATCGAGTTCTTGGCCAGACAGATCTGGCGAGGGCACTCCGTCGGCTCACGAATCCTACCACGCTCAAGCCCAACATTGACCGAGTGGTTGCAGACGTTACACCGGAAAAAGGCATCTCTCATGTCGGGAATGACCGGCGTAGCCCGAATGACAAGACCCTTGATGCTGACAAGCTGGTCGACATCTTTACGACTATGTCAGCGCAGGTCTTCAACTCAAGGTTATAGGCAAGTAGTTTCGGAGACGTACCTGAAGGGTCTAGATCGCGCATGTTGGTCGTTGTCTCGAGACCAAATGGTCGGACGTAGAACACCATGCTTTCAATCTGGTCCTCCAGCGTCTGCGGACGCTCCTGAGGCCCGGGGGTGGCCGGGGTGGCAGGCGTGGCGGGCTCGTAGGGACGGTCAGAGCTGGGGAAGACGGGCTCTGAGCTCTCCCTGGCTGCGTTGGCGGCCTGGTGGGAGGCACCGGCGCCAGTCTGAGAACGGTTCCTGTTATCCTCCGCGACGGCAAGCTCGTTCATGCTATCCTTGAGAGCCTGATCGAGGATGGGCAGCATGTCGACGGGGTACGCCAGGAGCTGGTGGTACATCTTCTTGGTGGGCGGGTACAAGGCCAGGTCGCGGATGTCTAGGTAGAGCCTCTCCTCTCCCAGGAGCAGCATGTTCTCCATGCTCTCCATATAGATCTTGGTCTCGGCAAGGGGTGTCTCGCGGATCTCTTCGTCGGTCAGGCCGTCGCGGTAGAGGCGGTACTTGAGGGTGAAGTTGCGGAGGAAGTCCCTGAAGACGAGCAGGTTGTCGCGGACGGAGATGGTCGTACCCCAGACTAAAGCGTTGTCGGTACCTCCGAGGGCATCGGCCTCGGATGTATTTGGGTCTCTGTTGGAGAAGGAAGGGGCATCGGATCCGGGCATGTCGCCTTCCTGGACAACACGGCCCGCATCATTGACAAGCACACGGCGGGACGGGAGACGAGAGGTTCCCACAAAGTCGGATCCGATGTCACCACGGCTGTACCTGGCTGTGCTCCTCTGAGAGCCGAGGAAGAGCCCGCTGGCTTCGCTGCGTAGGTCTGACTGCTGGCCTCGCAGGGAGCGACCCGGGCTGGAGCTGGGCTCGTAGCGTATGGGAGATGATTCTTTGTCCAGACGATGCATGTGTCAGTCACCCCGAGGCTCTCATACAATCCAAGCCTGCCAACTTTCTAGAGGGTGGAGACTCACCTCCGAGCGTCCTGCTGGCCCTCGGTGTCCTGTCACCGTCTACCGGAGTCTCCTGGGAATCGGTCATCTGGCGGAGAGGCGAGCTGGGAGCCATGGGACCACCGCGGCCCTGGGAGGTGTTCTGGCTGTTGCTCATCTGCCGCAGCGGCGAGGACACGATGCCGTCGGGGGTCGGTGCCGGGGACGACTGGAAGAAGAGGGGACTCGAGGCGGCCAGCTGCGAGCCCTGCTGGGAGCCCTGCTGCGGTGTGTCGGACTCGGGCTGGCGACCAGACCGACGGGGCGTACCACCCTGCCGGCGCGATGGCGACGACATATCTGTGTGTATGTGTGATGTTCTCTTCTCTTCTCCTTTCTGCCTTATTTTCCCTTGGCGATCAATCACTCACTCTCGCTCACTGTCGAATGTGGTGAGCGGGGCTGTTGTTGAAGAGAGGGAGGCGGCGATGAGAGATGCAGAAATCCATCCACTATCGAGGGGGAGGGGAAGGGACCTGGAGCAAAGGGGTGGACAGATCGCGTAAAAAGGGCAGCGGAGACGCGTAAAGTGATTCTTCTTGGACGCGCAGAAGCCCGGGATGGTCTGTGCACGGGCGGTAGCTCTGATGCGGAAACGGAAAAACTGTTGGGCCGACTGACGATCCAATGCCCCCCTAAGGTTTGCTGTGCTGGCCACTCTGAGCTATTCTGTGGTGGTGGAGGGGTGTGCGTCCCCCATTTTGGAGAGACATGGAGGCATTGGACGTTGCTGTTGTCGTGGGCCTTTCCTCGTGACTGTCCCTCCGGAACTACAACTCCTCCCCTTCAAGACCACACAACACGCAATCATGTCTCCCGGAATGTCCCTTTTCTCGGTGCAGGCCGTTCTCATCTTGAGTACGGATGACGGCTCGCGCATCTTTTCCAAGTACTATTCCGCCCCGCATACTGCGCCGAACGGTGAGACCCTCCTTCCCCCTTTCCCCCAAAGTCTGCTACCGCTCCTCCGTTCTTGGAGTCTGCCAGAGCGAAGCTTCGAGAGGGCGAATCGTGGACTGACAGTGTCGGACTGGCTGCAGCTTCCGGTCATGCTCAGGGTAACCCTTACTCCGACTCCAAGTCGCAAAAGGCCTTTGAGAAGGGTCTGATCGACAAGACGGCCAAGCAGACGGGCGACATCATCCTGTACGACAACCGCATTGTCCTGTACAAGCTCGAGTCCGATGTCATGATCTATGTTGTCGGAAGCGTCGATGAGAATGAGGTTCTGCTCTACAACACAATCCTAGCCCTTAGGGACTCGCTACATCTGCTGTTCAAGTATGTCGCCTGCTACACCGTGTCTCCTTGTTGCTGACTGCTCACATACCTGAACCCCGGGCGTGACGATCGTCATTATCTGCTCACCTGCTTGTCTGCTAACGTATGAAACCCACCCCGATTGCAGGCAATCCGTCGACAAGCGAACCATCATCGAAAACTACGATCTTGTTTCCCTCGCCATTGATGAGATCGTCGACGATGGCATCATCCTCGAGACGGACCCCACCATCATCGTCCAGAGGGTCAGCAAGGCTCCCAGCCAAGACCTGCCCACCGGTCGCATCGATCTTAGCGAGCAGGGCGTAAACAACCTTGCCCAGCTGGGTAAATCCAAGCTGGCCGACTGGTTGCGACAGGGACTGTAGGAGAGGTAGTCAGGTCAGTAGGCATGTGTGCTTGGTCGTTGGGAATCTCTTTGGAGCGCACGCACCTCAAAATGGGTTTTTTTTTTCCAATGAAAGAAGGGCAAATTACGGGGTTCAACCAAAAAGTAGGAGGGGAGATGGAAACGGACTAGACAGAAAGAGCGGTCCGTATGACGAGGGGCGTTTTAGCATAAAAGGGTATTATGAGTCTATCTTTTGTATCTTTCTCTCTCCAGTCCATATGCCGCGATCCTTCCTCACCTCCGAATCTCGGATGCCGCCTTGCGCAGACGGTTCATGACGGCCGCAGCAATATCCATCTCATCCTCTATGCCGTCCACGAATATGAGGTCCGCGCCCCGTAGGTCGAGCTCCCTGAGTGCGGAGAAGAGCCCCTGCGCTATCCCCTTCGTGTCCTTGCCCAGGTCGATATCCATGACATACCCTATCGCCTGGCCCTTGCCGTCGACGAGGCGTCCCTCCAGAAGGGTGCTGTACGGCGTTTCCGGCTGCGCCTCATCGCCGTCTTGCTGCTGCTGCTGCTGCTGCCCAGTCGCATCATCGGCCGCGGTGCGGAGGTCCCCGTCAGTCGGCAGACCGGCAGCGGCCGTCTTCCAGCGCTGCGTGCGGATGACGCCAATCTTGCGCGACGGCGGTCCCTGCTGCTGCTGCTGCTGCTGCTGCTGCCCTGCGGAGCCCTCCACGGCGCACGCCATCTCGGTGTCTGCCGGCGCGAGCCCCTCGCCTGCCAGCGACGCCTCGTACAGGACAACCCTGGCCCTGGGGCTGTAGTGCTTGTACTTCATCCCGGGCGCTCGGGGAGCCGACTTTCCCTCGTCGGCGTGATCCCTGTACGCCTTGACGACGCCCTCCCAGCCGGGGCAGCTCCTGATGTCGTCTATGCCGACGCCGCCGGGACGCAGGACGGCGGGGGGGTCGCACAGGCCGTCGACGACGGTGCTCTCGACGCCGACGGAGCACGCCCCGCCGTCGAGGATGAGCTCTATGCGCCCGTCGAGATCGTGCTTGACGTGCTGGGCCGTCGTGGGTGAGGGCTTGGTCGAGGCGTTCGCCGAGGGCGCCGCCAGCGGCACGCCGGCAAGCTTGATGAGGGTGCGGGCCAGAGGCGTGGACGGCATCCTGACGCCGAACGTCGGCAGGCCGGCGGTGACCTCGGGCGCCAGCTTGGACGGATCCGCGTTGGGAAGCAGGATCGTCAGCGGACCCGGCCAGAAGCGGTCGATCAGGGCCTTGTATCGCAGCGGGATCGGATCGTCATCGCCGTCCCTGCTCTCGGAGCCGGGCTGCTGCATGACGGCTCGTAGCATCTCGAGGTCGGAAACGTGGATGATGAGAGGGTTGTCCGACGGTCGGCCCTTGGCCGCGTATATGCCCCTGACCGCACCGCTCCGCGTGGCATCCGCTCCGAGACCGTAGACCGTCTCCGTGGGGAACCCGACGGGCGTGTCGCTGGTCCGTAGATGGTAGGCTGCTTCGCCCAGCCGCCGGAGGGCTTCCTCGCTGCTCTCCGAGCCTGAGGTGGCCCGCTCTACGTCCCAGCGCTCCATCGATGATTTCTCGTCATCTCCTCCTGCCGTGCGGCCCAGCAGGTTCCCACCCGGGATCCGGACGATGCGCGTCTCCATGCTGGCAGATGATGTAAGTCGAGATATTGCTGCGGCGGACGACAGCGGCCTAGATGTTGCGCATCGACAAGGGGAAGAGGCTTGGTCGAAGATCCGTAGATTACGATGTGAAAACGGCGGCTTCATAGACGACTGTGAAGTCTACGTGTCTTCAAGGGTCAAGGGTAGCGTGGGCTGTGAGGATGGATGGACTTTTGGAGAGTGTGGGTGGTTGACTCATTGAAAATTTCATATTTCATGGCTTGCCACTCACCTCGCCTTGCCAGCTGTGGGACGACCCCAAACCCCAAACCCCAAACCCCCTTCTCTCTCTGTGTGTGTGTGTTTGATCCGCGACAGCCTCACAACATCGCAAACGACAGCGTTTCGCACCATCTTTGTATGGATCGTCATGGCTGAGTAGATCATCTTGCTCTTCATCTGGCAGCATCGACAACACAGCCACGTTTATATAGCAACCAACCCGGGTAGAGACCATGTGCCTTATCAAGCCTAAGATAGCCTATTGTTCGCTGTAGTGTATATCTCTCCTCCTTTTTTCTTTCGTTTATTGGTATCAGCAGCAGCAGCAGCAGTAGCAGCAGTAGTAGTAGAGCAGTAGGAGTGTTGGTGTTGCTGGTGGTGGTGGTGGCAGTCTCCCCTTGCTTTCCCATGAGGCCCTGTCCTACCACATTCTTTTTTTTTAAAAAAAAAAATACAATCCTCTTCTTTTTCTTCTGTTTTTATCTCTGAACCTCTCGTCTATAATATTCTTGTTAACCCTCTAGCCTTCTTCTTCTCCTCATCCGTTATGACCCAATCGATACCATCTTCCTCGCCTAGGTCGACAATCTCCTCCCATTCATCATCCTCCATATTGACGACCATGAGCAGCTGCGTGACCTTGGCAAAGGCCTCGCGGACCATGTAGTTGTCTTGGGAGACGGTGCTGATCATTGCGGTGAAGTCCTTCTCGATGCGGATGGTTCCGTAGGGATTGGTCCTGCCGCCGTAGCTGAGGATGCGCTTCTCCAGTATCTTGGAGAGGTAGCGGGCCGTGGTGTCGAGGAGGGTGGCGTACGTCCCCGGGGTCATGATGCGGGCGATGGGCTTCATGAGCTGTTCCCAGCCGTGCTCGAAGCGCCGGGGCACCTGCTCCAGGAGGTCCGTCTCGTCCTCGTCGTTTTGGCGGGCCAGGTCGGCGATCTCGTCTTCGGTCATGGTGTAGTCGGCATCGCGGAACGTGTCGGATAGCACGGGCCGGAGACGCGCCTTGACCACCATGTTGAAGAGGACTTGGATGCCCTCGTTGAGCAGCTCCGTCGTCTTGCTGACAAAGGTCGTCTGCATCGTCGTCAGGGCGTTCGTGACGAACGACACGTCTCGCTCAAAGGGGAACGACTTCTCGACCGGGCTCTGCATCTGCAGCTGCTGCGCCCGGTCCGTGGCGCTGCTGTCCGCAGTCTCTGTCTGCACCCGGATGATGCGCGTCAGGTACTCGTTTGCCATGTCCAGGCTGTTGATGAGCACGATGAACTGGACGATCCTGTCCTCCGGGGGGAAGCCTCCCTGCACCACGGGCTTCGGGTACGACTCGTCGCGCATCTTGCGTTGGATCATGCCCACAAAGTCAGACGTCAGCACGCGGCCGATGCTCGGCACCACCGACGCGATGACGTCCCTCTGCGACGTCGATATCGACTTCTGCACCACCGCGTTGACGATGTACATGACGTCGTCCACGGCCAGGATGATGAAGGGCGGGTTGCCGTCGATCGGCCTCTGCAGGCTCAGCGACAGCCCGCTCGGGTACTCGTCCAGCTGGAAGGCCTTCTCCACCGACCGCCGGAAGAAGAAGGTCGTCATGACGTTGTAGGGGCTGACCAGCTTGGCCGACACCTTGCGATATAGATTGGACTTGATGAGCATCTCGGGTACCGTGAGAGGCACGTCCTCGGGGGTTCCGGGGTCCTGGTAGAGCCTGCTCGTCAGTATCCTGTTCGTCTTCCCGGGATGTGATGGGACGGGGGGGCGGTGCAGACGTACGATGCATTTGCCTGCCAGGAATCGCGTGTACAGCGACCAGCGGCCGAGCATGATGGCAATCTCTGTGAGGAGCCCGTCGACCTCCTTCATGTTGACGCCCTCGTCCTCGCTGGCCCGGGGGTCGCTACCGTATCCGCCACCGGGCGCCGGCGAGTTCGTCGTCCTCTGCGGGCCACCGCCTGCCGCGCCCCTGGGCGGCTGGGGCAGGAAGCTCTGGACGAGGAATGAGAAGGGATAGCTCTTGACGTCGGTGAGCCTCCTGTCGATGCCGCGCTCGTCGCTCCACGTGTCGAGTATGATGCCACCCTGGACGTCAGCCTCGGACTGCAGACGGGCGATGACGCGGATCATCTTGCCGTCGCCGTAGTGGCGCTCGACAAGCCCGCCGTGGCCCTCGACGATCTGGGCGATGTGCTCAAACAGCCTGGTGAGGGCGTTTGCGTAGAAGAAGCCCTCCTTGCGGGCGGCAGCGCCCAGCGCGGCGTCCCTGAGCGTGGCCCTGGCGGTGCCGGCGACGCCCTGGCAGACGTAGCGGCCGTAGACGTCGAGGCCGGTGTCGGCGCGGCCGATGAGGGGGAAGAGCTTGAAGAAGCGGGTGACCTTTGCGCCGTCGGCCTCGGCAGCGGCGCGGTCGAACTCGCGCAGGAACAGGCCGCACAGCGATTCGCGGGCGTCCTCGAGCGTGACCCAGGGAGGGTCCGGCACCTCGACGCTGGGCACGATGGAGGCGGCGAAGGCGCCCCGCGCGATGGTCTCGGGCACCCGGCTCGCGCGGTCCAGGTATCCGGCCGCGGCCTCCCAGTCCTGCGGGGCCCCCATGGAGCCGACCACGCCGTGCACGCAGGCCTTGAGCTCGGCCACCTGCTCCACCACCCGCAGCGTCTCCTCCACCCGGCTCTTCTCCAGGTCCAGCTCCTTGACCCGGTCCGACAGCCCGCCCGCCGTGTCGGCCGCCGTGGAGAGCATCTCGCTGCCCACCGCCCGCGCCGAGATCACCTGCGCCCCCAGCCCCGCCCGCAGCATGTCCAGACGACCCAGGTCCCGCGACAGCTCCGACTTGGACGCCACCAGCGTGTCTAGACGCCTCGTCACGGCACTCTCCCGGATGTGCAGGGCCGCCAGGGCTGCTCGAATCTCCGTCTCATCCGTGGCATTGTCGAGGTCTGATTTCGTCGTCGTCGTCGTCGTCGTCGTACCGTTGGTACTGTTGGAATTGTTGTTATTGTTATTGTTGTTGTTGTCGTTCGTGTGGGTAGCTCCTGGAGTCAAAGGCAATGGTGATGCGACGACGGCGGCAGCGGCTCCATTGTCGCGGCCGCCACCGCTGAGAAGAGCAGACATTGACGAACGTGCTTTGAGCTATACCGGGAGGTTCATAGCTGCCTCGTGAATGTTCTGTACCCTCTCGTCTCCCGTTCCTTCTTTGCTCTTGTCCAGTTTATACGTCTTCGGAGGATCGGTGACGGGGGAGGTGTGGGTTGCGTTGAGGGGGGGGGGGGGGGGGGCACGTTCCGATGGGACCCATAAACCTTTTTGGCAGCTGCTGTCCCTTTGGTGGCCAACGCAGCTGATAAATAAATACGGCCACATCATCTACAGCTCATCACCACCACCACCACCACCACCACCACCACTACTGTTACTACCATCACGAAGTATGAGCACCGCGCGGACAGTGGTGCCAATAATACAAACTCACACAGAAACGCCTGATATAATTCGATGGCTTCGTCTCGGCTTGATAGATGTCTCGTGCTTCCCATTTTGTTACAGTGATAGTAGAGCAATCGCTATACACAGTCCGTGATGCGCCTCACCTAGCTGCCGAGACCCGCCCCCGTCCGAGGTAATGATGCCGATGAAGAGGGAAGTCCCCAAGGATGATGATACTGCTATTTTGTATTTTCTTATCGTATGAAGAGAAAAAAGAGAAAAGGAAAGAAAAAAAAAATACTCTCTCTGCCCAGACCTGGCCCCTCTCTTCCCCCTCTTCCATCCATCTATGCTGTCACCTATGCCTTTATTTTTATTTTTATTTTTATTTTTACACCGCCTGGCTATATCCCGAGCTCAGACGCTGTGCACCGTACCTGAGGTGCTTTCTCAGCTCGTCGGCCCAGAAGACGGTGCTGCACAGGAGAACCAGGCGTACCAGGTCGAGGAGGCTCACGCCCTCGGTCTGGAAGGTCGACTGCAGCCAGGGAAAGTAGATGACGAGCATCTGGCAGATGACGCTGAGCGAGACGGCCCAGTTGAAGAGGTTGTTGGACACGAGGCCGACCTCGCCCTTCAGGATAGACTTGGACTCGGACCGGCAGGCTAGCGCGTTGAACATGTCGAAGAAGACGAAGCACGTGAACGTCATGGTCGTGTCGCGCCGAGTTACCTGCCCATCGAGCATTTCGCGGCTGTAGACGAACATGGTGCCCACCATGATGATGGCTGCCGACGTGAGGACACGCGTGACGAGGGCCTTGGTCAGCACCGGGTCGTCACGCCTCCGAGGCGGCCTGTTCATGACGTCCGGGTCGACCTTTTCCACGCCCAGCGATTGCGCGGGGGGGCCGTCCATGATGATGTCTGTAGTCGCCGCAGGTGATATTAGCCATCGTCCTCCCCGGATATGGTGGGCCCTGATCGCATAGACTTACTGATCCAGAGAATCTGCATGGCGTTGAGGGGATTCTTGAACCCGAGGCAGGTGCAGAAGAAGACGAGGCCTAGGCTGGCTGCGCTCGTGCTCAGCTGGAACGTCAGGAAGTTCTGGATGTTGTTGAAGATGCCCTTGCCCTCCTCAATGGCGCGGAGGATGGTGGAGAAGTCGTCGTCGGTCAGGATCATATCGGCGGCCTCCTTGGCGACATCGGTTCCGTGGCGTCCCATAGCGATGCCGATGTCGGCTCGCTTCAGCGCCGGTGCGTCGTTGACGCCGTCACCGGTCATGGCCACGATATCTCCGCGGGATTGCAGCGCGCGGATGATCTTCAGCTTGTGGTCCGGGTTCGTGCGGGCAAAGATGGTGGTGTGCTCCATGGCCAGGCCGAGGTCGAATTCGGACAGCTGGTCGATATCGTCGCCCGTCAAGACTGACCTGACGGTCGACCGGCCCTTGCCGTGCACGCTGGGGGTCGCGATGCTCATGCCGAGCTGCCTGCCGATGGCGAGGGCCGTGGTCTCGGCATCGCCGGTGATCATGATGACCCTGACGCCTCCGCCCATCAGTCTCCTGATGGACCGCCCGACCCCGGGTCTGGGCGGGTCGCTCATCCCGACCACTCCGGAGAAGGTGAGGCCCCTGAATGCGTCGTCCGAAGGTGTCGGTGTTTGCGGGCTACTGCCCCTGTCGCTAGGCGTGCTGCTGCGGTGGGATGCAGACTTTGCCCTCGACGATCTGGCCACGGGCCCGCTGGCAAAGGCAATGACCCGAAGTCCCTCCACGGCAATCTTCTCGGCCGAGCGGAGGGCCTCTCGTCGGCGAGCGGCGTCGAGAGCGACCTCGCGCCCATCGCTGTCGACGTAGGTATCGCAAGCCGCAAGAACCTTCTCGATCGATCCCTTCATGTACGCATACTCCTTGTCGTTCCTGGCGTCGGAGCCAATCGTCACACCCATCCACTTGCGCTCGGAGCTGAAGGGCACCTCGTTGACGCGGGGTCCGATAGACTCGCGAACGTCGTGCTCGCCGTACTTGTCGAGGAGGTCGAGCATGGCCACGTCCGTAGGCTGGCCGACCCACCTAGTGTGCGTGTCGACCTGGCCCCGGCCGACGGTCGAAGACAATACAGCAGTCGCCGCCGCGCCGTTCTGGGTGGACTTTTGCGCCAGCCGCGCGTTGTTGGCGATGTTCCCGATGCGGAGGATCCGGAGTCCGGCCGGTGTCCGCTCTTTCTCCGCAGCGTCGTCGTCCGAGCCGATGTCGACCGCCTCCTGAACTCCGAAATACCACATCTTGACCGTTGCCATATGGTTAGTAGTGAGGGTGCCTAGTCAGCAGAGATTGTTTTAGCAAAAGAGAGGTTGTGCGTCCGAGGTCTCATGGTTCCACTCACCCGTCTTGTCGGTGCAGACGACGTTGACGGAGCCGAGCGTCTCAACCTTGGGCATCCGACGGACAATGGCATTATGCTTAGCCATGCGGTGCACGCCCAGCGCCAAGGTGACGGTGACGATGATGGGCAGGCCTTCGGGGATTGCGGCGACGGCGAGCGAGATGGAGATGGTGAAGATCTCCAGCAGCTTCTTTCCCTGCAGCCAGCCGACGAAGGAGATGAGGCCGATGACGGCGAACGAGGCCTTGCTCAGCTGCGAGCCGAGCTCGTCCATCGAGTGCTGGAGCGGCGACCGCGGACTCTCCGTGCCCGAGACGCTGGTGGCAATGGTACCGAAGTGAGTGTTTCCTCCGGTGGCAAAGACGATGCCCTGGCCGTGACCGGACTTGACCAAGGTGCCCATGTAGACGACATTCTCGCCCGTTCCGGAGCGTCCATGCTCGGACGGGGACAGAGACGCGGGGCTGGGCAGGGGGACAAGCCCGTATGAGTCGATCCTTCGGCTTCGCGCCTCGGAGCCGACCCTGACAGGCTCATTCTCGCCAGTGAGGTTGGAGCCGTCGACGGTCAGGTCGGTGGCCTTGGTGACCCGGACGTCTGCAGGGATACGGTCGCCTGTCGTGAAGAGGACCAGATCGCCGGGGACGAGCTGCGATGCCATGGTCTTCGTCGAGGTAACGTCCAGATCATCATCATCGGGCTGAACGGCGCCGGGGGTAGGCGCACGCTCCGGCGCAGCGTCTCCCGGGGCAGGCCATGCTGACGTGCTGGGGATGACGGCGGCCCTGCTGCTCGTGCCGCGGACTATGTGCGCGTGGTTGGGGACGAGGTGGTTCAGCGCCTCGATCGACTTCTCGGACCGGTACTCTTGGGCGAAGCCGACCGAGACGACGATGGTGACGGCAACGGCGATGCTGACGGCGTCGTCCATGTTGCCGACGAGGAGCGACGTGCCGGCGGAGGCCAGGAGCAGCAGGATCAGGGGCTCCTGGAACTGCTTGATGAAGCGTAGCCAGAGCGGCTCGGGCTCTTCGTGCGGAATCTCGTTGGTGCCATGCTCGCCGAGTCGCTTCAGGGCTTCGTTGGGATGGAGGCCGTGTGTCAGGGAGGTTCGCAGGCGGGCCGCGGCCTCGCTCGGGGTCATGTGTGCGTATTCATCCGCGACGTTCTGGACATTCCGAGACTCATGGGTTAGAATACACCTCTCTCAGCGCGACGATGCCTCCGGGAGGCTAGCACATGACGGGGTCATCTGTACTCACGCGAGCATGCGCCGAAGTGGTTCGCGCATGCCGTGGTCGTGACGGCGGCCTGTCGGCGAGGTTGGAGGCATCACCCATCAACCCCTTGATGGCGGGAACGCTGGCTGCGGTAGGGAGGGAAGATCCGTCCTCTCCGCGCCCAGGCCATGGCAACTGCATCGTCAGATCATACGACAACGTCTAGCATGCAGCGGCGGGCGTGGAAGAGCATGGGTGGATGGGTTTCTCTGTTCAGCAACGATGAAGTGGCGGCAACATGGGGGCGCCAAGGGACCCAGACGTGTAAGGGGAGCTCTTGAAAGGTTTTCAGGATAAGGTTGAAGGTAGAAGGAGAGTTTCGATGGAGATGGTTATTTCGTGTGCATCGTCTCTGAAATGCAATCGGACCACGGGGACAGGGGGGGTTTCGTAGGTTGGATGTTTTGTGCGTAGTCGTAAAACGTACTGGATGGTTGATAGCTGAAGCGTGTCTCCCCCCCCCCCGAGATGCATGTATCGAAGTACGGAGCGATAAATTGATGCATCTTGTCGCTTGTATCTTAGGGGTCCTAGCAAACGCGCTAACACGATTCGAGGGCGCACCGGGATTACGCCCGGCCCTGGCAGATTCTACCTCTACAGGTATCTATATGTAGTGATGATACGCTGTAGCTTGTAGGCTGCAGTCAGCGCCGAGCGCTGTGCGTGGAAGGGTTGAGAGCTCTTGGGCGCGCTGCAGCCTGTAGGTGCACTGCTGCTCTAGCATTGCAGCGCTGAATACCCCGTACGAGTATCCGTACGAGTATCCTGTAATCTGCACACCGGTCAACTCCGTAGCCCTGTACGGATAGGTGGGTGACGGCTACCATCATACCATCATTACAATTGAAACATCGATACTGGCCCTGGCCCTCGTCGACATAMAGGCAATGCTCCATAAGGGGGRGGGGGGGGGGGGTATCACTCCATAGCAGAAGCATTCGAGAATGCAGCATGCATAGGAGTGTATCCTGCCATCACACGCAGGTACTATATACGCTCAATCTCGGTCAATACCTTCTCCTCCTGATTCTGCCACGATCAATAATACTCCGTACTGAACGGGGCGTCCTGTACTGTCCCGGCAGCGTGAAGGGATACACCAATCAGAGATATGCGCAGTCGATAAACCAGCAGAGCCGACACCAACCAACGATGGACGGTAGGCCGTAGCAGGTATTGAGGGTACTTTGGCGGGACCGCTGGAGAAACAATACCGTTATGACGGGGGCGCACGTGTTACGTCGTATGATTTTTTTTTTTTAAATCTCTTTTTCTCTCTGAAATAGAATGTGCGAAGTACTCCATAACCGTACACTAATCTTGCAAAGAGCTGGAACGGTCGGAATGGTACGACCACGAATGTGCTCGCTGCTCATACATACGGAGTACTGAGAGGCTGGCTACAAGTCTGCAGCCTACAAAGCTCGCGAGACCGGAACCGGAATTAGCTTCCTCCCGGTAACTGTCCAGTTGGGGTCAACGCCCGGTGTCCTGGTCCACCGAGATGCATATACGGAGTCGCATACGCAAGTGACACAAGCGACACACACACACACACACACACACACACACAGAGTTGAGGTGTGTACTCCGTACCCATTCGTACTATTACGATATGAGAATAACCAGGTCCGCGCGCCGAAGAAAGGTGGTGGGAAGCAGGTAGGTAGTTCAGCCACGGACCAAGACGCCAAAGCCACCCCCCAGCCACTCAGTTTTTCTTCCCCCCCCCCCCCCCGGGCGACGACGTAGTTTTAGCACCAAAAGTCCAGAGTTGTCAGGGCGCCCGTCATCCCCCGCCAACACATTTCCCCTTCTTTACTATTTTACTGCTATGCCAGCCATTCCCAATCTCCCTCTCGAACCCAGCCGAAAAGCATTCGTTTTTTACGCGCAACGTTCACACCCAACCCGCCTCTGCCCAAACCCCTCGCTTCTGGGCAAAAGCCACTCGTCGATTCTCCTTCTTCTCACTCGCGGCATTTTCCATTGCGTCTCCCGTCCGCCGCTCTGACGTTGCGCTGGACATTTGTCGCGCGTGAAGGTTGTCCGCCTTGGCTCCTTGCGCTTGTTTACCTGACCATTGGTCGACCCACACTCCGCACGCGTGCTCTTCGCTCTTGCAACGCCCTGCCTCTCTCTACCCGCTCACCCACCACACCACCTTAGCACCCTCCTTCGAGGCACTGGCAACATACAGCCGACCCTCAATCTTGAATCGTCCGCGTCTCTTAGCTCTGTGCCGGCTGGCTCTTTCCTTACGCTTCCGTCTCCTCTCCAGCTCAGAGTTCGGCTCAGAATTCCCGGGACTGAGCAGGGTTGTTCATCTTGATAGCACGGCCGTCATCCTCGGGAGCCTTGTCGGCGCGCGCGACCAAGGCAATACCTACCACACGGGCCGCATCCGCATAGCCTGATACGACCAGCATGTTCTATTCGGAGACGCTCCTACAGAAGAGCGGGCCTCTGGCACGCGTCTGGCTCTCGGCCAATATCGAGAGAAAGCTCTCCAAGAACTCGGTGCTGCAGTCCAATGTTACCGACAGCGTCGAGGAGATTATCAAGCCCACGCACGCGCCCCTCGCGCTGCGTCTCAGTTCACAGCTCCTTCTCGGTGTCGTCAGGATATATCAGCGCAAGACGCGCTACCTTTTGGATGACTGCAATGAAGCCATGATGAAGATCAAGATGGTGCGTCCTTCTTCTTTTCTTTTCTTTCTTTTCTTTTGCCACCCTTTTCTGCCATCACTTCACTCCCACTTCGCAACCTGTTACTGACCCACGTGCAGGCCTTCCGGTCCTCAGGAAACAACGACATGGCCGCCGGCCTGGCTGCCCCGAACCGTGAGGCCCTGCTCCTCCCCGACCGCATCACACCCTACGACAACTTGGACCTGCCCCCGCCCCCGGACGCCTCGTGGCTCCTCGCTCAGCCCGAGGATGTCACTGCCACCCCTGTCGGACGCAAGGGACGCGTCAGCAACCGCGACATCAACCTCCAGGAAGACTTTGACAACAGCCACTTTCTCCAGAATCCCATCGAGGAGGAGACGCTTGGAAACATGGATGACCTGGAGCTCGACCTCGATTTTGGCCTGGACGACACGACGGCCCTCGAAGTCGGTCGAGACGCCCCCGACGCCCGCCCCGTCGAGGACGACATCCTCAGCGACTTCGGTGCCGGTCTGCGGCAGAAAGACCACGGTGATAGGGAGGTGTCGCTGAACCCCGACTTTGGCGACGAGGGTCCGAGGATTGCCGACAATGACGGGGACATCGCCATGGGCGGCGACGACGACTTCGACTTCAACGCCGGCGACCAGTCTGCTGTCCCCCAGATGACGGCTGCCCCCGAGCTCAACCGCGCGAGGATTTCCGAGTCGCCCCTGTCCGACATTGACGAGGCCTTTGCCCGCGAAGTGGAGGCCGACTACGCCAGCCACCGCCAGACGGACATGTACGAGCCCGAAGACGAGACCGAGACGACGCTCGTCCGCCGCCCGGCCAACCGCGCCAAGAAGCAGAAGCTCCTGGTGCCCGACGACGAGACGACGCTGTCGAGCAACCACATCAAGCAGCAGCAGGTGGACCACACCAACATCATCCGCGACACCACCTTCCTCCCCAGCGACCCCTTCCTGCTCACGCTGATGGACCTGCAGAGGTCAGGCGGCTTCGTCTCGTCGGTCCTGATGGACGGCCGCGGCATGGGCTGGGCCCCGGAGCTGCGCGGCATGCTCTCGCTCGACACGATCCGCAGCATGCACGAGCTGAAGCGGAAGCGCGACAGCGGCATCGCCGACGTGGACAGCGAGCAGGGCAACGTCAAGTCGCCGCGCCTGGAGCTCGGCGACGAGGAGGAAGAGGACACCGTCATCGCCCCCCCGGGCCTGGGCAACCAGAGCGTCGCCGGCGACGGCAGCCTGGTGCAGATCCCCGCCGCCGACGACGGCGACGGTGACGACAACGAGGGCAGCGGCCTCCCCGGGTTCGACGAAGGCAACGAGCCCAGCGCCACGCTGCCGAGGGGCGAAGACGAGCCCGTGTCGCTGGGCACCAAGCATGCCGTGCACGTCCTCCGCGACCTGTTTGGCGACGAGGCGGCGACGAGCGAGCGCAAGAGGAAGGAGAAGTCGGTCGTGTTCCAGGACCTCCTCCCCGAGAAGCGCGCGACCAAGGCCGAGGCGACCAAGATGTTCTTCGAGTGCCTGGTCCTGGCGACGAAGGACGCCATCAGGGTGGAGCAGGGCCCGGATCTGGGCGCGCCCATCCGCGTGCGCGGCAAGCCTGCCCTCTGGGGCAGCTGGGCCGAGCGCGAGGCCGGCGGCGAGATTGCCAGCCAAGAGGAGGATGAGGCTCAGGACGATGCTCCCGAGCGCCCGGCCACGGCAGCTCAGCCGGTGGCCGTCGGTGCATGAGCAACGTCCTGTGTCGTTTCTGGGTAAGCTCGGTACTGTTGGATAGCTGGGGTCTTACCGTCTGCCTCTCTCTCCCTCTCTCTCCCTCTCTCCCCGTCTCTCCGTCGGCAACGACAGGGGGTGAGGACGAGTGGCAAGGAAGACCTCGCCAACTCGGCGTTGGAGGAGTTTTTTAATAAGATGATACCATTGCAATGTCTGCGGCGGTGGAAGGGGAAACATCAACGGTGAGAAACGTGTGGGCAAAAAAGGAGGCTGGTTTTTCTTCTATTTCTTTTCTCTCCCGATTCTTTCTTTCTGTGACCGATTGAAATCATGTTTGGATAATGCGAATTTCTGCACAGACAAAGGACCTGTACGACGGCTTTTTTTTTCTTCCCCTGTTCGGTTCATCCCCCCCCCCCCCCCCCCCCCCCCTCTCTCTCTAGCCTTTTTTTTTATTTGTCAACGTCTGGCAGTCTAGCAGTCTCTTCGTCTCCTCAGAGTCTTTTCCTTGCAGTTTTTCTTAGAAGGGGAGGGGTTGCGGTGTTTATTATTTTGGTTATTCAGATATGGTGGTAGATAATACCCAAAGTGTTCTCTCCCCAGTAGATCCCTACCGTTGACCAAATCACTACATCCATAGCAAGGGAAGCAAGGGAGAGCAGAGCAGCACGGTACATGCACGAGGACTTGGGTTCTCTAAATACGAGCAGTGACGACGGTGTTGGAGTCATTACGAACGCCATCCTGACGCATGTTTGACCATCGTCCACCGTCTCAACCGAGAGAAGGTGGGTGGGGTGGTGGTGGTGGGGAGGGGCAGGACAGGACTCCAGCACTCGGGACACAGAAGGGAAGGGAAGGGGACGGACGGTAAAGCTGCCCCGCCGAGGACCCAAACAGTTTGTCTGCCTGATGATCTCATTTGTTGCTGCTGGCGGTGGAACCGGAGGAGTATGAACAGCAGCAGCAGCAGCAGCAGGAGCAGCAGCAGGAGCAGCCAGCTCTGATTCACTTGTGTACTTTCCGAGTGCCAGGCCAGGCCGAACCTTTCTCTCCCTCTATCTGTCTCTCTCTCTCTCTCTCCCTCTCTCTCTCCCTCTCCCTCTCCCTCTCTCTGCTCCACGGTACACTTGTCAACTTCTCGTTTTTTTTTTCGGCTCCCGAACCTGTTCTTTCTCTGTTCTCGGATCAAGCCGCTTCCTTTCTATCTATCTTGTCTTTTCATCAGTCTTCATTCTCCGTCGCCAGATCAGGACACAACCTCCCACCAACGAAAATGCCTGCCCCTTCTCAGTTAGCTATTGCTACCAGCTCGGTCCTCCGTCTACTCAAGGAGGAGCTATCCTACCACAAGGAGCTCGTCGATCAAGAGGCAAAGGTCAAGGTCCTCAGTGAGAAGATCAAAGCCGGTCCCAAGAGTGAGGATGGTAATGATGAGTTCATGCTCAAGCAAGAGGTTTGTCCCCCCCCCCCCTTCATCTTTCCTTTCTTTTCCTTTCCCTCCCCCCACTTCTCTCTCTTTCTCTCTCTTCCCTCTGCCATCGCCTTTCCCTTCTTCTTGTGTAGGTTTCATTTTTGTGTTCTTCTACAAAAAAAAAAAGGAGCATTGCTAATATCTAACTTGGTGGCAACACAGAAACTCGCTGTAGAGCAGACCCAAGCCATCTTCGAACCTCTCAAGTCTCGCATCTCCCAGGCCGTCTCGAAGCTAGAGGAGCAGCTTGCCATCGGTAAGGACTCTGGTGCTCCGGCGAATGAGCTGGAGCAGGCACAGGCTGTGCTTGACCAGGCCAAGGTTATCAATGGGAGTTCGTAAAAAAAAAAGAAAAGAAAAAAAGTAAAGGGAGGGGTAACAGATCACGGCGCTCCTTTACGAAAACTGAGTTACTTGAGGCCGGGGGGATGATACGAAAACAGAATCGACACCTACAGACACAAGGCATGCCACCAGTCAATGGATGGATAACGAGACAGTAATGACCCACGCTCGATGGTGGTGATTATCATGATAGTAATATGAACTGAACTTTGAGCAGAGAGAAGAGAAAAGAAGAGAAAAAAAGAGACTAGAATGAAAGATATGAAGAACACATTGTAGACGCCTCGCTCGATGATTTCCCAGTTTTGTTGTTTTTTTTGTTTTTTTCCCCTCCTCTTATATCTCCTCCCCTCTATGCATCCACGTCCATGCGATCACCAGTCGGGCCTTGGCTTGAATCCTTCTGGTCGGCCATGTCCTCGTCCTCGCCCTCTTCCCTAGGAGGCACAGACGGGTCCCGACTAGGCGGACGGCTCACGCTGCGCGACAAGGAAGCGGACCCCCCGTCGTTGGGATGGAGATGGGCGGAATCGCCACCCTTGGGCTGCGAGGACGCGCCGCTCGTGTCGCCGTTGGCAGGGACCGGAGAGTCGTAGTTGTCCGGTCGGGGCGTGTGGTCGGTGCCGGTGCCGGTGCCAGCGCCGGCGGCGCCGGCGGCGCCGTCGTCGTCACCCTCGATCATGCCCTCCCGGCGGTCGACCTCCTCCTTCTCGTCGCGGATCTGCCTGCGCAGGAGCATGCCCTCCTCCATGATGCGGTTGAACTGGTCCCTCCGCTCGCGCCAGGTGACGCTGTACGCCTCGCTCTCCCGCTCCAGCTCGCGGCACTCCTCCTCGAGCTTGGCCAGGTTGACGACCTGCTCGTCGCGCGGGCGGAGCAGGCGGTTCGACGTGATCCGGTTGGCCATGTCGTCGAAGCGCTTCCGCTGGGCCAGCGTGGCGCGCGCGGCCTCGAGGTGCTCGCGCAGCTGGGCGTTCGTGTCGCGGGCCGCCTGGCTCTCCTGCAGGATGCGCTCCTGGTCGCCGCGGTAGCGCTCCCGCTCCCGCTCGTTGGCGTCGTGGAGGAACTGCAGGCGCACCAGGCTGCTGTCGAACGTGGCAAAGTCCAGGGCGAAGTCGTCCTCTAGCTGCTTGGCCGTCGAGGATGTGATGCGGCCGCTGTCGTCGTCCGCTGCCGTCCCGGTCGCCACGAGCGACGGCGCGGCCGCCAGCCTCTTGCTGATGCGCTTGAACGGTCGCTCTTCCACTGCTAGGAGCCGGTTCTTGTGCAGCTCGTGCTCGGACTTTTCGTCCAGGAGGTTCCAGGACGACATGGCGAGAGGGGAGGAGGCGGGGGGACTGGAAGGTGATGTAGGTATACGCCCCCGGGAGGGGTCGGGTCCGTCGGTCGACCGAGAACGGTTTGCTGGGGGTTTTTCCTGTCTGTCTCTGGTCTGCAAAGACAGGTAGGAGGTGAGTGTGGCTACCTGTAGAGATGTGCGGGATGGTGATGATGAGCAGTAGATGATGGACGTCTGCTCGTCGCTACGCAATGTTATGATACGGCAGCAAATTAACGGTGCAGAGAAATAAAATAATAAGATGGATGAAAAATAAGAAAGCTCTCTGTTCCGGTGCGGCGCTAGTGGATAGACGAGGCCCAGGATTTCATAGGCTTCTGTCTCTTTCGTATCGATCTCAGCCTCGCCATCGGGTGGAAAGCTTCGGCCAATCACGAGACGTGGACGGATTGATGACTAATCCACATTCTTATTGATTTTTTGCTTCTCATCCATGGCTATCATCATCGAGGTTTCACCTCTCGGAAGCGCCCATCAACTTTCAACCTTCCATACACCTTTCTTGTGTTGTTTTTGTCGGTATTCACCCCCACCCGCCTTGACAGTCACATCTACGACGGCTCTGCAACATAGAACCTGTTCATAAAACCCGACCGGGGTTTCTTCTTCTTCTTCTTTTTTTCTCTACTCTTCACATTCAGGCATGGCAGATGACGAGAGAGAGCTCTTGGCTCGCATCGAACAGCTTGCCGGTTCGTCCATCCGTCCTCCGCGCGTGTCCACGAGCGCTTACTGAAAACCTACGTGCAGGCCAGATCAACCGCCGCAAGAACCAGCAGTCTGGCGCCATCCCAGCGTCGCACCAGTACCAACCGGTTCAGTCGCGTCGTACGACTCCACCAGGGCCGCCAGGGCCACATAGGGATACGATATTGACGATGTGCACAGACAATACCTACCACCGATACGCCTCTGCGCCCTACCCGACCCGAGGCCACTGGCCCAGCCGCGGCCGCCCCCACCAGCACCAGCACCAGCACCAGCACCAGCACCAGCACCAGCACCGCACGCTGCACTTCAACAACGCTCCGAGGTCCGCAACAGCGGCGGCTCCCCCCAGCTACGAAGGTCAGGTGGCCGCGTCCGGGGCCGGCGCTGGTGCGTCGGGGTGGGTGGCCAGGAACGACCGCCACAGACAGCTGATCAACGCCAGCGTCTTCGAGAAGGAGAGCCAGAGCCGGACCAAGGCCATCGAGGAGACGTGGAGGAAGAGGCAGCAGGCCAAGCGACGAGGAGAGAAGGCGCGCCTGAACGAGTACCTGCGGCATCGGTACCAGCACCAGCAGCTTGCCGGCACGGGTGCCCCTTCGGGTGCTGACGGCTCGGCGGCATCGGTGGCCAGAAACGAAATCATGGTTGGCGACATCCGCTTCCGTGTCCTGGACGGTGGCAAGAAGCTCGCCAGGGTGACGGGTGAGTTGTTGGGATCCCTCGGCGACGGCGCGCACCCCCACGGGAAGGATTCGACGACTCACTTCACAGGCGACCCGGATACGGCCTCTTCATCACCCACGCCCAAGAGCACGGTGATTGCCGGCGTCAAGTTCCACCGGACAAAGACGGGCAACCTCGTGGTGCACCGGGTTGTCAAAGACCATCGGTACGTCTCCCTCCCCGGGGAGGCGAGTATTCTGACGGGCTATAGGCGCTCGGGAACGGTCAAGAAGATTGGCGAACCATGCAAGACGTTTTCATCCTCGGGTGAGTGGCTGGCTCTCCCTCTCTCTCTCTCCATACTGCACATACCGCCACGTACAGTGCAGTAAGCTGTTTATATATATACATACACACACACACATGTATATAGATAAGAGTATATGGCAAGCTACTGACAGATAGTGCCTGATAGGTTCTTGTCCAAAGGGACCCCTCTGCCGGTACACGCACGACCCCGACAAGGTTGCACTGTGCAAGGAATTTCTCAAGGAAGGCAAGTGTGCTCTCGGAGATGGGTGTGACCTCTCGCACGACATGACGCCGGAACGCGTGCCCAACTGTCTACACTATGCCAAGGGGCACTGCACCAAGGCTGAGTGCCCCTTCACCCATTCCAGAGCGGCGCCGACGGCGCCAGTCTGCAGGGCGTTTGGCTTCCTCGGCTACTGCGAGAAGGGCGCGGACTGCGTGGAGCGCCACGTGTTTGAATGCCCCGATTTCAGCAACACCGGGCGATGTAATAACAAGGGATGCAAGCTCCCCCACCGCGAGAGGGCGAGCATGCTCCGGGGGCAGAACAAGCAGGAGGAGATGATGGAAGACGTGTCGAGCGACGACGAGCCCGCAGGAGACTCGGATGACGTGGACTCGGACGAGGTTGCCGAGTTCATCGACGCCGACTCTGATGCCTCGGATGTTGAAGATGACCAAGATTTCATTTCCGTCTAAGACTAACCCTAGGATACTGTCCCGTCCCGTCCCCTCTCCCGTCCCTGCTACCTTTCTTCTCCTCTCTCTCTCTCTCTCTCTCTCTCTCTCTCTCTCTCTCTCTCTCTCTCTCTCCCTCTCCCGTCCCGTTACTTGATGTGGTCTGAGAGGAGAAGGAGAGGGTATCTAGAACTCCAGTGGATCTAGACCTCTCCTCACGATGCGATATGACAGGAGACGACAGAGAAAGAAGAAGAAGGAGAGATGATGAACGGCTGACCCCAGATAAGACGTCTAGTCCTTTTTTTTCAGGCTGGGGTCAGGGCGGGATCTAGGATAGGATAGGAAAGGATAAGAGAGGAGGGGGTTATCATGGAGATGTGTGTGGGTGAAGCACATAGAAACCAGCTTACGTGTGCCTCACGACGGATAAGATGAAGACGAGAAGAAGAAGAGAAAGAAACCCGTCGGGAGTAAGAAGAAGAAAGAAAGAGAAAGAAAGAGAAAAAAGAGAAAAAAAAGAGTAGACGATACATACACGGATCTGTTCAGAAGATGAAGAAGCAAAGGTGCAAACCGTGACATGGCTCCAAACGGACTTGGCGTGTAGCAGGGGAGATGGATGGTATACCATGCAGTAAAAGTAAGTAGGTATCTGCGACTGTGGACTGCGGGTGGAGTGTGGAGTTTTTTTTTTTTTCTTCATGATGACGATGGCTGATGGCGCGATCACGCCTCATCAAGAAGAGCACCGACCAATCAAGCCTCAAGCCTAGAGGAGGGAGGAGGAGGGGGGGTTCGAGGTGGAGGTGGATTGAATGAGGACAGAGGAGGATGAATAGATGAGAGTCGGTGACAGAGAGGCGCTTCCTGATAGATACTGTAAATGATTACAGAGAGAGAGTTTTACGAGTTTACAGAATATCTGCTTGCTATATCATGTATATTATAAAACAAGACACTCTTTTTAAAATAAGAAGAATAATAATAATAAATAAATAAAACCCCATATAGTACATATCCTGACGGTTAACGCGCGGGGCTCGTAGCATTGTACTCGAAACCAACTCGTATAGTATTATTACATACATTGTCAACCCATAGCGCGACTCTCTCTCTCTCTCACTCTCTCACTCACTCTCTCGCTCACTCTCTCGCTCACTCTCACTCTTCATCTTCTTCATCTTTTTTTTTCCTTGGGGGAGGGGGATTATATCGTCTTGGAAAAGAAGAGAGAGAAAAAACTCCCACATACAAGGATTCGATTCACCAACAGCGATTGAGGATTTTTTTTTTGCCCCCGTCATCATCTTTATCTCGACGTGAAGGGGGGAGGGGAAAAAAAAGAGAGAGAAGGAAAAGAGAAGGAAAAAAAGGGGACGAGACCAGGACGGAACGATGGGTCTACGAGAGGCTCTAGGGAAGGGAGATGAGGGTCAACGGAAGCATACGGGCGGGGAAGCACCCGAGTTTGTATTCCTGAGGTCCGACGCGACGACCCAGGACATGATGACGCATCATGATCATCCGGGGGGGGGAGCATCGTCCGCCGCTCCGCCACCGCCACAGCCACAGCCACCACCCGACCGCAGCTTCCTGACGGCGGAAGGGTCGAGGGACGGTGAGGAGAAGCGCAAGAGCCGACGCAGCCTCGACGTCTTCCGTCCGCGTAGCCGGTCCCGAAGTGCCTCGTCGGACGGCAACGGTGGTGGTGGCGGCGGTCGACCGCGTAGCCTGTCTCGGCGTCTTCACCTGAGCCGTCAGCGTTCGTCGGAATACGTCCCCGAGGATCTACCCGAGATTATCGACGGTGTCGGATCCGCGGAAGGAGGAGGAGGAGGAGGAGGAGGGGGCGGGGGCGGGGGGGCCGCATATGATCCCGAGGCGACGGAGCTGCAGTGGGAGAAGAGGGCCACCATCCTGGCCGGGCAGAACCAGCTGCGTTCCCGGTCGAGGAGCGGCCACGGCGGCGGCGGCGGCGGCGGCGGCGGATCGTCGGTGCCGCCTCCGCAGCAGAAGAATCACCAGTACCACGTGTATCAGCAGCCGTACCGGCCGCCGCCGTCGCCCTCGGCCCCCAACGCCGTCTCGTCAAAGCACATCGACGACGACATACAGGAGGCCATACGGCTCCACGAGGAGGGCGACCTGGAGAGGTCGACGGCCATCTTTGGCCGGCTGGCCGATCCCGACGGCGCTGACAATCCACTCAGTCAGGTCTTGTACGGACTTGCCCTCAGGTATGCGTGCTCTCTCTCTCTTTCTTTCTTTCTTGCTTTCTCTCTTTTCTTTTCTTTACTCTCCTCTTCTTCTTTTCTCCCCCTCCCCCTTTCTCTCTGGTCTCTCTCCCCCCCCCGCGAAATCAGACATGGTTGGGGATGTGAGCCGAATCCAGAGCAGGCAGTCAGCTATCTCACCACGGCGGCATCCAACGCCGCCTCCGTGGAGCAGCTGGCCCTCCAGGCCGGTCTGAAGAAGGGGGGCGCGGCAAAGGGTGAGCTCGTCCTGGCCATCTTTGAGCTGGCAAACTGTTTTCGCAACGGGTGGGGTATCGAGAAGGATCCCGTGGCGGCCAAGCAGGTATTCTCTTTTCTCATCCCTCCCTCCTTGCTGTATCCCAGTCTTGCTGACAGTGACCTCAGTATTATGAGACTGCGGCCAACTTGGGTGACACCGGTAAGTTCTCCATGCATGATGCCGGGTGGAAGGGTCCTGCTGGGTGTATGATGGCTCTGACACCTTGGTCAAGATGCCATGAATGAAGTCGCGTTCTGCTATCTGCATGGGTATGGATGTAAGAAGGACAAGGTGAGAAGGAATCCTGCCGCGCCCTGCTACACTCTTGCTACCCTCTGCTCCCGAATCACACACGATGAGACTGACACGAGGCGGCGGACCTGCAGTATGCTTCGGCAAAGTATTATCGACTTGCCGAGAAGAATGGCAACAAGACTCTGGGTAACTCTTGGTATGTTTCTCCCTCAACATCTCCTCTACTCTTTCTCTCTCTCTCTCTCTCTCTCTCTCTCTCTCTCTCTCTCTCTTCTTCTTCTCTCGCTCTCTCTTCTACTCTCTCTCCAATTCCCTTTCTTTTTTCCCCTCAAAGACTGAGGGGGCTAACATGACTTTAACATGTAGGATATGGAAGCCAAAGTACGATCCTCCCGGGGAGGGGGGTCCCAAGAAGAAGTAAGACGTGGTAATCCTTATTTTCCTCTTATTTCACCATGTCTCTTTCCCTCTGTACGGAGTATTATGTATACACACACACACACACACACACACACACATATATATATATATATATTATATAGAGTAAGTGTATGTGTATTTCCTTCCAAACTCAAGTCACATGTCACATGTCGCTG